GTACTCGTAGTTGTACTCGTCTCAGAATCTAAAGGTCTCTACTAACCCGCCTATCTCACACAAAGCACGACGAATAGCATCTTTCACTCAACTGTGTCATTTTCGTATCCGAAACCACGGTAATACGTCCAGATTATCATAGCCCTGGGTGGCCCAAAACATTTGGTTTAAACCAATACCCAAGAATGCAAAACATACACTTCCATTTGACGTGAGTCGTTCAAACACGTCTTCGCTTAAACCCCCTAATACCAATTGGATAGCGCTATCCACCTTTGATTCAGATACCTAGGGCTCAGAGCACCAGTAGTCTTTCTTTTTCCTCAAGTATTGGATCCTGGGCGAAGGAAATATACGAGCGCGCGTGAAAATCACCACCCGCGTGGAAAGGTTTCCCTTTGCGTGTTATCTCTCCTCATGATTTTCACGCGCGCTAGCTTTGCTATTCCTGAGGTAAACAATGGACCACTCGTATTCCTCTATTTGAGTAACTGCCTCCGGGACTGGGAGCGAGAGAGGGTGACACACCCTTTGCTGCGTCTCTTGAATGACGTCACTCTTCATTCAGGCTTTCACACTCTTTCCAGTGCAGCAGCGATGGAATTTTCTAGAACTGAAAGCCACTGAAATTTCTGGTCCCAAGTGTGCGCCTGGCACAACCACAGTCTCTTTGGTGACACGATGGTAAAAGCATTTTTTACATCTAGAGTGTGAATGAAGATAGGCAGAAACGAAGTGAGGCCCCGTCCACACGGATCCGGATGTTGTTGAAAACGGAGCTGATTTTATTTTCCGTTTTCGATAAAATACGGGTGCACACGTAGCGTACTCGAATCGTTTTCGCCCTTCCACACGGAAACGCTAAAACGATGGAATTACGATAGCATTCATATTCATCAGATAGCGCATGCAGGGAATGCGCTGTAGTAAGTATGATATCATCGTATTCCAAAACCTCCGTTTTCGTTAAGCCGGCATTTTTACAAAAAAACTCCACTCTGGGAGCCCTTTTCGAAAAGCTGCGAAACGCAGTTTACGTGTGGACGGAAGGCTTAAGAAATCTCCATTTTCCAAAATCGGGATACGTGTGACGGGTCCTAAACGTAACTTGCTGTAGAGGCTTTTAACCGAGATCACAGACAAGTACTAGCAATTAATAACAATGAACTTACATTTGGAATCAGCCAGGTTTTCCACCCTCAATTTCTTCAAGGTCATACACGCTTGAAATCTAAAAAAATCCACGAGTCAAGTTTGACTTCTATTTGACAAGAGAGGTTGAGGTGGCTCGATGGGGTTTTTCAGGGTCAATACCTCCCAAGTTTGTGCATACAGCTGCAAGTAAAATAGGTAATGGCGTCATTTCGCTGCTATGACAACTCCGATGTCATTGTAATCATAATCATTACAAATTTCCATTTTTATCTAATACAGATGTGTTGGTAATTTTTCCAAATCCTTGTTAATGGCGACGTAATTCATGCTCAAAATTCGGAGGTATTGACCCTGCAAAACCCTATCGAGCCTCCTTACGCGACAAATACAACGACCGGCAGTGAAAACGCCGTCAAAAAATGAATTTGCGTTCATTCAAACTTTATCGCGTCTATTTGAATATTCTCAATTTGTCAAAAGTAGGCATTTTTTCTAGTGTTGGAATACTTAAGATTTTGACCTGGTTCAAAAAGAAAAAGGACAATTCGTCGTCTTATGTTCACATCCTCCATAAAACGTCGTGTTAGGAGGTTTTGAGTTCTAGTCGTGCGGTGGACGTCAAAGAAATGTGCTAAAAAGCGTGATGCCCGTGCAGAGCTGTTGTTTTGCTTATAAAACCAATTGTTTTGTGACGCTGTCGTTGTCGTTGTGGTTGCTTAAGCTTCCTAATTTCTCGTAGTACACCGTCCTTTAGTCAAGAGAGTCTCGAAAAACGACAACTAATGTAAACGCACTAGCCAGTCAGAAAAGGAGCAGGCTTTACAATCAACCTCTTTGATCGATTGCGCTCTGCTCGCTGTTTCCTCTACTTTGCGCTCAGCACTGTTACTTGCGTTTGCGCTTGTCATACAGGAACCTTTTGACTCAGCTATGTGACGGTGCAACTTAAAACATTTATATTAAATCAGTCTTCATCCTAAACCATCCTCGAACCTTTGTAGTTAACTGTATTATTATCTCGTTGGCGCGCGCTTTTCTATTTTACAAAAACTAACAATTCAAGAATTCCTTCAATTTCGAGACTTCTCCTCTTATTATTACGTTTTCACGGGAGTTAATAGTTAATGAGTATTCTAACTCTAGTAAAAACAAAGGCTGAGTTTCCAATGATTACCGTATTAAAGTTAAAAACTAAGTTAAAAACACGAGGTGCTTCTGTTTGTTTAATAAAATCCAGGGTAAAATACACAAATTACAACAGGACTGAGCTCTTTCAAAGTTTTATTTCATCAACACCATCACCACGTTAAAATACATACTTGTAATTCCTTTGAACCAGCCTTGAGAAAGGAACAAACTTGAAGGTGAGAGTGGCGACAAGCAAAGCGTCATTAAACAGAAATAAACCAAGATCTCCAACTTGTTGATAAACCCTGGTATTCAAAAAACGAAAGAAAGCAGAAAGGCTTTTGAAAGACGAGAGTGTTTGTAGTTAACTTAAAAAGCACCTTTTCTGCACCTAAAATAACAAATAAGATCCCATAACAGTCGCACTTGTTTACCCACCCCACCCCTCCAGTTCAGTTTATTTTTACTCAATATTTTGACTACTGCTAAGTTAAAGACTTTATAGATTTACAAGATAAATGTTTATGTAGAATTAATATGAAAGGTTGAGTACGATGAAGATATTAAAGATATTTTAAAATTTTACCATCAATCAAGGACATTACGGTCATCAAGGGATCATTTACGCCTTGAAGAACCAAATTTTAACATGAAAACTTATGGCCAGCGAGCGTTTTCCGTTGCTGCCCCTCAACTATGGAAGAACCTCCCCTTTGAAATTCGTGCTTGTTCTGATGTTAATCTTTTTAAGTCTACGTTGAAAATGTTTCTTTTTAAAAAGGTATATGACATTTAGTTTCATCATATTTGTTTTTGTTTTCTTTCCTTTTTAATATGTGTATGCTATAAATTTCCCAATATGTACAGTAGTGTTATATGTAAGCTTGTGCTTAATGATATTCTTATGTCCTTTTTTACATTGTAAAGCGCTTAGAACAGCGATGTATAAGCGCTATATAAATTCCATTATTATTATTATTATTATTATTATTACGATGGCCAAGTGAACCATTTGGTTTTTTAGTTGGCCACCATAACACCAATTACGTTTAAAATGTTTTTGTTAGATTTGTACATTTTTATTATTATAGTTTTTTAAATCCATTTTAACCATAACTTGTATATTATACACGTAATTCAGTCTTCGGACTGCGAGGTGTTTCTTTTTTTAATAAACGATTTATCTATCTATCTATCCATCTAAAATAAAAACAGTTCTTCACTTGCTCGATTGCCGCGTCAAATCATACAGGCTGTGACGCAAGCAGTGACACAGGACGCCCAGGACTGTGTTGATTACTTACTTCTAACAGAGAAGTAGCGGAAACGAAATATTTAAACAATGCGCTTTGCTAAATTAAAACACCCTTAACTCTGTCCGGCGGAAGTATATATAAAACCAGGGAGATCGACGTTGTCAAAAAGAACAATTTCTAATGCGGTATTCCCATCGGTGTGATAAAAGCAGGAAAAAAGCTTTAATGTTGAAATATTTACCTGAACTCTGGTTTAACTTGTCTGCCAATATTTGGAGTTGACAGTAGGATGACATCCTCTTCGCGAATGAAATGACGACTTTTCTCTGCAAGAACCTGCAAACAGTGAAAACATAGAAAATTGAAACAAGAGCGTCGTCATCATCACCATCATTACCACCGTTCGGAGTCGAGAAGCTATGAACTATGATTCCTATCCTAGCCTGTGTACAGCCGTCCCCCTTCCCTCAGAAAAAAACCGGGAGAACAGTCTCTTCTCCCGATTTTTTTCTGAGGGAGGGGGGACGTCTGTACACAGGCTATCCTATCCGACATCACGGCCGCAAGCTACTCCCTGTGGATTCCAAAATCTCTTGCATATCTTATCTGGGAACTTCATTTTCCTTCAGCGAAGAAGCAGGGCCGCTTGGTCTCCATAGAAAGAGTCGCCCTTTGCTTGTTCGTAATGACCGGCGAGTTGGAGATGGCGTTCTGGCAGCTGTAAGGTTGGAAGACTGGTGGTCACACCGTAAAGCTGCTTGCGCGTCGCGTGCTCTGCCCAGTGGATGTTTTTTGACACGTCGGAGTGAAACAGGAACATACATAACTTACTTCTACATAGATACATACATACATAATATTCATTGCAACTCGAAACTTAGAGGAGTTAAAATAGTTAGAGTAGCTTCGTTAGCTGATATCTTCGAGGAAGATTTCGAATATCTTGTACTTGTTATTCGGGAGAAGGGCCAGGGGGCTACTTGTAACTTTAATGCTTTCATTAAGAGCTCCTATTAAAGAAACGTTTGGGAGTAAATCTCCACAGCGAAAGCACGCTTTATACTTACCATCAATTGAAATGTGAAAACTTTATAAACCAGCCAGTGGGATGGTAAGGGCCAACACGGATGCAATAGAGCAAGTGAAAGATCATTAAAAAAAAAAATGAGATAATGGGTATAATGCACTCCGGGGCCCGGTTCCTGAAAGGCCGATTAGCACTAATCCAGGATTAAAATTTTGTTCCGTTTGTGTATTTTACCTTTCTATGTATTGCTTGGAGTAACATTTTGTGTTATCATTATTGTATCTTGGAGTATACTGTATCAAGCCCGAGTTGTATGTTCTTAGACAAGAAAACCTTGTTTAAAATTTGCCTTTATTTTGCGTTAAACTCAACCATCTTTCGAGCAGCCGGGACCAGGAATGTACTAGATAGCGAGCACGTTGACGTCGCCAACAACAAATTCAAGTCAGGCTTTTCTCTTTATTTTATTTTATTCCATAAGCTTCGCCAGGAGACAACAAATCAACGAGACAAACAAACCAGAAAGTAGCTAAAGTAATAATATGAAGGGACAGGTGTAAGAGGCTTGGCAGGAACACCCAAAAAGCTGAAGCTAATTAAAGGGAGTCCTTTTCACACAAGTCCCCCTTCACCCGTAGTGTGAACTCTTAACGCCGTGATATGAGACGGTAAAATGAACCTCTGTTAAGAACAACAGACGTGACTTACTGGACAATTGACTATCCTCTTCTGTAAATCTTGAAGAAACTTTTCCCTTTCCAGACGTTCTTTATACTGCAAAAGACCAAATAAAACCAACGTTACTAAAAGAATTGGCAGACAACACAGAGATTTAACATCGTGTTCCACCCATTTGCAAGATGACGTCAGTTTACTACTACGACCACAATCTTTTATGGTTTTGCTTTCTTGTGCAAATTAGGGCTTTTGTTTTTTATAACTCGATAGGATTACAAAATTAAAAATTAAAATATGAAAGGAAAAACGAAAAGGATTCTGGTTGTAGAAGTAAAATGAAGCCATTGTGCAAATGACCTTTTTGCGCGGGGAGCGCTTATTTCATTTTATTTCAGCCGAGGGGAGGGGGGAGGGGCGCTGATTCAAGCACTTCCACTTAATAATATATAGGGAACCGATTGACGGACAGGAGTTCATAGGCAGAGTTTTCAAAACTTATATCTTGCTTGTTTGAGAGCATTTAATGGAGCTGTAAATTTAAGCGGACTATAGTCTCAAATGTCATCCGTCTCCATCCCCTAATCCCCTAAACCGTGGGGGTTGCCCCCTCCCCTCCCATGGTGTTAAGGGGTGGAGACAGCTGACATTTCAGACTAAGCGGACAAATGAAGCTCCTTTTCCACTTCATATAGTGTGGATAAGCGATAATAATTTTTTTATTACCTGTCTAAATAAGGTGTCAAGGTCCTTGAACTTGGCAATGGCCTGGGTCAATTTTTTTCTGTCGACGTGATCAGCTGAAGTGTACCTCAAGAACGCTTCTAAAAGCTCAACATAACTGGAACAAAACAAGTAATTAAGCCCTGAAAATTTGCCACTTGCTATTCAGAAAGTATTTAATTCTTGTGGGTGAAAGACATTCGTGGTTGACAATGTTCTGGTTTCACTCTCTGTGTGCTGTTGCCTCAGATTTATATCAAATTTTTCCCATAGCTCCTAGACCACATTGTATCCATTAAAGGGAAATAGACTGCACATGTAGCCTGTTGATCCACTGTTTGTGGCGTTTTTGTTTCATTTAGCGTGAATTCATTTACTGTTAAGTGAGAGTATGGGTAAGGCTGAGTAAAATAACTAGTCCACGTTACTAAGTAGTATAGCAGGGATCGAAATGTCCGGTTTTTTTGGACAGGGCTATCGTTAACTTGCACAGGAATACATTAACTAGAAGACCTATCCAACGAGTTAAACATCTAGAAAAAAAATAGCACAGGATCTTATCTAAAATGATATCCCTGAGCATTTTATTCATGAGATACAGAAAAAAGGCTATGACGTCATCGGCGTTAATGCACTCCACCGGAAGTTAACGAGATTCCTGCCATAAAAACCGGATAATTCGGTGTCTTCTATACTACTTTTATCTTCGCATTTCTAAACTTTCACCTTCTTCTTCGTTTACAATGCTTTGCGCCTGAGTAAAATTAGGGAGGTTAAGGAAAGGCGTATTTGAGCGACGCATGTCAACCGAAAGTGGACTTTTGCATTTTTTGGGCAGTGGTCTGGCTATAATTTTTTAGTATTAAAACTGTCAAAACGTTTTGTCATTTAACAGTGTATTGGTAAAACATAAGACTTTTAAACAGTGAAAGTAAGAACCTCAGCCTTAAGTTATTTTGTTAAGCTTGCGTAAATTTCTCTCGTTTTACCGCGGTGAATCCCCAACAGAACCCGCGCCAACTTTACAGACTAAGGCACTAAGCACAGAACCGTGAAATGGGTCTATTGAACAGAAAACCTAACACAAAGAAGCAATTACAAAGGCGCAGAAAACGACCAGACAATTGTTGAAAATAATTTTGCCCTGTGTGAAGGACAAACTGAAAAAAGGTTAACTGACCTTTTAATTTGTCTTCCCGGGAGAAACAACAATTCTGCCAAACTAGATGCCAAAAACAAAAAAGGAGAAAACAACAGAACACAAGAACAAAGAAATAAAATTAGAGTTTATAAAATACTATTCACTCAAACATTGGAAGGATATAAGAAATGAGTAAAATTAAAAGGTAAGGCATAATTTCATACCTCATCATTTTGGTATTTGGCTGTTTTTCGTGGCGTGCAAGAAATGAGCGAAATTGAGGATTTTGCTCTTTACACTATCGAAAAAGAAACACAGGATAATGGCTTGATAATAAAGTAAGAGGTAAGTAAAAATGAAGTGAGTAAAGTGAAATTTTTCACCGTGTACGTTGTATAGTCAGGACTTCGACTTGGGCTGGCAACTCGTTATGGCGATGTAGCTTGTCCCAGGCGTTACAGGGACATAATCAGCTAATGTACATGCGCATCGGATACAATTTCTTAGCTGATTTGCATATCGCAAGATACGCAATCCACACTGTTTTTAACCAAATATGATGAAATAATATTATAGGATGAGTAAAAGAATACACTGGACAGGTGCTCAGTAAAATATCGAATGAATCATTAGGAAAGATTAAAGCGGATTTCTAGATGTATCCAACGCGTACATTTGATTTCGGGTTGAGGTAAACGCTTTTCAAAGTTGCAAAACTAGTGTCCAGATTAGTGTTGTCCAAAGCTGACTGCGTCCCTTTAAGATAGCGGGGACAACGCAAAAAATGAGCAGAAATAAAACACTATCTGAACGCCTGGAACATGATATGGTGGCGAGGCTTGCGTGCCTCCATGGCATAAGAGCAGTGATGGCGAGGACCCCTGCCCCTAACAGGATTAACCATGCCGGATTGGTCAAACCATATTTTGTGTCGACAACTGGTGACAGTACTTCAACAGATAAACTTGAGGCCGACGGTGCGCTCATTGTACGCCCCTCTGTCTACCAAAGTTCTAAAGGTGTTTTAAGAGGGTGAAAGCTACACAGAAAGGAGAGAAGCAGGAACAGGGAAGTGATGTCACCGGGAATCGAACTCGGGACTTAACGCACCGAATGCCGCGCACTGTGCCATCTTTGCTCCTTTCGAAAGCCCCCAACCTCCAGCCTCTAATACGCCCCCAGCTGGTCCAGAGGCACTTTACGAAAACTGATATTAATAAACTGCAAGGGGATTAATAGCTTAATAGAGGAAATACAGTACTCTTAGGCCTAGGGAAACGTTAAACTTTTCAAGAGACAAACTAAACTTACTGAATTAAGTTCATGAAAAGTTCGACGTTCGGCTCATTTAAGTTCCTCTGAATGAGTTTGAATCGTCCAACACGTTCTATCCGTCTACTTCAGACGCCGATAGAACTTTTGAAGATCGTCTACGGGACAAACGCCGATCTTCACATGCGTAGAACTAAACGAATAAATTAAAAATTTGCAAGATGATGTATATTTAGCCTCGTTCGAGAGAAAATTTATTAAAATTGCTTTTTGATCTGGTTCAGTTGATTGGTTCGACGCGTCCTAAGTTCGACGTCTGACCCAACAGAAGATTTTAACTCAATGTAGGTCGACTCAAATTGGAGTTTGGTTCGTCTCATGAAAAGTGCGACGTTTGGCCTAGGCCTTAATCTACGATAATAGTTAATAAAGAAAAGCTTACTCGTTCTAATGTTTGTAGTGTTACAGGATAATTGTTTAAAAAATTGGTGTAGGCACGCAGCTGTGTAGTAAAGTTGAGGAAAATGTCTCCCAGCATCTGAAAAGGGAAGAGAAAAGGCTATGAATGACGTATTTTCTCGAATAACAGTCTTCGGGATTTCCTCCCCTTGAAAATCTAGCTCACACTACCCGCCGTGGACATTCCTGGAAATACCTGAAAAACACCTGACCTTTAAAAGCTGTCTCTCTTGAGAGAACGTTAAAAGACCCACTTATTTATGATAAATAAATGAATGTGTTCAGCTTATAAGTCTTACAGTGCCGAGTTGAGCCGAATTTATACAAGTGACGAATTATCCAAGACGACAAATTATCCATCTCTGGTATAGATAATTCGTCTAAAAAATCCGGTGTTTACGCAGAAGTGGGGCCAAATGTCGTCTATTGTTGGGTGCCTTGCATTATGTGTTGTCGTCGCGATTTTTCGGGTCAACTTTGGAGATCACCGAGGCCTAGCACCACTCGAAAACGTCCAATTTTCTCGTACGAAAATATGTGGGCTACGGTCATTTATACGAATATCTGAAATGATGGAAACTGTTCTTTAGATCGGTTAGTTCAATTGGCTTGGTTTTCTGCTATAACGAAAGTTAGAGCGCGCCCTTGAGAATGCAAAAAAATGAAACAATGTAAATGAAACTTACTTGATAAGAATTCCATTCATCTAACCTGTTTGACAGATTATTCACCAGAAGACTGAAACACAATAAAGATTGTCGTATCAGTGTATAAAGCTGGGCATCAAGAAAAATGTTTCAATATCGAGATTATCATCATCTCTGCTGAAACTTTAATATTTGAACAGTTATGTAATTTATTTTGTTGAGGGACCCTTCAAATCAGTTAGTGAACCACGAGAAGGGAATGTGACTTGATATCATCCGGAAAACACTGTAACGCCTGGCAGTGTAAGAAGGACTCACTCAGTCGGTAGAGCGCTTGACTGAAGAGCGAAAGGTCGCAGGCTCGATTCCCGGTGCCAGACCAATACTCAGGGTCTTAAAATAACTGAGAAATGAAGGTACTACCTCGCGTGGCTCGGATGACCACGCAAAATGGCGGTCCCGTGTACAGTAGGAGACATAAAAATGGTGTCATCGATTAGGACACTAAAATAAAGCGCGTTCGATTTCTTTCTTTTATTGTCATAAAATATTTAACAATGCTATGTCTAACGTACCTGCTTAGGGCCAGCAATGTTTCACTGTCAGCAAATAAACTTTGTATGTTTGCCAAGCTAATAATGGCCCTATGAAAGTCCGAAAGGAAAAGAAAGTTTGGAAACTAGCAACTTTTTCCGAAGCAACCAAATGTAACTCAACCTAGTGACAGTGTTCATTTTAGCTAGTTTAGTATTATAACTAAGCTTAACCGGTTATTATGAAGCTTAAGCACCAGTACGTTCTATTGTTCCTCTGCTACTGACCATTGTGTTGCACAAGGTTGTCTGCTAGACCTTCGGGTGACGTAATTCACGGTTTTCAATACTATTTTAAGTAGCCAGCCGGTTTGAAGATAGAGTAACCGACTATATCAACAAGGGGCCGTTAATCCCGTACCTTTAGGGGGGGAGGGGGGCATGCTCCCTCAGAAACTTTTAAAATTTCAAAGCCCTAAAATGCAACTTCCGACGTTCTAGGGACTAAATTGAGTACAAAAGAGTGTACTCATAACAAGGATAAAAAAGCAAACCTGTTTGAGGCAAGCGCGGCTTCAAGAGGCTTTTTAAAAACATCTTGCATTATGGATAAATTCCTCATGTATGTTAACTCTGTTGACAATATTTCATGTGCCACTAGAGTCCTTCTTTCACCTGCGGAGGTGCCTGTCTTAGGACAAAAACCCTAAAGATGAAAAAATGAGAGAATCGTTCTCGTTTTCAGCTGCATTGTTAAGTAGCCGGCGTCACAGACGGAACTAAACTCTGGTTAAGTCCGTCTGCGAATTAGCGCCGAAATCCTCGTTCTGGGCCCCCACATATGTACACCAGGATTCGAGTAGGCGCCATGATTGGTATGTTGAAAAATCCATCGTCGATTTGACAATCAAGATGAAAGGAAATTCGAAACGCACTTCCGGTAATTCGTTGAGTCCGTTGGAGGCCCGGAAGCATGGATATCAGCACTGCTTCGCAGACGTTACTAACCGAGGTTAAAATTACGTCCGCCACGCAGGCTATTTCTAAAGAGGCTCGGTTTCGGACGGTATTTCCGATTATTTTTTCAAAGTCGAATCCTATTAATAGGGCCCCTGATGGGACTACAGAGAGTGAACAAAATGTTGAAGCCAAACAAAAAAAGCGTTACTAAACTAACCATCTTGAACTTACAAATCAACATTATTCCGTGGACTATGTCTATGGGAAAACGTTGAAGTTGCTCATTTATGCTTTATTTAAACTGTATGGTGGTGGAAGTGTGGTGGCCGAGGGGTTAAAAGATCTCAAAGTCCAGGTTCAAGCCTGTCCATTGCGTTATTTCCCTAGGTAAGAAAACTTTCTACTCTTTGTCTGTCTCTGAAGTACGCACGCGTGCGTACTGAGCAGACACGAAACGCTCAGTGTATTTTTGTATAGCCAATGCTCTGGTTATTGACATGATTGATCAATTACAGTAAGTCGCGATGTTTTTAGTGGTCGTCTGATAGTGCGAGCTTTCATACATTGCTTCTATTTCATTTACGCACGTAAATTCTCTTAAAATTCACGCAACAGTGGAAATCCATCTTTACGTACTGTATTTAACACCCAGCTTAAATTTCAGTCAGCTCTTAAAAAGGTAAGGCCCGTCGCTATTATCAATCTCAGCCAGAAGAAAGACAAATTTAGAAAACTCTCTTGCCTCAAATTCGTTTTCAGAGCCACCATCAATTGCTCCTTTGTCGTAACCAGCTTCGTCTTGGACTTCCTGAGGGAAACAAATATGATATTTAACAATTATTCCCCCAGCCCAAATGGGCCCTGAGTCAATAGCCCATGAGGCTGAAGACCGAATGGGCTATTGACTCAGAGGCCATGAGGACGAGAGGAATAATTGTTTTAATAAAATCCAACTAGTTGGTCTAAATTATCGAGGCAAAACAACTTGAGAAAGCAAAACACGATTCAGCCGCCATTGTTTTGGTTTTCAAAGCCGGCGCTTTTTGCTACTAGTGGGCTATAACATATAGCCTAATAGTAGCTCAACCAATCAGAACGCAGCATTGATAATAGACCACTACTAAAAATAATAAAATTTATACCTGACTTAATTTCCAGCTTTAATCTAAAACGTCTTAGAAATGACGTATACGTTCAACAGCACTCACAATAGCGCTCACAATATCATGGGTGAAGAAGCATTAAATTGAGACGAATTTGCTAGTATTGAGAAAGTTTAAGTTACAGAGCAGACCAGGATCATAAAAAGACAATAATAAAATATATCGTTAGAAAAAATAGACTTGCAAAAATGTGTTTTCGTGTTAAAAGATTATAAACAACAATTTGTGACACGAAAAGTCTCATCCGGAAAAATTAAATTACAAATTAGTAAATAAAACAAAACAAATTTAAGATAATGCTGGATTTTCCAATGCAAATAGGTTTCCAATGAGAGCGGGTTACAATTAACTTTCTGTCAAGCTGAACAAATCAAGGGATAGAAAAAACCATCAGTGAATGCAAGGAATGCCATGGCTTAACTTTTTAAACTTTCAAGTGTGAGTGTTGAATTGGATTTCGAAAATATATTTTTATCGAACTGACAGGTGTTGAGGGCAGAAACAGACAGGTAACGATTAAATCCTCTGTCTCGAAAATTTTATCGATTATTAAAAGAAATTGAGCGTTTGCTTGTTATCTTTGACCTTTACCTGGGAAAAATACATACTCTGTAAATCACCCCCCTTCTTTTTTGTTTATTTATTTATTGATGAGTCAAACGACCATTTGAATATATAGCTGATTCAATAGAGGTTGCTTTGGGAATTGTACAATTGGCAGCTATTGTTTGGTGGTCACTCAAGCAAATCATTTCAGTGAGTTTTGTACGCCCAAATATCCAATGCGCCTTTATTGAATCAGCTAAAGTATATAAATCCCAGGTTTACCTTTTCTCTTCCTAAGGGATAAGAATATTCAAAATGTTACGTAAGGATGGTAAATACCATCTGTTCTGCGAGTTCATGAGAACCAGTAGCCCACCCGCAGACATTCTTCGAGCTTCGTCACGCGGTAGGAACGTGTGACGAAGCCCTGAGAAGGTCTGCGTGGGAGGCTACGAACGTTCCTTACTTAGTTGCACAAGATCGCCTTTGGTGAAAAATAAAAAACAGCCAATAAAAATCGAGTTCGTTTTTATTGAAAACCAGAAATTGATTTCCAACAACATTGACACGTGCATTTGTAGTTAGTGATAAGGACTATCAGATCCGACGACGCTACGGCAACGAGAACGTCAAAAACAACAACAACAACAACAACAACAACAAAAATAGGTTCAGAAGGCAAAACAACAATTTTGCAAAAGCAAAACACTTTTTTGTACATTTCTTTGCCGTTTTTATACAACTACGATGTTAAATTGCCTAATTTCGCTTTATGCGGGACGTAAACAAGCGAAGACGAAATTTTATTTCTTTTTATGAACTTGGATATTGTCCCTAGGAATTCAACCTCAAGAGGGTTCGCCTGCATTAGCATAGGTAATAGCATGATTTCTAGTGATATTTGGCATAAATACCACGAGTGATATTTCAAAATTGTTATACTTAATCTTACGAGCCGTTGGGCGAGTGAAATTTGAGACAATTTTGAAATATCACGAGTGGTATTTATGCCAAATATCAGGTACAAATCGGGCTATTATTTGTTTACACTACTACCCACGAAAGGTTCGTAATTTTCACATGTAGGTGTTTCAAATTAAGCTGAAATACCACTGCTCTAAGCCAATCAAATTGCAGAAATTTCTCATATAGTAGTAAAAAGACTGAAATAACGCGACGTTTTCGCAGCTATCGCTTCCTTCGATCATGAGGTCCCTCATTTTATTTTGAAAACACGCCCACGTTAACAGCCGCAGAATTTGCAAATGTTATTTTAAAGTAAAGTTCGGGAGCCTAATTGGTAAACAGTTTTACTCGTTGTTCCAAATTATGCTTTAACCGTCGCAACGGACATATTCCTTAATTTGGAATTGTGCTGGTTTGTCGTCAAGAGGGATTGTGCTGCTTGCAACTCCGGAGAAAGCTCATTACGAAAAGCGAGGCAAGTTCCTCCGTTTAATTAATTAGTGTAAAGTTCTTCTCGCGGAAATACCGGAAAAATGTGGGCTTGATTGGCAGGTAGCAGTCAATTTGGTACCTCCTCACCAATCAGTTCGAGCCCCTAGCTGTCGTCCAGTGTACGATTGTTCGCCAAACGAACAATGACTTAATGGATATTAAATTTTTGCTGAATTTTCATCTTTGGTAATCTTGTCACTAAGTGTTAAATCCGTTTTTCCAAGCAGCTGCGACAAGGATATTTCAAAGCGCGATTACTATTTGTTCCCAAAGATATAATTTTCATACTGGGTGGAAGGAATATATGACCAACACTTATTTTGCTTATCGAGTGAAATTGCACCATGTAACCCTTCACATTTAGACCCGGTAAGTAATTTTTACCAAACAACAGATCTTAAACGTTGTAATTTTTTACCCGATTTATATACTGGTGATACAAATCAATTTGTGAGTCTATGAAGTTTGGATAAATTAAAATCCTAGTATATAATCAGATTAAGGGTCGCCGCTATTAAGGTGTACTAGTTGTTATGTAGGTAGGAATTAAACAAATTCTCTCACGCACGTTGACCGGCTTGAGAAACCTTTAAGAGTGCTAAGTCTAAATAAACAATATAATTTAACTAGTTGAATAACCGGACTTGCAACAGGCATTAGTTTTGGTGTAAGAAAACTTCAACGTTTTAGCTGGCGTTGGCAATGTAACCAAAGAAAGAAACCAAAGTTAAGAAAGAAAAGAACTGAAAAAGAACAGGGCAATTTTAGCTAGAATGTCGTAGAATCTTACTCGGTAACACACACCAAAGCAAAGGACTACAACGGTTGAATGGTTTCGTATACAAACAAAATAGGAAAGCGAACGATTTGCGACCATTCTTCTGTCAGCTAGTCCCAATAAAAAGTTAATGGTAAACGCCCGACTTTTGAACACTTAGATCGTACGGACGATATTAATCCCCAGCGTAACTCCAATTAAGGAAAGAGCCCATCAGTCATAGTCAATCTCGACCAGTAGAAAGAAAAATTAAAAGACACTTGCCTCAAATTCACTCTCAGAATCACCAGCAATGGAGTCCTTTTCTGGACCATCTTTGTCTTGTACTTTCTGAGAGAAACAAGGAGTGATATCACACTTTATACTTGACTACGAGCAGTCTCTCTTTTTTCTGTAGTCCATCGAGCAAAATGTGAGACACGCAAATGGCCACGCGCGTGACTGATGGCGCGAGATGGGAGAGGCCCTCGTTTCGCGTGTCTCGCGTCTTCGCCGCTCGCGCGCGCGTGCACTCCCCTTACTAAATCTGAAGAAAAAGAGAGACTGCTGGCAGTCTAACTTTATACCTGACATTGGCCCTATTCACATCAAAGCTTAAACATGTTTAAAAGCTGTTAAATCAAATATAGTTTATTTTTTTTCCTTTATTACATCCACTTTGAAATCACTGGCTATCCGTGCAATCTGATTGGCTCTCAGCAGTGTGATTTATTCCTAAATCGCACCATTTTTTGCTCTAAATCGCATCTGTTCCAAATCGCGTCATTCATGTTCTAAATCGCATCATTTCTGTTTTAAATCGCACCATTTTTGTTCGATATCGCATCATTTCTGTTGCGAATACAAAATGAGATGTAAAAGCCTTCTTGTTTCGGCTTTTTAAAAACCGGCTACTCGATCAATAAAATATTAGTACTGACTAAATTATGCGATTTCAAAATGGATGTAATAAAGTGGTAATTGAACTACGTGTCGTGCAATTTTGGTCTGAGATCATACTTGTGATTTCAAATCGAACTCGCGCTGCGCGCTCGTTCGATTTTGAAATCACACGTATGATTTCATACCAAATTGCACTCCACTCAGTTCAATTACCATTATTTATCGATTGCAAATCTAGTACAATTACGTACTTTCATTTGAATTCCGCGTAACAAATTCTGCGTTTAACCTAACAAATGTAATGTCTTATGAATATATTTTTTCCGTGCCAAATTTGAGCTTTATACCTGCAACGAGTCTTAAATAACACCTCAATGAATGGTAACGACTCACAACCTAACAAACTGTGTTCAGCCACCTTAAATAAGTAATGTCTGAAGAGTTTTTGGTACTAAGGCAATGAAATCAAGAGTTTTACACTTTCGCGCACGTTATTATTTGGTGAGCATTGTTATATTTAGGGAGCAAGGGATGGCGCAGTGGTGAGCGCGCTCGCCTCCCACAAATGTGGCCAGGGTTCAAATCCCGGCGTCGACTCCATATGTGGGTTGAGTTTGTTGTTGGTTCTCTCCTTTGTTCCGAGCAGTTTTTCTCCGGGTACTCCGGTTTTCCCCCTCCTCAAAAACTAACATTTCCAAATTCCAATTCGACCAGGAATCAGGTAGACGAAGAACCACTTTGTGGATGTGCTACCTCCAAATCATTATTTATTTATTTATTTTATTTATTTATTACGAAAACAGTTTCATCTCGGTAAACGGTGAAGAAATTACTTACATTAACGGAGTGCTGGGTTGGCTATAACTGGGTTAATTTGCTTTGTATTCAAGTGTGTCAGTCAAACTAACAAAACAACGGATATTTGGGGGATGTCAGGACGGTATAGGGCTCTATGTTTCAAAGGCTCACTAATTGAACTCTCATTTGCGTTTTAGTTAGAAAATAGAAAACTCACTAACTGATGGGTAACTGTAGGGAAAAGGAAACATGGGTAACAGCTATTGCTAAACTCATAATTTTGTCGATTATAAAGGCAATATCAGATACAGCTTTAGTTTTGGGTGACAGCTTTGGAGCTTACATGGAAAAAAAAAAATATATCGGTGGCAAAAATCTTTCCATCAGCACAACTCAGCTTCATCTTGTTGCTATTATCTTCATTCTCCTGTTATTTTCCTGTTATTTGTTTGATGATAAGAATCCACTTTAATAAAACTGTTTTCTAAGCACTTTAATCCGCACGTTTTACCGGTTCATTTTCATTCAAACTAAGGTAAATCAAGATATTTTGAGACCACAGTAACTGCCCCCACTTATACTGAAAAATGGTTAACACGAAAACTTCAAGTGGAAATTTATAGGCGGATATGTATTGGCCAATCTTTGAAATACTTTAACATAAATACTGTATTTAAATATCATTCGTGCGGAATGATTTGTTGGCCCTTTCACTGCCAGGGTCAATTATGGTGGTACGTAACAAGATTCTAACTTTTGAGTCTATGGACAAAATGTCGGTGCGACCACTCAAATGAAACCTCTTCAGCATTTAACCTTCAAACATTATGAGTTAATTTTCGACGAAAGAAAATGACAAAATGTTTGCTGAAAGTTTTATTTCTGGCACTCCCCGGAATAAAAGTTTAATAGCCGAGCAATTCTGACAAAGAGATTTTTAAGCGCGATTCTATTGGTTCCAAAAGGTATTGTGGTCTATATAAGGACTGGCTTTCAGGCTTGTTCATTCGAGTGGGAGGTCATCAATACAACGTTACAGCCAAATTTTTGCTAATCAATTTTGCCGCTCGCAGTGATACAAACACGGTAAGAACGTTAAGACTTGTTTACTCAGGTAGGGCGTCACATATTGATGCATTGATATACATGTTCAAGTCTATTGCATCGTAGATAAAATCCTAGTTAATCAAAGGAAACACAGTGGAGCTAAATATATACCGCGGCGCGAAGAGACCTCTAGGTATACTCTATTTCTTACTTCTAGGCACGTGCATGGTAAATAATTAATTATCCTGGAATTACAACAACAATGACATACAATGATTTAACATACAACATCTAATCGCCAAAAATCATTACTCCCTGGTCATTACTGTCCAGAATCTCGCGATAATTAAGCAAACCTGTTTGTGATTGAGTTTATTTAAAATGACCAACGTTAAGTATGCATTTAGTAAGTTGACCACTGTGGAAAAAAGATACCTTTTGCAAAGAATATATCGTTAAAATAGTAAATCCCCAAAACACTCTCCTACTGCTGAAGTTACAAGACAACGTAAAATACACGGAAGAAAACAAAAATAAGTTTAACAAATCCACAGCTGTGCCCTTTTTTATCATTCCACCTTTGGCTCTCTTTTAGGTGCCGAACAAAACAATTACTATCGTTTGTTTGACTAACACGTGTACGCTTGAAGGTTTCATATCCCAAACTTCGTTTGCGGCCAGACGAATTGCGCAATATGCGAAATGGTAAACATAAACTGGTTTAACATTTGGGAAATTTCTAGTGGTACGCTCGATAAACGCGTGTTCCATTTACAAAATGAAAAGCAGCTATATACCACCCCAATAGCCTTCTGGCATCACTGGTCTTCCTTAACTGAGGTGGACCATAACGGACCCAATGTTTAAAAAAAGTATCTGTGACTTCTAGAAGGGACATCAAAGTTCAAGACCTAAGCACGAGATGAGTGGGCAGTTATTAACTTTATGGATTCTTCGTTTGCAGATTTTCAAAAACAAAACATAGAACGATGCCGTCGTTGGACCTTCCTCCACGCAGTTTTGAGCGAGTTGTTTTGGAGTCGACTTTGTGGACAGTTATGGGTCTGGCTGGTTTTCTTGGAAACATTTTAGTGCTCATTGCCTGTTTTCGAAATCCAGTTTTGCGAAAGCTTACACCTGTATACGTTACGGCTCTAGCGATCACTGACATTCTCAACTTTCTCACCAATGCTATATTTGTAGACGTCACCCTGATCACCGGCGGCTGGCAGTTTGGATCCACCGGGTGTGTTATTTCCGCATTTTCCTCCATTTTTCTAATTTACGCATCTGTTAGCACTATGTCCCTCGCGGCCATCAACAGATGCATCCGGGCAACCAAACCTGGCCTTCTCAAATCTATTTTCGCACCAACACCGTCAATTGTGATACTGGCCGGTATGTGGTTCATGGAGGCAATGATAGTTCTGGTCCCATTTGTTATGGGTGGCACAAAGTTCATTTTTCACGCTGGTTACGCCATTTGCGTCCCTTCTTATAACGATAACTTTAAAATCTTCACTACCATCACTCACCTGTCTGTGATCATAGCTTCTCTGCTAATCGTGCCTGTTTGCTACTTCAAGGTACATCGTGCCTTAAAACAAGTTCACGTGGTGCAAGAATCACAGACCTTGCAAGAGCCACTGCCACATGTCATGTATGCAGCAAAAGAGGCCCAGTCTGCCCTGCAACAAGACGAACAAACCAACCATCAACCGGAGGTCGCAATTCGGCCGGAAAAGGAGCCAAGTAATCCAAGTCAACCAGTCGAATCATGGCATATACCACAGCAACAAGAACCTGACAAAATGACCAAACCATTAAAACAAGTTTCCCCACAAAAAGCAAAGGAAAGAAAACCACAAGGAACGCAACGTCCAGAAGAAATTGTCGGCGATCGTAATGGTAAGGCTTTCAAAACATCTCAACCAGCAGAACCACAGGATAACCGTCAGTCAGGAGAATTACAGGTTACTCGACCACAAGAACGACATTTTCAAAAATTTACCAGCTACAAGAGACGCGGGGCCTGTGTTTATCCCGTCGAATCACAGATTACGTATCAGCAACAAAGACAACAGCAGACACGAGAACAGCGGATATGGATACCAGGAACGTCGGCGGTTCATCGCCCAAAGTCTGGTACATGCAAAGGGAATGAGACCTTGATCACCGTTCAATTACAGTTACCACAGAGCACCCACCAAGCTAAAGAAAAACAAGACGCCCATCAAACAAATGTCGTAAATCAACAGGAGCAACAGACACCCCAGCCAGTAAAAGAACCAGGGAACGGGCAATATACCGAAGGTGTCCTGAAGGCGAAAGAAGCGAAGATTACAAAAATGATGTTCGCAATTGTAGTGGCATTTACGTTGATCTGGATTCCTCTATTTTTTGTTATAATAATGGTACGAATCACTCTTGGAACTCTCTCGCGAGACTTTATGATGCTGGCTTCGTATGGTAGTAACTTAAGTAGTCTGATTAACCCAGTGTTGTATGCAATCATGAACAGGTCTTACAGAAAGGAATATAAAGTCATATTGGGGAGCATACTACGTTACGTTAGCGATTGTTTTAGGCGTTGTCAGTGTTGCATGTAATAAAATCAAACACGAAGAGAAAGTTTTCAAAAATATCTAAACACTAAGAAGTGCGATGAAATCAAAATCACGTAACTCAGGAACGAAATTAAAGAAAAACTACTTCTCGGGTTGTTTGGTGTGCATGATAAGGCCTTAATTACCGCATAACAAATTATTAACTGAATTAAAATCCACAAGTGTAGTACAAAGCCTGATAAATTGCTTTATCATAATCATTCTCAGAATCAAAATCAACAGTCTCTTTCTTTGAAAGACCAGTTAGGCGTCTATCAAAATAATTTATACCAGCCATGATTTTTAGCGTTTACAGTGATGTATACATTCAACAAAAATAATTTGTTCAGTCTTTTCGTAAATAAATATATGGTGGAAGTTTGTATTTCATTGAGTAAGCTACTCGAGATTGTTACAGAACTCAGTGCGTACTTTTCGTGCATGAACTTTTTAGGTTCTAGAAACTGTCAAGACAAGCTAAAGATAATTTTTAATTCTCTAGTTGATATTATTTGGGAAGATGGCTCGCTGATATTTTTAGATGTCCACAGTTCATCTTTCCGAAATCAGCTGAATCAGCACTTTATGGCTCGGACATCTTGTCCCCAACTTGACATTGGTTTTCTTTTAATTAATTTCTACCTTTATGAAGTGGTTACTTTTAGTTTTGTTTTTGACGATTGGTATTTTTAGGGTTTTTGTTATGTATGGGGTATCCCACTGATTATTTGATAGTACGTGCGAGATTCTTAATAAACAGTTCATAATCCAAGATAATTCAATGTATAACCTACAAGGATAGTTCCTGAGGTTTTGAGTAGTATTGTCCATTTGAAGGGTTTGTTTAACGTAAATGTAGTTCATTGAAGTAGGCATGTTCGGGGATTACAGCTGGCGTTGAGTTTTACCTACACTGAAGTGTCTGTTTAGACTGCTTAGTCCTACGGAGCAGTTTTAATGCTAGCATTTAATTGGTTGTTTGGTACTTGTTTTAATACTTGTTGTAATTAAAATTACGACAGTGTAGACTATTCTATTCTCCACAAGTTAACCTACAGGATATGCAATAGAAAGTTCTCACGGCAGGCTAACCTAAACACGTCTACAATTCAGCTGACAATTTGGTTATTTAATTCGCTGGTGATGGGCTTGCTAGCAGATGAGTTTTTGTAGCTGATGAAGACAAAAGTCAGAAGAATAAAGTTCTATAAAAGAACAGAGTCTCGGCCACTCGTTAATTGGCTGGGCGAGTATTCCAGTTCTTTACAACCCCAACAGTTAACAGCATCTTTTCTTCATCAAAATGAAGAAAACCCAAATAATCAGACAACAGAAAGGGATAGAGTATAATAATGGTGGCCATCTGTAATTAAACAGAAAAAAACTGAATAGCAAGAAACTGAGAACGACAAAGAGTGATTTTGAAATTTTCAAATAATCTTCTTATTACTTGTTTATCAAGTGTTGCGATAGCTGCAGTCCCTAATCAACGTGTTCATTTCACGGCTACCGTGACATTCGTTAACCCTGGTTACGCTTAGCGATAACATTACAGGATTTCAGTTGACGTTTACAAAAGAGTACCGACTGTGTACCACTTCGGATTTAAGGTGGCGGGGGAGTTCATTGGCTTTCACTTTCGTGAAAAGTGACTGCCCCGGTCATCCAGCAGCAGGGGAGAAGGGTTTGATTTTTCTATACTTGTTAATGTTAATTTAAGGTACTTGTTAATGTTTGTATTGCTCTATCTTTTAATGAACTCGTAAATATTGTTGTCACTTTCAGGTAATGTTACTGTACTTGATAACGATCGGTCTGCCGGTAGACTGGAACGGGTAGCGCATGCGAAATGTTGCGATTTTGAATCACACGTGTATTTTATCAACATGAAGTGTACCTTTAACTAACGAGATATGAAATGGCCCAGTCATCATGCAAATGCGATACCAAATCAAAAAGTCATCCTGGTATGAAACTCGCGCCGGTGCGAGTTTTCTCATGTAAACACCCCCTGACAGCGCTTGTTTTGTTGACTTTCATACAGGTAGGCAATGAAAACAAACGACAATATCTTAAAATCCACTTGTTAACATTTGAGAAAATTTGGCAGAAATCCTGTTCACATAGCACTTCAGTCAATGAGAGCCTCAAAATACATTTTGAACAAAGGAGTTTTGTGACACAATCAAGTTTCTCTTAAACGCTATTTTTAAAAAAACTTTAAAACCTGTTTGTTACAATTTTAGTTAAGTTGTCTTCAAATTATGAGGGTTACCAATTAAAAACTTTGAGCAATTCATGAGGAAATCTGATGACTGGATTTTGCCTAAACCTAATAAATTCAAGATTTTAAGCTCGTTTTCAATCACCCATGCTGCCATGGCAACGAAGAAATCTTACGTTTAATTAATTTTTATATGACCTAATATATGTAATGTCTTATGAATATCTTTTTTTCCGTACGAACTTTGAGGTCAACGAGTCTCAAAAAACTCCTCAACGAATAGTAACGACTCACAAACTAACGAACCGTGTTCATTCACCTTTAGTACTATAAGGCAATGAAATCAAGAGTTTTACTCTTTCGTGCACATTATTACGAAAACAGTTTTATTCCGGTTAACCGTGATGAAAATACTCATATGAAAACAGTGCTGTGTGGGTGCTAAATGGGTTAATTTGTTTTGTGTTCAAGTGTGTCAGTCAAATAAAACAAGACAACGGATATTTGGGAGATGTTGTGGAGACAGAAGTCTTTATCTTTCAAATGTTAACTAATTGAACGCTCATTTGCGTTTTAGTTTGAAAGTAGAAAACCCATTAACTGATGTGTGGCGATAGGAAAAACAAAACACGGGTAATATCTATCGCTAAACTCATAATTTTCTCGATTATGTATAAGGCAATATTACATGTAGCTTTTGGTTGACAGCTTGGGAGCTTACCTGGAAAAAAAAATTAATATCGGTGACAAAACAACTTTCCATCTGCCCAACTCGCCTTCATCTTTTTGCTATTATGTTCATTTTCCTGTTAATTTTTATTTTAATTTTTGGAGCAAAATAATTTGCTTTAATTGATAAAACTGTCTTCTAAGTACTTTAATCCGCACGGCACGTTTTACCGGTTCTTTTTCATTCAAACTAGGGTAAATCAAGAAATTTCGAGACCGTAGTAACTGCCCCCACGTACATAGAAAAACGGTTAAAACGAAAACTTCAAGTGCAATTTACAGAAGGATAAAATTGAATTGGCAAATCTCTGAAATACTTTAAAATAAACACTCTATTTTCATATTATTCGTGTGGATTGATTTATTGGCCCTTTCACTGCCGGGGTCAATTATGGTGGCATGTAACAAGATTCTAACTTTTGAGTCTATGGAAAAAATCTCGGTGTGATCACTCAAATGAAACCTCTTCAGCATTTAACCTTCAAACATAATGAGTTTTTCAAAATTTTCGACAAAAGAAAATAACAAAATGTTTGCTAAAAGTTTTTATTTCTGGAACTCCCTGGAATGAAAGTTCAATAGCCGAGCAATCGTGACAGAGATTTTTAAGTGCGATTCTATTGGTTCCAAAAGGTGTTCTGGTCTAAATAAGGACTGGCTTTTAGGCTTGCTCGTTCGAGTGGAAGGTCATTAATACAATGTTACAGCCAACATTTTGCGAATCAATTTTGACGCTCGCAGTAATACCGGCACTGTAAGTACGTTAAGACTCGTTTACGTAAGTGGAGCGTCACATTTTGTATTGATATACATGTTCAAGTCTACTGATCGTGGATAAAACCCTATTTAATCAAAGAAAATACAGTGGAGCTATTTATATACCGCAGCGAAGGGAAACCTCTTACTAGGTATACTCTAGTTCTTACTACTACGCGCGTATACGGAATTTCCGTCCTGTCAGGTCCTTTTAGTTGGTCTAAACTGGGCTTGCTATTTCCTCTTACCGTGTATCATTTCTGGCGGCTCTTCAGTGACAGCGTTTTTTATTATCTTACTATTTAATAAGTCTTTCTTTCTGAGCTCTAGATTTAAGTTTGCAATGCAATGAAAGTAAACCCCAATAAAATATATGGAAGCCGCGATTTCATATCAGAGTTAGGGTGTAGTTTTTCGCTGTTCACACGACAATGTAACATAAACGTTAAGATTGGCTGCTATTTATGTACATTTGGAGTGTCTTTTGAAGTTATGAAATAATTAGTCTCAGCCTGATATTACGAAGAAATTAACTTAACGATATTGAAAGCCCGTGCAATCATGATCGGTAATGGTAAATAATTAATTATCCTTGTTATACAACAACAATGATTTCGACGCGTTAAACAGCAACATAAAATAAGTAAATAAATAAATAGTGATTTGGAGGTAGCACATCTTGAAAGTGGTTCTTCGTCTACCTGATTCCTGGTCGAATTGGAATTTGGAACTGTTGGTTTTTCAGGAGAGGGGAAAACCGGAGTACCCGGAGAAAAACCTCTCGGAGCAAAGCAGAGAACCAACAACAAACTCAACCCACATATTGCGTCGACGCCGGGATTTGAACCCGGGCAACATTGGTGGGAGGCGAGCGCTCTCACCACTGCGCCATCCCTTGCTCCCCCGAGCAAGGGATGATAAAAATACAGCTAATCGTCAATAATCATTACTCCTTGGTCATTACTTCCAGAATCTAGCAATAATTGAGAAAACCTGTTTGTGGTTGAGTTTATTTAAAATTATTTAAAATGATCAACGTTAAGTATGCATTTAACAAGTTAACCACACTATGGAAAAAAATAACTCACTGAAGTTATATGACAACGTAAAATATACGAATGAAAACAAAAATAAGTTTACAAACCTACACGAGGAAGGCTCACACCTGTGCCTTCTACTTCGATCATTCCACCCTTGGTTCGTTGAGTTCTAATAACAACAATTATTGCCTTTTATGTGCCGAACCAAATAATTACTTTCCTGTGTTTGACTGACACGCGCACGGTTGAAGTTTTCATTTCCTAAGTTTCGGCTGCGGCCAGAAACCGACCCGTCTTTTAAATTGCACAATATGGGAAATGGAAAACACAAACTGGTTTGAAATTTGTCATAAATACTTTTTTCCATTGATGTCAGTAAAATTTTAGCTTTCGTTCAAGTTTTCTCTAATTGCTTCATTTCTTATTATTGCCTAAAAACCAAATATGAAGGACTTTACTTGTAATTTAAACTTTGAGGCGAAAATAATAGCTAAAAAGACAGCCAATGAAAAGTGTTGTTCAATCAAAAGACAAACAATATAATTCATGTTACAAGTTTCAAGTTTCAACTGTAATCATTTTTTTTCTTTCAAACCTTTTACCTTCGCTTTTTTCCTATATTATATACGTTAAATGTGGTCTGCGTACTTACGAAGTTCGACTTCCTCAGTTGACACGATTATAAGGTTTTACTGCTTGAGGAAATTTGGAACTAAAGAACCCAGACAACTACGATGACGACGGGCAATGATACAAACGTCAAAACACCATTAGTAGTGCGAAATTTTTTTCAATATTATTCCTTCAAAATATTTCCAAGGTTATCAGTAACATTCTTACCTCTACGTAGAATTTCTCCAAAATATTTGCCTACCAAGACTATCAATTGCTCTTTTCCTTCGAATCAGATGTATGCGATGTTAATATTATACCATAATAAAGGGTACGACTTTTACAGTTAGGTTATTTGTTGCCATTGTTACAAATTTTACAGGTAACGAGAATGACAGATAATTATGATTGCAGCTGTAACAGTCGACTTCGTTGGTGTTCAGGCGTTTACACTTTCATCCATTAGTTGAAGCCACAAAAATTTAACGCGAAAGATGAAAGGCTGACAGCAGTCTTGGGGATAACTTGTACCGTAAGTTATTTATAAGTTTTTATTGAGCCATGTTTTTCAAAATTTAATATGCTTGCCAACACATTAATGTAACGATGTCAAGTATCCAATCTTCAGAATCCTTCTCTGTTTACCAACCCTAGGAAACGCTAGTCAAAGGACTTACGCGGTAATCGGTACCCTTACTTACTTTATGGACATTCATTTGCAGATTTGGCAAAACAAAGAGCGATGAATTCGTTGGAACTTCCCCCACGCAGTGTTGAACGGGTTGTTCTGGAGTCGTCTTTCTGGACAATAATGGCTACAGCTGGTTTCCTTGGAAATATCTTAGTGTGCATTGCGTTTTATCGAAATCCAGTTTTACGAAAGATAACGCCCATATACATCGTTGCTCTGGCGATCACCGACATTCTCAACTTTCTCACCAATGGTATATTTGTAGAAGTCACCCTGATCACCGGAGGCTGGCAATTTGGAGACGCTAGCTGCTTTGTTGGCGCGTTTTCCTCAATTTTCCTTGTGTACGCCTCCATTAGCACCATGTCTCTTATAGCCATCAACAGATACATCCGAGTGACCCGGCCTGGTCTTTTTCAATCTCTTTTTGCGACGACACCATCTATATTGATAGTGGTGTGTCTTTGGTTCATAGAGAGCATGATTGTTCTGCTGCCGTTTGTTATAGGACGGACAAAGTTCTATTTTAATTCTGGTTACGCTGTTTGCGTCCCTTCCTTTCAAGACAAATTTACAATTTACACCATGATCACCCACGTGTCTTTCATCACAGCTTCTCTACTAATCGTACCCGCTTGCTACTACAAAGTGCATCGAGCGTTAAAACAAGTTAGTTCGCAAGTGCCGCAGATCTCGCAGCAGTTACAAGTCGGGCTTGCAGCAGAGGAGGCACAGTCAGCTCAACAAGAAGAAGACCAGGCCAACCAACAACCAGAAGAAGACCCAGAGGCCATCATTCAGCTGAAAGAGGAGTCAAAGGTTGCATGCCAACAGGGATCTGTCAGCTTAAACAAGAAGTGTCCACCTCCCAAAAATGGGATGCCACATCTACAAGAACCACAGGGAGTGCGAAGTCCACAAGAAGATGTTCGTTACAGTAAGAGGAAAGCTACGAAAAAAGTTCAAACAGAGCAACAGATCCCCCATCCGTTACAAGACACCAAACATCAATCACTCGCGCCATGGGCTACAACTCATCCACAAGAACGACACCCGCCAAACACTCCTGGCAACAAGAGACGCAAGACCTTGGATAAAATTCACCCACAAGAACAAACGGCCACGAATCATCAAAATGACCTACAGGAGTCATATCAACAACACATACCTCAGAACACTCACCGCGACCAAGCACCAGAACAAGAACCACAGGTTCAGCAACTCCCAAAGTCTCCCAACTACAACAGGAAAGGGCCCTTAAGTAACCAACTGGAATTTCCCGCACCGGACACTTATCGAGCACAGGTACCACAGGGCACTAGGAAAGGAAACGAAAACAAGGAAACCCAACCGGAAGAGCAACCCGCTTTCCAGCAGGCAAACGAACCACACGTCGGACATGATGGCGAAAGTGTCCTCAAGGCGAAAGAAGTGAAGATCACGAAAATGATGTTCGCCATTGTCTTGGCATTCACGCTGATATGGATCCCACTATTTTGTATCGTCCTACTGACGCGAATTACCCTCGGGACTCTCCCGCGGGACGTTGTGATGCTGGTGTCGTATGGTGTTAATTTCAGTAGCCTGATTAACCCTGTGTTATATGCCGTGGTGAACAGGTCTTACAGAAAGGAATTTAAGTTTATCTTGTGGAATATTATATTTTACTTCAGCGACTGTCTTGACCGGTGCGAGTTTTGCATGTAATAAGTCAAACACGAGAAAACGTGTTTGAAAAATATCTTGGGGGTGGCTTGAAATCAAAGTAACGCAAATTTGGAACTGAAAGATACTCAAGTGACACCACTTACTTTCACGTTTCATTTCGAACGTTGAGAAGTGCCGCGAATGCAATAAAGCTACTAAAGAAAAATGAGACACTCAAGTTTGTTAACTCTCATTATTTGAGTTCTAATGCATGGTAAACACTCAGCAACGCTTATCCAGCGCAAGAAAAGGGGACCCAGAAACCCAAGATAGACATCTTGCTTGCCGTTATGGTCACAACCTTTGAACTACATCGCGCCGTCATGTCTTAAGTAAACGAAATCAGTGGAAGAAGCGATCAAACACGCAGATTTAATTTCTCACAGGCAACTGTCCTTCTCCCGCGTAAAAAAGGCTGCATGTAATTAACCGCTACAGTTATTCCCAGAGATTAACAGACAGCAAGACGCTTATTGTACAAAGAGATAAATATAAACAACAAAATCTCGTAGAAATAAATTTAAGTGAGTATAGGTGACTCGTGGAGCGCGGTTAACTTCAGCGAGTGTTGGAGTCGCAAATGGATTGTAAAGATCACTTTTTGCTTAAAACGCGTTCTGGGAAGAGCACGCACGTTCTGGCGGATTCAGTTTCCCTGACCGCTGTAAATAAACAATATTCTATAACAGTATGCCCGGACAATTCCTACCTTCGTTCTTTTAGATTTCATTACTACTTTTTCTGAGCGACCATGACTCTGTAGATAATTGACAAGTCCTTGAATTGGATCGCTCTGGAAAAAGAGGGTGAAGAAGGTGAACTGTTGTAATTAAAAATGTAAATTCATTTGGTCACTGACAGATGTACATTGAAAGTAAAATGACGCTGAATATAAGCCTTGATTTAAGTAGCAACTTCACGCTAATTTTGCGATATTATTATTGGTGATTGGCGAAGCGTTTAACACCACAGACTTCGGATCTCTAAGATCTGTTAGACAAAACAACCACGCTCTACTATGTCTCACTTTACCCAGGTCTAGACATGGATACTAGGCGTGGCGATCTACTGCTGGGGGTAGCCCTGCGATGGCCTAGGATGCCATTCAGGGCAGCCTGAGAAAACAGTGGACATTTCGCGATGCCACTACTGATTCCTTCGTGAAATGACGTCTTAGGAACAAACGCAGGAATTCCATACTGATGTCGTGTCACTACCCAAATCTCGGTAGTGCTACTGATTGGTCAAAGGACGTTTTCTAAGCGAGGCGACCAATCAGCAGTACTACCCAGATCCGGGTGATAAGGCGTCGTCAGTAGGGAATTTCTGAGCTCGTTACTCAGAAGTCATTTTGCAGGTATACCAGTGGTGGCGTCGCGAGGTGTCGGCTGTTTTTCTCAAGCTACATCCAGGTGGCAAGAAGCAATACTCCAACGTGCTTTATGCTATAGAAAAACGGGTTAAACACCGGCCGTGTGGATCCTCTTGGCTCATGCACCCTTCACCTCTTCTATACTAAAATGAACACGTACAGCTTACACTGAAGAACAAACACAACAGACCTCTTTAGAATGTGTGTTTTGTTTTCCCATTGTAGGTCATGTGATAATACCCTTGATAACAGTTTCATTCAATGTACGCATAATTTATGAAAAGCAAAGGGGCAAATTCCCTGAGAACTTCATGGGAAAAACAAAACATACAAGCTAAACAGGTCTATTGCTCAATTCTAAACGGTTCTCATGCGACCAAAATAGGAAATAAACACATGACAAGAAGAAATTGACCGACTTCTACTTCAAAAAGAAAAAAAAGCGAAATGTTGTCCGTACCCAATTGCTAGATGCTTTGTTTCTTCCTAAGGAGATAACAGCATCTACTAGGACAGAGGCAATCTCAGAGATTTTGTATACTTCGCACATTCCCAACGCTTCCAACGTGATATGCCCTGAAACAATGACAAAAGTATAAAAAGGATCGGATATTCGTTACGTTATGAATGTCAGAGAAAGAAAGAAATCAGAGTTTGCGAAGGAATACGACAAACAACCTTCCAGGGTATCGACACTGATCTCACGGTGAGAGATGTTGTCATTCACAAGCGGAAAAAAAAGCGTGCGTGAAAAAGTCCTGCTGTTACTTTACCATACCTACGAGTCGCTTGGCCAGATTTCTTTGTTCCTCATTGAAGAAAGCTTGAAGGTTCTTTTTCACAACATCCAAGCATTCCTAAGGGAAGGAAACCAATAAATACCATGAGACAGAGTCCTAAGAAGATGCGTCCTACAAATAGTTCAGGGTCTCCTAGCTTTTTACCTCCTTATCACCTAATTGCTCTTTTTAGTAAGGAACAACGCTTTTTCTGCTGCTCTCAATTTCAATACCTTCTTCTTCACCTCTTCAAACCAGTCTTTAAGTCTCGCTGCTATTAATAAGTTCGTTTGGTCAGTCCAATTATTTTTCACCCTAGAGTTGATTCTACAGTCAACCTTATTATAAAGCCACATAGGGAAATGTTTTCACTGAAATTTTTTCCTGCATCCCCCTATTTTGGACTCTTGCCATTAACAACACTACGTAGTGGTCCCGAGGGCGTTTCTTCCGCGAAAACACTTCCACTTTAGCAGCCCCTAGGTCTCAAAGAATGAGAGGCCCTGGAGACGAGGTTAGCCTTAGCTTCCGTAAAACTGTTGGGTAAATAAATTCCAGGACGCATGCGTAAGGTAAGGCACATCCTTAATAACGGACAACATTTTGGGAAGGTTAGTTAAACGAAGTCTAACTTAAGCCGCGGTTGAGCAAATCTTTGGACCGCCAGATCTCTTCCTTAGTGAATTATTTTAAGAAGACAAATTCTTTTCTAGTCTACTATATATGCTTTCACAAAACCGTTTACAATAATTGGTGTTTAGATTAAACCGTTAATGTTGTTCAAGTTGAAAACGGCTAAGGACGCGGTTTTGTTAAACACTGACTAAACTATGTTTAAATACCTGGCCTTTGTTTTCCTTTAGCCTGTCCAAAGACGTTTCCTTGTCCGAAATATCGCGAAAACTCAAGTCGCTATTATATTGCTGTTTTATTATAGTCAAACGTTTTAACCTGCTGCTCTGTTAAACCTTTCCTTACCTCAATGTAATCAACCGTGTTTGACCAAGCACCAAGTTTTGTCATATTGAAATACAATGCAGGAGGAGTAATACTGTTCGGAACAAACAGCCATTCACTTTCAACTGTAATACAAGTAAAAAGCAGGAATAAAAGTATGTCTTTACACCCCAATTATTTCTTTTGTAAAATAAAATGAAAATGAATATTTATATTGAATGCCGCTTTGGAAAAATATGAAGCAGAGGTATTGGAAAGGCACGCGCAACACGTGAGAGGCGAGACGCGAGACGCGAGACGCGAGACGCGCAGGCCTCACCCTGTCCCGTCTCGCGCCTCCAGTTGCATCGTTTCCCTTGACGGCCAAGATAAAGAGGGATGCTCGATGTCTGGAACATATTTGCATAGTCGTGTGATCGTGTCTGACTGTACGTGATAGTTCCAGATCTACTTGCTAAGCCCTAAATTCTTTGCCGGTATTATTTTCACATTTTCCTTTGTAGTTTTATTTGGACGAGCACTATTCGTCTAGAGAGAGAGTGCGCTCTGAGTGGAAGCACTGTTTGACTGTTCAAGATCGTAGACCAGGACAAAACAAACGATTTTGAGAACTCACATGCATATGCTCTCTTGAAAACATGCGATTAAATGACGTAAGAGTAGAATAATAGTACCCGGCAAATTCATTCTCAGGCTATCTGCTAGACTGCGAGAAATTGCCAAGAATGGTATTGTGAGCGAGTAAAACGAGCGAAACGAACGAGAAAAAAAATAATCCGCTAAGAGGAACTGGGAACCTTCCGCTTCTTTCCAGTTCCCCTCTCGGGCCCTCCCTTCTTTCTAGTCCTGCCAATCCTTGAGTAGACTGGCTGAAAAGGCACTGCTTTCAGTTTTGCTAGCAGCTTTCCTAAGCTAACTGTAAATAACATCTTTATTCTTGAGCAGCAGCGCCCATTACTTATGGGGCATTGTTTTAGGCTGTTTGTTCTAGAATCCTCTCCAAATATCCTTGAAACACCTATGCACGCCCCTTTCCCTCTGTAATGTTGGGGTGTGACTGCAAAGTTACGTGGCTACAACAAAATTGCAAAAGGGAGAGGGGAACGAAAGGGAGCAAAATTTTCCAAAGTGTTCCAAGGTTTTTGTCTAAGATTGTGGTATTCCCCCCGATGTCACAAGCCATTAATGTGACATGTTCTACCCCCTTTTAATTCCACATATATTAAGGTCCAACAACACGGGCTATTTAGAACTTCAGTTGACTCACAAACCTCTAGCAAACGATCCTGTCAATCCAGTAGGACAAGAAAACTGCATGTCCGTTAATAGACCAAGTTGAGCCAAAAGATCCATACCTTTCTCTGTACAAAGCGAAAATAATAAATAACCTCATATTATCAATGTGATGCCAGATTTTTAACACACTTGCTCTGTTATTGCTTTTTAAGCTGTTTAAAAACTTTTTGTTATACCTTAATATTCCCAGTTCTCCAGTTGCTAAAAACGATTCACAAATAGATACCAAGCAAGTAAAGCCCCGCACAATTCGCACATTCAGGCCATAAGGCATGTCTTCTTGACTCTTAAAAATTGAACATTGTTCAACCGAACCCTCTCCCCTCCCCCAACCCCTTCCCCGGGGACATACCCCTCCCTTTGATTTATGACTGTTGGAAATCTGATCACCATGGTTACTAATGTCCACAACAAGCCAAAAAACATGAAGGTTCCGAAACCCTATTACTGTTGGTGGCAATCAAGATGACGACCAGTGGACATAAGTACGCGAGGATATCTGTCTGGCAGTATAGGCGATTAAATAGGGAATTTGCCTAGACGTCAACAAAATGGATGGTTGTTGCAAAATTCTAATTCATTACTAGCATCCCCACTCATCTCTTATTGGGTGACACCCATTACCTGTCTCTACTAGAGGCACGAAGATGTCCACATGGCCTCCTGACTCTCGCGTTATCACACTTGTCGCTACTGTTTCCCAGAAGTAACGCATATTTGGCTCGTTAATAGTCTTTTCTGAAAGAGTTTGACCTGCAAAAAAGCTTCATTTCTTGAGCCATGTAATACAAAGAGACTGAATACGCCAATGTAAGAGACCGCATTGGTCTTGGTCGTTTCTTCCTTCCCAGAAGCTGCGTTACCCTAGTATAGAGGAACGAAGGGGTGCTCTGAGCATGCTCTCGCATTTTGCTGACTCTGATCAACAGAGACCGACTAACTGCTTTTTATTGTTACCTAACACATTCGCCAACAAGAAAATTTTAAACCCACACAATTTAATTTTTCACATAAATGCAGCATACGAAGTCGGTGCCTAATCCAGCAAAGCGAAAAAAATTATTGACGTAAGTAAGTCCTTTTAAAGTGGCTATGACGTCACACTATTTGTTATCTTTTTAAAGAGCTAAAACTTGTGTTCGCAGCAATTGAATTCCAAAACTTAATGCTTTAGATTTGTTATTTAAGTCAATATTTAGCACTGAAATGTTTTCCCGTCGTCTGTTGCTACAGATGGCAAGGATGGAAATGGATTGAAACTTGCAAAAACTGGGCCAACTGTTTTCCAGTTTTAGTGCTACTTCTGCAAAAATCACCAACACGAATTATTATGGTTAGTGCTCGCAGATGAAATTTGTTTGATATCTTTTCCATATCTCTAACGGAGCATTTAATGTATGAATAAAGGCACTATTAATTAATGACTTCACCACAGAAAAAAACAGCAAAATCGTCGTGACATGGCCCCTTAAAGTGATTCGCATCGACGATTTTTAGCGCAACACAGCGTTGCAATGTTGGAACAATGTTGTAACTATTCGAAACAATGTCGCAACAATGTTGCAACGTTGTGTTGCGCTGAAAATCGTCGTTACGAATCATCTCGCGTAACATCACCTTTAAGCCAATAGAACAATTAACGGGTGTTACGTACGGGAACAAGGTTAGGCCCTCCCACCCTGGCCTTTCTTACCTCTAACAAGGCATAAAGTGCCAGATTCTCCCCATAGATAGAAGCCAATGCACCTGAGATAACCAAACAGACGAGTCAAATGAACGATGGAGGCAACGAGTTGTTCATTGCATGGAAGTATTGCGTGCTTGTTAAGTCAGAAAAAGTGCAAACCCCTTTCAGTCTAATGAACCATGCAATAATTTGACAGTATTTCAATTCCAAACCTATGGCAATTATGAATAAACATTTCATTTTCAAACAACGGTAAATTGTGGAAACTTTAGATTGCGTTTAATCAGCATAAATCAAATACGACTCACTGCCGGCCGGTATTAACAAAGCTTACGGTGTCGTTTAGTTTAGCTATTTAATGAGCAACAATCTAAAGTTCCAGAATGTTCGTACATAAAAGAATTTCATTAATTTCCAAGAAGTTTAAAGGCCAAGAAAGTAAGGGCTTGTTTACACCAACGACACAGAGGCATGCGAGGGAGATGTTCACCCATCCAACGTAAACGCAAATACAGTGAAATGCGCCAGCACATTAGAGCATTCTGCATCCCAACATGACGGGCGAACATTTGCGCTCGCGTTGTTCCGTTTCACACGTGTGAAATTTAAACGCAAGTTAAGCGCCAACGCAAGAAAAGAAACGCAATTTTGCATTTCTTGTGACAGCTTGCAGGTGGGGAAGTTTACTCATGAGTTGTCTTGTGTTTGCGTTGGCGTCGCTCGTGTAAACCTGTCCCAAATTTCAAGTGTGAACCCTACGAGGCCATGAACATACGTATAGGTGGAAGCAGTTCATGTTCGCTTGTAAATCTTGCGAGCAGTTCAGTTCACACTTACTTGGCTTGCCTTCCCTTCAGAGCAAGTCTCAACTTTTCCAACATGGCGTCAAGTGTTGTGCCGTCGTACTCATATGGTATTGCAATGACGCCAAACATAACAGCTGCCAACAGCAACTAGCGACATTAAAAAGCCAAAATTGTCATGACACGTCAAGTGAAAGAGAAAAGAAAGAACAATAAAGTAGGACAAGGAATTACGCGCCGAAAGGTACCCATAATGTAATTTTTTTCCCTCAAAGTTTTGTGCTCGTTTGTTTTCAATTTCTCAAGGACGATTATTAGTCCCAAACGGAATTGAAAACAATTCTCATGCCAAATTTTGTGGGGAAAACAAGTTGCATTATGAGGAACGTGAAAGTCGCAAATCTTTATAGCCTCTTAACTGGCCTTCCGGTTGGAAGGGTGGAGGGCGGAAAGGTTCTTTCAGCCCGCTTTGTTTTCAGGTTTATTTTAACTGGTATGAAAACATGACTTACAAAGCTCGAGAATCATAATTTTCTGTTGCTGTGATATAGTAAATAAAAGGTTCTTCCTTTGCTTCTTTGAAGTAGAACACTTGTGATTCAAATAAATAAATACCTAGCTACGCTCCCCCCCCGTTTTCCCGCGCGCCTAAAATAGGAAATGAAAGTCTTGAAGGGTTTTTCATGTGAGGACCGTAAAACTCTTGCTATCAAAGCAAGAGAACTCTTACCTCACAAGCAGGTATTTCGGACGAAATGAAAATCACTGTAGGAGTGACACAAACTCCAAGGTCCTAAAATTCACAAAGAGCAAACGCATTTAAGAACTATTATATTCTTCTCTGCAAAACTTCAACAAAAATTCAACAGTAGCCTGCGAGCAAGACTAACTCAATTCAACAGAAAAAAACCTCTCGGAGTGAGGGCGTGAGCAAAATTCAAGGGGGGGGGGGCGGGGCGGGCGGGGGGGGGCTCTCGCAGCTATGGGATAGATAGGCATGTGCCAACCGGCAGGATATTGTTTTTGAGATAGGGTACCTCAATTTTATCAGTTGAGATTCAAGTGCGTGAATGCCCAGCTAGATGACAAACAAAGCACTTGTCAAAACTGAACTAGTCCTTACAGTATTAGGAAAGCGATTTAATGAAGGTTTGTGCGTTACCATTTAATATTAAGTTTTTGTTTTTCCCTTGAACAGGGTATCATTTTTCGGGTTTGGGCCAAAATGAACGGGCACCGCCAATGAATGCATCTAGATAAGACGCTACAACACCGAATACTGCAAAGAATGTACATATTACAGATACATAAGACTCACTTGGTTGTCTTTTGTTGATTTTAACATTGAATCGTGAGCACTTGGATGGATACCAAAAGTGAGATCATGTCTGTAAGAATAAAAATCACAAACGGAATTTATGAAAAAAAAATTGTCTAAAAACAGGCAGCGGAAACTAACGACGCGTAAGTACTGTTTTACGCGTTGCGTTGTGTCGTAAAGGTACCGAAACACGGGCAACAAAAAACGTGCATTTTGTTTTGCAACATTGCTGCAAAACGATTTGAATAGCGATGTTGCGCGTTTTACCAACTTGCTAACAACCTGATTTGTTGCAAGACAGGTTTTATGTGGGTGTTATGACGCGCAACATCGCCAGTAAACTCGTTTTGCAGCAATTTTGAAAAACAAGTTGCACGTTTTTTGCTGCCCGTTTTTCCATACCTTAAGCCAAAACAAAAAGAATTCCTCTCATTAATCGAACAACGCACAGACGGTGCATTGAAATTCGTGGAGATTAGACCTACCTTCGGACAGGAGACGTCGGGACTGATTTGGACCAAGACTGCTCTACAAGAGCCTCATCAACTGCATAAACAAATGAGTCGCCGTTTTAGTCTCTTTTGTAATGGCTCCCTGCTACTGAACAAGAACGTCCAGTAGAGTAAAACAAACAAATGATATTCATTGAAACACTGAATAAAGCAAAAAAAATCAAATTTTACTTAAAAGTGGCAAAGTTTAGACCAAAATTTCAATGAAGTTTGAAATTTGTTGTCTTTCTCCATGAAATTTCTCTCTGCTTTGAAAAAGCGTGGAGCGTAAGTGTGTGGCTTCCAACGAATTTTCGAACATTGAGGCGGCCATTGGTAGCCTGTGCCAGGCTCTCAGATAGTATAGTGGGGACGTATTAAACGAGCAAAGCGAAAATAAGACGCGCGCGACTTTTCACTTTCACCACTATCTCGGAGCCTGGAACAGGCTAGCCATTGGAGGAACAACCTCCCACAAACTCACGTTTCTTAACTCTATGAAGAAGCTGTGGCACAAAATTCATTACAATGCAAACAGTGGGAACAGCAACTGCCACCAAATTGAGTGAAACAAAGAGAAACTAAGAGATCAAAATGTTACAAGGAGGTATAAATAACACAACGAAGACAAAAGAAGGCACGGGTGGACAAACTCGAAGAAGATTTAACCGAACTGCACTTGCAGTTTTTTTTTTTTTTTAAGCCTAACAGTTTTTCAAAGTTCATTTTTGTTGACTGTAACCTCTAATATAATAAATTAGGAAGGACATTTGCTTGAAAAGAAGCTGTGATTTTGTCATTTACAAATATAATCCACGCTAATGTCAAGTTCCTTAGCGAATAAAGACGCGTCGTTGGAAATAAGGGACTTTAAGATTCAACGACGCAACGGCAACGAGAACGGACAACGTGAACGGCAACGAGAACATCTAAAAAAACAATAGGTTTCATAAGCAAAACAACAACTTTGCAAGTGCTTCAAGTTTTTTTGCACATTTCTTTACCGTTTTGGCACTATTACGACGTGAAAATACCTAATTTCGTGTTCTATGGAGAACGTAAACAAGCAACGACGAAATTTTATTTCGCTTTCTGAACTTGAGTATGGTCCCTTGGAATTCAAATTCAGGAGGGTTCGCGTACATATGACAAAGTTAGTAGGTAGGAATAATCGCGAGAAAGACTGAAAGAACGCAAATTCACTTTTTAAGCGAAGTTCTCGTTGTTTTCGCGTCGTTGGATCTTAAAGCTTCTAAACCAATGACCTACACAGCCGTGACACAGTCCCTTTTAAACTCATTTGAAGTTCACGGCACAGACTTTCGAGAGGCAAAATTGGTAGATAAAGGAGTTCGACATACCACCTGATTCAGCAGCCAAAGCTTCGGTCAACGTCAGTTTTGACGGATGTACTGGTTCTTTTCCTTCTTCGACTATGTTTCCGTTGATATCGCGAACTTCGCTAATCTGCAAATTGTCGTACAGAAAGAAAAAGAAAACAAATCACAGGATCGTTAGCAGCGTGTTTCTTTTTTTTTCCTTTTTATATCTTCTTCCTTTTATATATCTTCAAAGGGGCTGTGGGTGGCAGCTTCTAATGAAAGACAAAAACTCAGTAAATAAGGTTACCAACCCAATGGCCAAAAATCCGAACTCGGTGATTTCGACTTTCACTTTTATCGACTCGCTCAATACAATAGTTAATGTTAGTGTAATTCTAAAAAGGAAAAGTAACTTTTCTACTTTGTTACGCAGTGAAAAAAACTAGAATGCTTTGGCGGGGAAGGCAATAAAAACGAGGAAAACACAACTTCTGGGAAAACGTTTTAGGTCTGGCGAAATGCATTATTTCTCTACCAATTCCCTCTCTCTTGCCTCGAACCCATTACAGATAGACACTAGGGGTGATCACTGCCAAAGAGATTTGAGATATCCGAGTCCAATGGTTTCTTGTTTATTTTTCCTTGGGGCGAAGGGAGAAATCTCGAAGACGTGCGCCCATTGCCCTCTCGCGGCCTGCGAAAAAAAATAACTGGCCTAACAGGCTATGTGACACGGGCCTCCCAACATTGTTGTTGTTGTCACAGAGATGAAAGAGGGATGAGTTCTTCGAATTAATTCTGTATCGTCTTGCTTTGCCTGCTGTATTTTCCTCATCATAAGCATCCCATTTAACTGCAGTGATATAGCTATAAGAGTTGCCAAAACTGTGATAGGCGCGAAAGTGATAACTTTGTGTTTCGTCATATTTGCTTCATTTCTCGAATTTCGCACCAGAACTCGCTGTCTCCAGTCAGTATCCTCGGCCTTTTTTCATCTCGGAAACCGGGCTGAAATTTCTCATATTAACCAGGGCGGAATTGGTCCCCGTCAACCGGGCTCATGTGGAGAGGCCGTAAAGTGACCCACCCGCAGATTCATATCAGGGAGCTTAAGCAACGACGACGGCGACGGCAACAAGAACAGCAAAAAAGCAATAGGATTAGATTGGCAAAACAACAACTCTGCACGTGCATCACTCTTTTTTGTACATTTGTTTGCCGTCGTTGCACGACTACGACGTGAAAGTGCCTTTTTTCACGTTTTGTCGAGGATGGCCGAACACAAGACAACAACTTTCTTTTTCTTTTCCTGAACTTTGACACATTCCTTTAGAATTCAACTCCAAAAAAATTTGTCAACATTAATTTTGGGAAATTAAACGAGATGGAATAAGCGCGATAAAGTTTGAGGCAGTGCGAATTCACTTTTTTAAGTGACGTTTTCGTAGCCGTCCCCGTCGTTGTTGCTTAAGCTCCTTAATATTTTTTCTCACCTTGTCCACGCTCGCTCTCTCCACACCCATTTGTGCTGGAGCTGTAAGTGACCTTCTGTGCAAAGGTCTGGTACTCAGTCCCAGTCTCTCTGTTCTCAGTTTGTCCGGGGAGTGGGGCTGATTAGGGTTGTGTTGATACAACAAAGCTTTCCTGGCATTATCCAAGTCAGGAGGTTTAGGATCTGGGTCCAGCCACGGGGGACGGCGTTTCTCTGGTACAGAATGTGAAAAGTGGTACTCAGAAGTGTACATTGAGATGGTGTTCCCATGAATTATCACCTGACTGTATGTCATTTTTCATTCAGCTTCATTTGTATGTTGCTGAGGGGCCATGCCACTAAATAATGTGTTCTTGAACGAGCTTCAACTTAATAAAGTTTCTGGCTCGAATCTTTTGGCAGAATTCACCACTTTAGAAAAGAAAAGGGAACTAGAGCAGAAATATGTCCCGCAGTTGTTTCTGAGAATGTTTGAGGACGTGCCAGTCAGCTATAACTGGCTATTGGCCAATTTGTTTTACTTGTCTCTTGTAACAGTGCCAAAAGTGTTTGCGAAACAGAAAGTTAGCTTAGCACAGTTTCTTTCTCATTTCTTTAGTGGCAGCCTGCGAAAACAGCCATCTATGCTTGCCCCTCGCCGCTACGGACGTTTTGCTGGGAGGGACGTCTGCTACTCAGCAATATAAATTCCATTCTGATGATGTAAATCAAAGTTTAAATAACAAATCTGGTAGTCATGGGGGTTCCAAATGTAAAAATCACCATAAGAATTCTTTCTCCATTATACGCGCGAAAATTTGGAACAGTGCACCAGAAGCTCTGAGAAAACTCCTCAAACATAGATTCAAGAAGAAAATAACTGATTAATCTGTAATACCATATTTATTATTTTGTAATATTCTTTGTATTAATATTGTAATTTAAGTGTAAGTGAAATGTCTCCATACCAGAATTCCTCGATTAGATTCCCTATTTGCAGGTAGTCTGTACCTGAAATATATTGATTTTCATGTAAATGAAGTTTTTGTTGTTTGTTCTCCTTGCCAATTATGGTAAAGTTTTGTGTTCTTCTGCAAACAAGATCCTTCAAAACTTGGATACTTCTTCTTAAGAACAATATTTTCCACGAATATTGACTGTTTTGTAGTGTAGATTCATTGTGTTAACTGTGTTAACATTAATTTGACCTTTATGACCGTTTCTCTTTTGCTTGTTGACATTTGTGAACAAGAGTTAAAACAATACATGTATAACTACTATGTCGACCAATCAGAGCTTTTGACCAGATTCTGGACATAATTTTACCGTGATCAGTATGGAATTTCTGTTGTTGAGGTGCAGACATCCCCCCTGGTGAAACGTCCCTAGTAGGAAGGAGTGTGGTGAGACAGCCGTTTTCGTAGGCTACTAAAGTGGCAAATTGCAGGGGAAGTGGAGAGACAAGATCAACAGGGAAGTGTAAAAGATGGCACCACTATGGCACTGGTCCATGTAAGCAAAGAGATCTCACTCCACCCACCCAATCACTGCCATGACATTAAGGGCCTGTTTACATGAAGGTGGGGGTAACCCGGCGGTCCGTATAATCTCGTCAATCTCTCATTTTAATTTGACTATGATTTGACCACGTTAACATGATAGGTGGGGTGACCATATGAGAGATCATATGGACAGGAGGGTTACCCTAACGTGGGGTCTTTCACCTCCACGTAAACAGGCCCAATACACCAAATAAAACAGGTCACATCGTAAGGCCTAGAGCGCTGATCTGAGTATCTTACCATTTTCGCCTACCTACCACTTGCAATTCAGGACCAGGAAACTGTTGAGAGCCTGAATTCTAAGCGTTTTTACCATCTTTCATTCTACTGACTACAAGTTACCTTTTATCATTATAGTGGGGACATACGAAAAACTAATTTTGTTATTAATTAAAGAAAAAGTTGTTATATTAATTGCAGGCAGTTTCCTGCCACAGGTCAGGTGTAATCGCCTAAACAACCTGTATATGGAGACTGCAAAATAAACAAAAAGTACATTGAAAATTAATTTTAATAATTTTATGGTCATTTGCAGTCTACTACCATAAATCAAAAAAAGAACAGTTAACTAATACTTGACTACCTTGTCTATAGTAAGTAACTTCTTTGTTCTTTTTCTTCTCTATATGTATTTTATTTTTATCTTTTTCCTCAGCCATAAAAGCAGTGTTGTCAGCAAACTGCCCATACTTTTCTGCCTGAAGAATAAAGAATACAATGTAAGGTCTGTTCCTGCTCGTACATTGTATATTGAATTACAGTACTGTATTGTAAATCATATTATGTATAACAGAAAAAAAGTTTTAGAAGAATTTATGAAGAGAAATAAAAGGAGCATTTAACCGATTAATTTTCACCATGCAGGTATGCATGCAATGAGTATGCAGCATAAAGAAATTAAGTCCCAGCTGAGCGACACTGATTAAGTTTCAGCTCACTAATGTCAGCAACCTTAAAGTTTACAATCTTCCCCTTGTTATCATAATAACAAAACATTACCACGCCTTTGGTCAAATCAACAATCCCTTCCCTAAACAACCCTTAGAAGAAATGAAAGGCCTGACACCGGTATACCGTCAAGTGGCCTGAAAGTCATTCTTAACTGAGGTTATGTCAAACAAAACCAGAGTTATGTCGCGCAAAATGTTAAAACTTTGCACAACATAAATTAGCATTTCTGTCAAGATAACTCTGGTTTTGGACAACCTAATTTTGGGTGAGATGTCTTTGGGACAACTTGACTGGTTACCCCAGACAACACAAGGTTCTTTTGCTTGAAACAGCATGGTTTGTTTTTTTTTAATTGACAAGAAAACAGGGTGAAGTTCCAAGACAAGGGCAGTAGTTGAACATCAACACCCAACTGAATTTAGGTAAGGTCATAGCAGCCAGCAAGATCATACCATGAGCCTGGATTGAGCTGATCATTCTGGTCTGGATTTGAGCCCATTCTCTACTAACAGAGCTGGGTGGACAGTGGACCACCCAAGGTACACCCTTTCTAAGTAACCATTCAAATACAGACACCCCCATTCTAGATATGAAGTCCCCAAATCATGGCCTCACTAAAAATTCAGCACAAATAAAATCTCGTGATAATGGGATAAGTACCGTATTTCCTTGAATAATAGCCGTCCCTCCATTAATCGCCTCCCTCGAATATCAAAATGCTCCCCTTTGATGGAAATATTGAAAATAATCGCCTCCCTTGAATAATCACCCCCTCCCCACCCCTCTTTCCATCTTCTCTTTCTTTTATCTGTCAAGTTGAAGAGGATCTGATCCAGCAAAACTGATCAGTGACAATTCAAGCTCTGAATATTAATCAAGGAAACAAATTTGGAACACTTAAAAAGTCCATGTTCAGTTTATTTGATGTTATAATTTTTTGATTTAATGTAATAATAAAAAGGGCATGACTTCTAGTGAGCAATATTTTTCAAATAATCACCTCCCTCAAATAATCGCCTTCCCTCAAATAATCTCCCCCATTTGATGCTCAAAAAGAAATAATCGCCCCCAGCTATTATTCGGGGAAATACGGCACTTTAAGAAAGTATCCTGCCTCAGACTGTAACCTACCATTCTTGATGAAGCTTCCATATCAAGAGATCCAGTACACATGATATAGTGATGTTTCCAACATCCATATTCCCTATTATTGGGGGTGTATGGCAAATACCAGCCAAACCGTAGACACTTTGGCATCCAAATTACATCCTGCTCACTAATAAATTTCCAGTGCCATGAGACTTGAGCTGCACGACAAAGGCTTCTTGGATCAAGGAATGAGAAGATATATGTGCAAATAAAGCGAGGCAGAACAGTGGTGTAGTCTAAGTGATGTATTGGAAGCTGCTTTTTGAACCAACCTTCGTTGACAAACTTTAATTGAGATTTGGTACATTTCTTTAAGATGAAGGTGAGGAATTTTTTCCGTTGAGCATCTGTCCACATGGAGAACTGAAAAAATTAATCACTAATCACCATTTATTCAACATGTGAAACAGTGAAACCTTATGCAATAGAATTTATCCCCAGATATTAAGGATCTTGATGATAAAAATGAACATGTTTCTGTTCATGATGATAATGATGACGATAGTGAGAATGTGAATATGTATTTGAAACTTCAAATTACAAATACAAGTCCAGCGCCCTTACAATTAGAAAATCTTGTATCTTTAAAATTAATGTGTCCCTGTCAATGATCACCAGATGATTAACAGGCTCAGTCAGAGTACGTCATGTATGTGCGCACTGTATGTACACAGAATGCCTGGGTCATTTGCAGCTGTGTCTATCCTACACTGAGCATATTTATCACTGGGCATTAGCATTTTTTTCTTAGATGGCAAGTCACAGAGGGTGGGGACCCTTAAGCTGCCAAATGCCCCACATATGGAATAAAGGAAGAGAGAAAAATAATACCCTCCCCCTGGGTTCATCCCCAATAAACACTGCAGCAGTTTCTGCTGTATGTAGTCAGTGATAGCTTGAGCTGTGGCTTGATTAAGCGATAAAAAAAATAAATAAAACTGCGAAAATATACTTTTAAAAACCTCTACAAGTTTGTCCAGTCCTTGATGGTTAAGTCAAACTGTAATAAACTGCTGGTCCTCTCTTATAAAATCCTCCATATCTGGATTTTGAAGCGAATAACATGCGTGTGTCTCAAGGGCTAGGGGTAGCCCGAAGGTGGGCAAACTCCTGGCCCATGCTACCCCACCCTCAAAACTGACAAAGTGTGCAAATGCCTAGTATAGTTGCCCTGGGGAGGCAGGGATGGGCACAGATCACTGATGTGATGCACAAGATAAGCAAAGCACTATTGCATGCAAAATATTTGGCAAAAAATGAAAAGGAAATTGCCAAGCAGTTTTGACTGGGAATAAACTCTGCTGTGTTGAGCAAATGCAATGGAGTAGTACCACATCAGAGAGTATGTGCATCACCATATAATATGCCAACTCTCCTAGATTATGCGAGACTCCCCCGGATATGGTACCAATCTCCCAGTCTCCCATACAGGTCGCCAAATCTCCCTTTTGAGCTTTTCTGTAATTAAGTTTTTCACTGACAAAGACTATTTCGTCAAAGTGAATTTTGATGGTCTGCACTCCCTTAAGACTTTGTATAAACTCCATAGCCACACCCATGTTATAATTTGGGGGCTCCGTCAATTTGTGAATATCGGGAGGGGGGTGGTAGTTGATATTTTGCAGGGGTTAATGTAAAAGAAAGAGTCTCCAGATTTTAAATCTCCAACGATCTTGCACCCCTATCACAGGCCCTTGACCCGACGTGTCTAAAATGTTTCAGAAAAAATGTTTTAGATCGATGGCAACTTCGTACCGACTTCGTGAAAGTCATTTCTTCATTATGTGCAGAGAAAGTCTTGCTGTCAAAAAAGAGCCTAAAATTCCAGTTCACTGAACTTCGCGTATTAAGGTTTAAGAGATCGACAGATGCCCATGAAGTCTCGATCTCAAGGCCGATCCAACTTAATGGCCGACAAGCAGATGTTTTACAAATTTAAGCTTCGTTTCCACATTTTTATTTTGCTTCTGCTGGCCAATTTGAATTTCCTTTTTCTCGCTGCAAGCTCTCTCAATGTCTTACCCAGTGTCCGATGAGCTCTAGCCGTTCCAGAAACATCTGTAGAAGCAGAATAGAAAACAATAATAAGCTCTCAATTAGCACAAGTGCCTTTTCAAAATTCAAACTGTGAAGTTGTGAACCATCACAAAGGACTTCAAATTGGTTGTTTAAACACAGTTACAAACCGGAAAACGAGAATAAAAGGCAACTTTAAATTGCTGACTTACTTGATTATTGGAGGCTGCATTCATAACAGGCGTCCAAGCACTGTAATGTGTCTTGTATTTATCGGTATGGAATCCATGTTCTATCACGGACGGCGAAATTCGTGGTTTCGAGTGGCCTTTCGCGCCAACTAATTCGTTCTCCTCTGCCGATCTTCGCGTTTTCTTGCCATTTGCAGACGATAAACGTGCAGCTCGTGGATTTCCTGCAGACATCACTGGCCAGAATTATATATCAAAGATTTTTTCCAATAAAATTAACGAAAAAATCAAGTCCTGTTTCTTCCAAACCGTTCATAAAGCGCGCATTTTCATTCGGCGTCCTGGGGTTGTCAAGGAAAGCGACAATCTCTCCTTAGGTTACCCTAGAGGGGTCTTATAACACATACATGTACATTATGTTAGAGTTTAATTTAAAGAAAAAAGGAAAGTGACCAAAAAAAGAGGAAGCCAAGTTTGGACTTAATTTTTTTTTCTTACATTAGCTGTGGAAAAGCAGCAAGGATCTCAAAAGAACAAGAAAATGTTTGTTTTTTCAGGTGTCCTGTTAAAAGTTTTTTTGGTATGCCTGTGTCAAATATTGGCAGATCAAAGAGCCTGGATCCCACAGTTCCCACAACAAAGTTATCATTTACCTCCTTCATGCCTTTTTCACTACGCTCGTCGAAGACACAATGAGGAGAAAACATGTCCTTTGGACGGGGATTTGGACAGTCAGGAAACCAGAGCTTTGACGGTACAAGGGCTATTTAATTACGCTTAACGTTTCGACTATTTAAAGAAAGCTATGGTTTTGGTTATCAGCGGTAGTGTGACGTGAATTTTGTTTCACTTTGTACAGGCAGCCGACCAAGCAAATTTCTGTACAACTCCGGAAAAAATAAAAAGAATGATCCTTGGCGTACAGATGATCCTGACATTGAAGATGGGTTAGAACTTGCTCTCCAGCCTAAAAATAAGTTTCTTAAAACAAAAGACAATCGCAACTTGCCAGGTACGAGCGATGTTTGTTGTAATGAAGTCTCCGTTTACTGACATTTCTTTGCTGATTACTCTCTTTCGTAACTCTTCACGCAGGATCCGAACTAGACGGCGTCTGGAGTATACGCAAAAACGTTCAAGTGAGCCAAGCTAGCAAGAACGGCACGTTTTTAAACACAAACAAATCGACACCTTCATATTATTCAAGGCACGGCGGATTGAGTGGTAGGCCTAAATGCGTGTTAAATAAACTATTCTAATCTGCAGTAATCTGCAGTACGTAAGCTTAATTCGTAATCTTTGAACTTGGCTTTTTTATTTTTCTTGAGTAAATCGCAAGCTTAATTTCAGACTAAAACGGCCGCTCTCTCAAATGAGCTTTTGTTTTTGATACCGTAAGTTTAATTTGAGCTATTGTTGCGGAGAATTTGTGTTTACCTCGAACGCAAACTCACAATCTAGCAACCGCTCTTGATAGTTTTTACGCTTGGCTCAATTTTCCACCGATTTTTTCATCCCGTCACCACAGGTTCTGGAGATGCGGAAAGTTCGGCACTGAACAGAGCGCAAAACGACGAATTTCTCAATTCAAGTAGTGGTAGGTATCATTTATATGTCGTTCGTGTGGTGTTTTCTGTCAAAGTTTATTTTGCGGTGACAGTTTTTTTCATTAAATTTTACCGCACTGCGAGCAAACCGTTTTGTCGCTAGCTGAGTGAAAGTCGGTTTTAATTAATAAGTGATGTTTTGTACGTTGTAAAATTCACCTGCTTTCAGTGTGGCAACTTAAATAATTATTTGTTAAAGAATTATCGATTCCGTGGATACTCAGGAATGTTAAGCGAATCTTCTAGATAGGAATATCTAATATAATCTTATGGTTTTAAGGGATTTAACAGATCTTGTTTAACAAATTGAAAGATTTGTAGAATATGATGCTTACCGGTAATTCTGACATATTTCCATGTGATACTTTTTAAGTTAAATTAATTAAACCGAAAAGTAGGCGTAATTGAAATTGAGATTATTGTGTTTGGGTACATTTGTACTTGTTCTACTCAACAGCAGGAAAAGTTTACTTAAAGAATTGTGCTAATAATTTGTCATCTTATGTTTCTAAATTTTCGAGATATCACTTAAACTCGTTAAGATGAAAGGTTTATCTTCTCCGAAGTTCTAATCCTATCTGTGTTCCCTAGTGTAAACATTTTTTCTATAGAGGGAAAAAAAATGATGCCAAAATGTCTTTCTAGGTGTAGGTCTATTCTGGCACCACATTCTTAAGGGCTACCCCATGTTTGGTTCTGCTCAATTCAACACTAGCATCGTTTTAGCTCTTCACTCAAGGCTTGTATGATATCTCCATCAACTGATCAAACAGACATGCCAATGTTTGTGAGCATGACATCTAGATAATTTCTCCTTTGCACTAAAAACCACCTCCCACCCCACTTCCAACATTAAACAGTTACAGTTGTCATAAATGTTTGCGAATGATGAAAAGTGTGTGGTTGTGCTGTTAAATGTAATTTAGGGCCAATCTGCACTAGCGAAAAAGGTGTTTATTTAGACGAATTTTCTGTCATCACCAACGCTTAACAAATGGGCACCGCAGAAATACGTTTTTGAAGGCGCGATACAGTATTTTGCTGGTCAGCGTCATCGCCTTTAAAAATTAAAAACACCGGCAACTTTAAATTGGTTTTCAACGCGAGCCCGGTTTGCGATGAAAAACCCCAAAACTTAGAGCGAAAACTGCAAACTTAGCGCCTGAACTTCACCTATCGTTTCTATTATTCGTATTCCATATTTTATGTCGTGCCAGAGTTAAACTGAGCTTGCACAGCATGTGAAATTGTTGTCTCGCGTAAGACTATCGCGGGCGCTTTGGTCTTCGCAACATACAAATTTTGTTTTGAAGAAAATGCTTTGTTCAAAGGCCAAAACCAGGAGGCTTTTCGGATGGCTGTAGCGGTATTTTAAGAAAAGCAAACCCTCAAGTATGTAGAGCTGGTGGTCTGCAGCCTAATGAAATGGTTTGTCAGCGCCATTTTGATAAAATTCAAGAGAGGGCGACAGGAGATGCTCGTGTCCATCTACTTGGGGACACTCTTCAAGGCTGCACGGACCCACGCGATTCCTCATCATTTCTTTCCCACTCTTGACCATGCTGGTTTTAATTTTCCTAATTATCAACCTGGAACACGGTGGTGCAACAAATGTCGCAGTGACGCTCCATAAAAGAATACAAAACTGGCCAAAAAGTGACAAATCGGGAAAACATCGCCACTAGTCAACAAGATCACACGCAGGTAAGTTTTCTTAATATGTTCATTTTTGTAGGATGTTCAAGAAAACCTGGAATGATCCTTTGATATTGATTTATTTATTAGTGTTGTGTATTTCAGAGTTTATTTACTTACCTCAAGTGTCTTTTTCCTATAATAATAGTTATCACATTGATCTTTTACAAAATTGTCTTAAATTTTTTGTGTTGTCAAAGTTTGTTATTACCCAATACTACCTACAGCAAGTTTGTAAATTGATATAAGCTAATAACTTGGGACATGAACATTCACAAAAATTATAAATGATACTATCCGTTTTCAAAAGCAAAAGAGTTTTGTCAGAAAAATTTTTAACACTGTTTGGCATCCAGTACTCTCCCTCACATTTCTTCTCCCTGGGGTTGTTAGAGATAATTATTGTGAAGAGAAATCAAACTTTATCTCCAATATTTAAAAAGCACAGGTGGTAAAAAGGACATAGCAAAACAATATAATGAAAAGGCTGGTAAAAAATACTCCAAGGAGAGAGAGAACCTGAATCACCATGAAATTCTGCATAAAGCTTTATTATTTTATAAAGACATGATAACATTGACCTAAAATTTAATTATCATTTTTCAGGCTTCTGAAGGAAACAACAAAGCTTTACATGTGGGATCCACTGCTGAACCAGAGCTGGAGCCACAAACAGTGGTATAGGAATAATTTTCTTAAGTGACTGTGTTTTATAAAATAATTTCCTGTACTGGCTTTAAAGAGTAGAGTACTTGTATGTATTTCAAACAAAATGAAACATTAATTTTGACTCTTCATATTTTCTATTCTTGTGTGCCATCAGCAGAATTCTCATTACTGGACTATTGCAGAAGGGCAGTATGGTCCAATGTTGGTTGGGGAAGATGGTGACATCATGATTGAAGCATCCACATGGAAAAATATTCAGGAAAAGTTAAATGGTGAATGTAGACACCCTTACTTTGAGTGTTGTTAGAGATAATGCAGTACTATTATTATGTTCATGCCAAAAACATAACTTTTATGCTGCGGTTTAAATTTATCGTTGGTTCAAATGTTATTTTCCTTTGTTTAAAACTCATTATGACACATTACCATACCCCAAAACAAAGAAAAATAAATTTGAGCCATAGGATAAAATTAAACCACCACACATATAATTCCTAAATTAGGGGCTTCATGGTTATAATAAAAAATAATAAAAATAATGTGTACAGTTTAATGAACAAGCAGGAATGCTTTATCAAGTTTAAAACACCAGTCACAGCTGAGTGTTTTAGACTTAATAAAGAGAGAACTGTGACTTTATTATCAAACAGCTTAAAAATCTCTCGAGGCACATTTATCCATTCATGCACTAATACATGTATTTAGATTTGGGTTATTTTGGCTAAGAAAATTGGTCACATCATTAGCATATCAGATATATAATACAATGTATATTATAATAAAGGATTTTTGAATTACATCTATTTGTAACACATCTTTAAGGTATTTTAAAGCAATAATTCTTAGTACTAATCAGTCATTAACTGTGACAGAACCCACATTCAAAGAACAAGTTGATGCCCTAAGTAGACAAATAGACAAATGTGAAGATCGAAAAAGATTAGTGAGTCAACCAGTTTTTAAAGAGTTCCTCGAGTCCAATGCCCCTACACTATACAAGGAAATCCTTGACAGTATCTTGTCAGAGCGTCATGGTGAAAAAAGGGCCAACCTGCAAGAGAAGAGAACAACAGCCCTTATATGGCAGCTTCTATATTACAGGTACTTAAGGGTGCAATAATTTTGGTAACTACATATATAGAAAGTCACAAGGCCTAAAGCATTCACAAATGATTTATCTGGAATCCCATTCAAAGAATCTTATCCAAACCTCATGATCATTGGAGGCAGAAGTGGGGAGACATCATTATAGCAATATTGTGGGAAAGGTGGGGATTTAGTACTAGTAACACTTTTTTCCTGACTTGAATATCATCTTCCGCTGTAGATAATTATATTACAATACTGATCTACACTACATTATGTATAATAATTGTCTGTAAACGTACCTACGTGAAGTACTTTCTATGGAATATACAAGCACTGAGATTGAGAGTTCAATATTATTTCCGAGTTTTTTCGGAAAATATGTGACTTACTAATGCTAAATGTGTCAAGTCTGGTATGACTTTCAGAAATCAGAGACACGGCGAATTTATGGATGAAAGCTCCATCTTCTTGGAACTTAATGGTCTGTCATCTAGTGGTATGGCCCTTGGTAAAGTGTTGGGATTTGCAAGAGATGAAAAAACCAAGACTCATCAGAAGCACAAAATGGCATCTGACCATTTGACAAGGGCTAAAAAAATGGCTTGTGAAGCTTTTCAAAACGTAAAAATAATACCTGATAGAAATTGAAAAAAATGTTCCTGAAGGTACCCACCAATGTAGTTACAAAACACAACAACATCCGTATGATAAAAAGCATTTTCTACCTACAAATTAAGCCTGTGATTTTGAGATCTTTATAAAGTATAATACAATTATTTATAATCACTTTCTTTCCCTTTCAACTTTGTCTTAACAGAAATTCTTTCAGATACTATCTATGGACGATTTCCATGACATTAATGCAATAAAAACAATAACCAAAGAATACTCACCACTGCTGTTCATATAGCGACTCTTCTTTTGGACATCCAGTCCTCTGTTCCTGCAGTTCCTCATCCTGTTGAGCCAGCCAATATTCACCGATGTGACATGGTTTCAGAAGGTGGTGGTACACCCACAGTCTGCAGAGGTGGAATTTCAAGTGATGCAGTGGTTAATGAAATGAGGGAATTCTGGCCACACTATAGTGAATGCTTTTCCTTGGAGAGTTTGCCTCGGCCATACAAGGGGATCGATCTATGTAGGATGCAGCAGTCCATGAAGGAACTACGGTAAGCAAGTAGAATAAATTCTTTTACGTTAAGTCCAAAATGTCATTTCCATCACCTGGTATAATAAGAATTGCAGTGTGACTGCTCTATTTGCCTTGATTGGTAGAGTTAACTCTCTAGTCAAGCCTGAATTATTTTTCAGCTACTTACTTGTAGGTAGCCTGTGCTGCAGACGAAACTAAACCTAAACTTGGTTTGTTTACATGTACAACACAGGCTACAGTGTAATTACACTTACAATGTTCTTCATTCAACTGTGAGGATCACATTCACTTCCATATCTTCAGCTGCAGTTCAAAAATATAAGAATTCATAATTTATTTATTTAATCTACTAGAAGTTACCTTGTAAATTCCTTTTTTACTAAAATGTTAACACTTAGCCACATATGACTTTTTTATTGCAGAGTCTATTCAAGAGAGGACCATGAAGAATGCCAAACGTTAAAATCCACCATACTAATCGATGAAATCGAACAAAATCTGCACAGTAAAGATGACTACCAGGCCTGTCATCAGTACATTTTGACACCATTCCAGAGTTCAGAGATTTCCTAAAATTACATGTGGCACCTACAGTTGGTGACTGGCCCACATGGTACCATCAGAAGAAGATTGTTTGCCATGCTGACTTGGATCAAGAAATTACATCCCTGATTCCTGAGCTGGGACAGTTTCATGTCTACTTGAATAGTTCAGAAGATGTTGTAAAGCAGTATTATCCCATCTTCAAAGAGATCTATGGATCAGTTTTTGGCCAAAGGGTAAGACTGCCTGAAAAGCCCAGGCCAGATAAAGTAGCACTGTGTATCACACTATCATTCTGTGGTTGGCTGAACATCCGTAGCCAGGTTATTCAGGCCTTCGGACTAAGCAAGGACACTGAATATACTTGCCTACTTCATCTCTTTGAGGAGCTTATTCCTTTGTGTTTCCTGCACTACCCAGTTATAGTTAGAGGAGGGCAATTTGAAGAGCTGACATCGTCAATGAAGCGCCTGGCCATCATGTTTGTAGCCATGGACCGCCATCACTACAATAAAGCATCACTTTCATGGCTCAGCGATGTACAGCACCAGCAGACAAACTTTCCGAATATTATGATGCCAAGGGTACCTTATGTCCAGTCCTGAATGAAAAGAAGGTTGAAATCTTTCATTCGAAGTTAAGATCCAAAATAAGAAAGACAGACAAAGGAGCAAAAATTCAAGAAACAGCCAGACTTATTGCCAGATCAAACTTTGAAGAGGATGGCTTTGAAAGAAGTTATGTTCCACAATGTGTAAGAGGATATAGTGACCAAGACTTGCTTTTGCTTTCAGGTAAATAAAAGCCTCCATGTCTATATATGTTGTGGTTTAACTTAATCCCTGGTTTAAATTTTTATTTTCCTTTGTTTAAAACTTATCATCATACATTACCATACCCAAAAACAAAGAAAAATAAAATTTAAACCAAGGATAAAATAACCACAACATATAAATCAGTGAAAAGACTGATTGTTGTACTTTCAACCTACAATGTTACATGCCTGTTACGAAAGACAAATTTTTTTTTTAATGATGATTTTCTTTCAAATTGTATGATTTTTTCAGGTTTAGCATCTGAAGGCATTATGGCTATGTTTGAGAGAGTTGCATTGAATCTGGGTAAATCCTACATGCTTCCAAGACCACTAAACAGAGCTGGCCGTCCATATGGCAAAGCACCATACTACCTAGCAAGTTTTCAGACAGAATTCACTGTCAAGTCATTACCTCTAGGGTACAGATGGCCTTCTAGCCGACCAAATCCTCAGCTAGACTGTGATGCAGAAGCATGCCATCATCCTTCTCATTCAAACATCCAGCGACTGACATGTGGCCATACATTCCATTCTCCCTGCATGTCCGATGAGAATGGCAACAGTCTTGGATGCATCATTTGTCTTCGTAACTTGACTGCTGATATCCAGAAGCTGTCCCAAGCCTGGAACATTCGCCTTTTGTCCGGTCTGAATGAAGTTGAGGAAGATGGTGGTGATGGCAATGACGATGATGATGACGATGATGGCAACAATTCTTCCATTCCAGAAATACCTGATGTACCAAAAGACCACAAGTATTTCAAGTCACCACAATTCATTGAGTACATCAGAGAAAGAGTTAATAAGATTACATTGGCTGTCAATGCCCAGGCAGAATCTCATGAAGAGTAGGCGGTTTCTTGTGTATGAAATCATGACAAAAGGTGTAAAAATATTGCCACTTGATTTAAAAAATGGAGACTGGTATCACTTTAGAGGTCAATTGACTACTGTTGAACTCACTTACAACTTGCAGTCAAAACTATAAAAATTATTGACCTTCCTGCATATACATCGACTGTTGATGAATGCAGTTGTCAAAGGTACTGTGTATACATGTATGTAGCAAGGTCATTTTTCACAGAACTACAACATATACAAAATAAACGCGTCAAGGGTCTATTGGTAATAAATATAACTCAGAAAATGTGAGAGTGCATAAAGTGTAAAAAATGAAATGTATAGTAATGTCTTTAGCGACTATGAATGATGCACTGTTTGTAAGACGGCAGTCTAATGTTTCGAGAAAACATGAATAATACTTAAGCTAAAGCAAGTTTATACTGTAATTAAGATTACACTGTATACCCCTAATAATATTGTTTAAGCTTAATGTGAAACGGAAAGCAAAAATTATCACTGATATGTAAATAGAAGTCGACGGCTAAACCAAGTCGACAAAGGCATAGTTATGAAACTGCAGATTATTTAAACTTACGTTTATTTTTAAGTCTTAAGCTTAAATTCTAACATTCGATTCAACGGTAGCTGAGCTGAGTAAGCTTAGCGCCTCCAATAAAATTATTTATGAATTCTCAAAAAGCGTCTTACCTGTATTGCAAGTTATAAATGCAAATGCTACACTTAAAAACCTTCCCAGTCTTTCTTGTTTAAAATCTTCTGTTTTTCTGGCTCCCCAATGTAGCTTCTGGCACATTGTACTGACACGCATCCAGGCAACGCCTACACGGGTTACCGCTTTAACGGTATTTACTGGTTCTTTAGTTCGGTCACGATCTTTTAACATGATTAAAGGAAGCTAGTCTCAGAAAGGCGAAGACTGCTCGTGAAATTCCACAATAAACACGGCCTCAACGTTTCATAAACACGTGCAAGCGGAGACGCAGCGAAGGAAGCGATCTCTTTCATCCGATCGAACAAACTCAAATACCGCTGACCAATTGCTGTGACGTCACAAAACGTATTTCTGCGGTGCCTAACAAATGTGGATGGTTTATCGTGATTTTACAAGTTTTGTCCCAGACAGGACAATCTTCAAAGACGCTGTGGACAAAATTTGTCCTGGGTTAAAAATTGGACAAAATCGACTTAACAAATGAAAAATAATGTGTTTTACTTGTCAATCATTTGTTGTAAAGCAAGTGTCCTTTCCATTAAGTAGTGACAGATGCGACAGCCTGTTAAGAGTAAATAGTTTCCAGACAGTGGTGATAATTTTTTTCTAAACAAAAATTGTCATCATACAAATTTTGGCTTGGATGTTTCAAAGACAATTCCAAATTTGCCTACTTGTGCAGATTGATGGTTTTCACGGTGAAGTCATCAGATTGCAAAGTCAAAAAAGCGAGGTTTTACGAATTCTTATTTACACTAGGTTGAAGATTAATAGGAAATAAATCTTTGTACAAGTTTCCAGCCCGAAGCATGTTTCATTTCGAAAATACAGCAGTTTGAACTTCCAAGTTTTCACAGTGCATGACACCAAAATAGGAATGCTATCTCCTTGAAAAAAGTCTCTCCGCTTGATTTTCAGCAGTTTAACCATTTCACGTATTAGAAGATATGTTTATGGGCAAGTATGCTAGTTCTCGAGTGAAAAGGAGGAGCTTTTATAGAAAAAGTGAACTCCAGATGTTTTTGTTGATTTCCGGCAGCCATATTGGTGGACAGTTTCTGTCCACCAATATGGCGTCTCCATACAAAGCTCTACAAAGGTGCTTGAAATGTTTCGGCAACTAACTCAGAAACTGTGGGCCACAAAGACCTTAGATTTGGACAAATTGTTTATATATTAGTCTTTTATAATATTTCATTTTCTTGGCTTCTTCCACTGGATGGTTTCAAATGTGTTTTTTTGTGCCGTGTTTATTGCGTGACAGTGAAAACGAAGAATAGGCCCTTACACTGTAAGTGGGCCTTCAAGAAAATTGAGGCTTTTAAAAAAATACTATATCCCCCTATAGAACAGTGCTCAAAACACAACTCCACGCTGGAGATTTGGTGACATGTACAGGAGACCAGGGCTTCTTACCATTACATGGGTAAACTGGAAATTCGGTTGGAAAATCAAATGGTTTGTGCCATTCTATTTGGGAAGTGTCAGAAACTATAGGCTGTCATTTTAGGCCATGCAATTTCTATACTTTTTCTGGTCAGTTCAGCTGATTTAGATATACTTTGTGGGTTATTCTTCCACAAGATCAACACTTAATGGGGTTAACCGATAGGCGTAAAACAGCCCAAAAATTAGTCGATAGCCGTAAAAATTGAAAAATTTTAACCATTAGCCGAAAATAGTGTAAAAAAGAGTTAACCGTAAAAGAAATTGTTCCCTAGATCTGTTGATTTTAAAGAAGGTGCTAAACTCTCTTATGGTTGCATTATCTGTCTGAGACTGGCCTGTGCACAGTCGCCCCCTCCCCCACAGACACCCCTTCTCCAATTTTTTCTGAGGGGAGGAGGCGGCTGTACACAGGCTGTCTGAAACGGATAATCCATCTTCAAACTGTCCGTCAAAGCTGACGGATAAAGTCAGGCGGATTGTTCATTCAAAATTAAAACTCTTTCCATTTCAAATTAAGACGTATTACCCATCTGGTGCGAATTAACAAACGGATAACCCATCTCACACGAATAGTCCATCTCTAGAGTGAAACGGCCATTTCTTTTATAATGAATTTCCCCCCCTTCGCCTTGAGTTGGGCGTTTGCTTGTATGCTTTTCTTTTCACAAAGAGTATTTTTAAATTGACTATTGAGATTTCTATGCATAAAATAATATTAAAAATTGAATACTTTAGAAATAGTATGATCTATCAAATGTTAAAATTCTTCAAAAAAGTAACTTCATTTTATCCCGAAATGGTCCCAAGACCTTTATTTTGCTTTGAAGGTACAAAAAATACAGGTTTATTAATATTTCATTCTAAATGAAACAAAAGAAATTAATTTTAACTTTTTTGTTAACTGTAACTAAAAAGAATTAACCGATAGCCATAAAAGAGACAAAATGTTAGCCGATAATCGTAAAAGCCACCACACCATTGAGACCCTCTTTAGAGGGAGAATCCCTTGAGATTGATTTATATGGACGTACATCTTTCTCATATGTGATGTGCTTGTGATAAGCTTACAACACAAATTACGTCTGACTTGTGAATGTTGTCAGTTTGGTTTGCAATGTACATGCTAATTGTAAGCACATTGCATATGACATAAGTTCAGTGTATAGTGTAAATTACCCTTTAAGGAGAGAGTGCACAGGAAGACACCAGATTAGGGTTTTTCTTCCCACACCCCTTTAACTGATCATGCACTGGGAGCTTAATGTTATCTCCCATCTCAATTCAGTGGAATTGAATTGCACCTTTTCAAATACTGTAGACTGGTTTAAGGTGTACCAATTCACACTCCGCTACAGTGTGCAGTGTTAAACAAAATGCAGTAGTGTAATTTTATATCCTTTTCTTTGGCATTTTCCTTCAGATCATAAATCATGGAGTATGGCGAGAAGCTCAAACTTTTCATACTCAGATAAACCAAAGTTTGGTGGAGGTATTCATGCTTCATCAGCAGATACCCAGCCTGATGATTTTTTGGATTCAAGAAGTTCTTCAAGCACAGATCATGAAATTAATGATATGGTGCACAAGAAAAATCTTTTGAACAGCAAACTTAGGATGGCAGGAGGTAGGACTTAAATTACACCATTAAAACAATCTTCAGTCATTTATATTGTAAATAACATTTTTTTGTGGCTATAAAAAATTGCAGTAAAATTTTGCTTAAAAAATCGTAAGAAATGTTATTTTAAAAAGCATGACGACGTTTCGACGTTCTCAGACGTCATTTGCAAGTCAAAAGAAAATAGCATGCATGTTCTATAAATACTAGAGAAAGCAATAGATCATTGAAAAGAAAAGTAACATATTAAAATCTGTTACAAGTTAAGTAATGATCCAGGTAAGACAGGAAGCAATTCCTTTTGTTATGGAACAATTTACTTCCCTCACATAGAAATGTTTTCATTTTCACCCAGAGAATGCATAAACCTACAAAAAGGTAGTTTACAAAATGAAATGAACCTCCATTTCAAAAGGGTGTTTTTTTCTGTTAAAGTATTTTGACCAATCAGAAAAGTTACAAACGATAGCCAAGAAAAGTTTACAATTTTACATGTTTCTCACAGAGCATTTCTGTGTTACTTAGACTCAGATGAGATTTTGTTATAAGGAACTGGGTTGGAAAACAAAGGATTTATATAAGTGCTGCTTTGCAAAGATTTCAAAAAATCTGCTGTTTAAACCAAACAGAAGTATATTACAAACAATAGTAAAGTTAGTACCTTTTTGCATTGGCACTTGTTCATTGCATTTGGTTCTTTCCTTCTTACATGTATCTGGACCGCTAAACGAAGAGTTTCACACTAATTGAGTCACTCTAAATATTAATACTGGGCCTGAGTTCTTTGATGCATAACATCTCCTAAATGAGGCAATCGTGGCACTTCTCTAGAGATACATTATAGAACACGAAAAATAAAAAACACTTCTTTAGAACACAAGAAATAAAATGTAATATTTTATTGAAAAAGATGTGACCCTTTTTGAAACAATCAACTCTTTCCTTGAAGATGCCTTTCTTTTACTTAAACCTCACCAAGAAGGCACAACTTCCAAATAACAAGCACAATATTTTGTTGCTTTAAATCTCACTAAAATAACAGAATACAAGCGTTTTTTATAGTTATATTACAGCTGTATATAAAAGCCACATTACATAAATTAATAGGGTATGCCTATGTTTTTTTTAGCTCCCCAGATATCAACTCGTGAAATGTCAGCAAGGACACGACGTGCAAAAAAGATGCATGATGCACATCTCAGGTCAATGGGTTTGGGGCAGTTCACACCAAGCGGTAATGGATCGTACATTTCACCAGGCGAGGAGCAAAATAAAGATGATGACTTCTAGTTGATATAATACATGTATGTGAAAAATGGTTCTGGTCAAACATTGATTAAGTTGTTGCATGCTCTCAGACTTTCAGAAGGAAAATATAAAGAATTTAGAGCAATTGAAAAAATCACTGCTCTATGGTCTTCATAGTCTACTGTAAGTAAAATCTGGATAGGAAATCTAGCAAGAGAAGTTGAGGGACCATGGTGTTTTTAGTGTTCCACCAATTAATCTTACGTTATATGCTAAGTATCTTGCAGTAATTTATTTGCATAAGTTGTTTGTGACAGGACAACTCTCAATCCTGTACTAAACACTTAGCAGGAGCATCCTTTCATTAGCAGGTATCATGATACAACATTAATGACCTGGTCTTGTCATGCAGAGGAAAGTTGATGAAACAAATGCACTGGCCACGGTTCCCTCACTCTCATCATAGCTTGCTAGACTCCTGATTGGAGAATGTATTATTTAATAGATGTACAATAATTTACATTAGAATTTTTTTAACTGTACATATTACAAGCATGATTTGGCAAATAATTTATTTTATTTTGGTAGCCTTTTAAGATAACATTGACAAGAAACTCTGATGACTGTGAGCGTTCAAATGAAACCTCTTCAGCAGTAGTTTCACATGGTACCATTCGTTTTTTTTGGTGTTTGACAAAAAAAAGAAAAAAAAGAAAAGAAAAAGCACGTAATCAGATCATACTGTACAGATGGGGGTCAAAGATTGCCTGCTTATAAGGGTGCCAATAGAGCTGCCTGGTTCCTCACGAACAAAATTTCTGAGAGGTTGATTATTATTTAGGAAGATTAGATTACAGCCTTGAACAGATCGATGATCGATGTATTTTTGGAGTGTTTGTACTTTTTTCAATGTTATGCATCATCTTTTGTGTACATACAATGTTTCAGTTTTTTCGAATTCAATAGGAAAGATGAAGAAAGTAATTATTAAGTACAACGCCCGTATATCAGTGAATCCTAATTTATTTGTAACGATTGATTACTAGGCTCCACTTCTAGCCGTTTGAGGGCCTTATTCTAACATATGGTGGTATTAAATCGAGCCTAATTGATTACTGCATATAAGTTTAAAATAAAGTGTGAAATGAAGACAGTACTGTATCCCAACTTCTCATTTGAATATGGAAGGGTAATTCTTATCCCTCCTGGGAACTATTCCCTATTTTATAGACGCGAGTAAACACTTCTTTATATCTCCCGTAAATCCTCTACTAAGCGCTCCCCTCTCTAATAACCCCTGCCCTTTTCCTCGGGGGAAAAGTTATTAAGCCCCCTCTATTTTTTAAAAGTCCCTTCCCCCTCTCCTCCCACTATATTCTTAAATGGTGTCCGGTCGTTTCGCTACAAGTTGTTTCGCTGCATAATGAAGTCGATTCGCAGCGAAGTTGTAAAGGCCTTTCGCTGCATCATGAAGTTGATTTGCTGCAAAACATTTTTCGTTTCGCTGCATACTTGAGTAAATTCCCATCATGATAAAAGTTAAGTCTCTCCATTCCTTCAGTTTATGTTGTTGATATTTTCGTGGAATCGTTTTTCCAAATCTTTTTTCTTCCCGTAGTTTCGGAATTCGGTTCGAAATCGCACAAACCCAAACGGCTCTTTTAAGAGCCACCAACTTTAACTTAAATCATGGCCAATAAAAACTTATCTAGTTATAAACATTACTACCTTATCTACCTATAACAGCAAAAATCGATTGAACCAAAGAAAATTCCGCCCACAATGGTATCCAAAGTTTGCTGGTGTTCATGATTAACTCAGCGAAATGGTAATTCACTCGTACGCGGTTTGCAGTTAATTTTAAGTGTCTTTTAAACGGTTTTATGCAAAAAGTCCAGTTCAGCGCCATCCGGACATGATGCAGCGAAACGACTTTGAAGTGAAACGCTGTCATCATTAGGGAGCTTAAGCAACAGCGTTTTTGAGCGACGGACGTCAACCGGAAGTGGACTTTTTGCAGCATTGGGCTGTGGTTTGGTTGAAACCCTTAGGTAAATCGTCTTTATAGGAGAAAAGAAACTCAGCAATACAAATTTGGTAGTGTCCAGGCATATAAAAAGGGAAAAGGCCTATCTTCCGGTTGACCTCGTTCCCATACAGTGAGGGAGCATCAGGCAAGATTTTGCGTTTCTTTACGTTGAACACTGCCGCAAAAATCGAAAGACAGAAGTTTAATAACTGGTCACGGATGAAGTAAATCACAAGTGTAATCAAGTTTAGAAATCACTATGAAAAAGTTTAAAAATGGTAATATAACAACACCCTGGTACACACTTACCGAGTTTTAAATCGTGCTTAAAATCACAGCAGAAATCCTACAGAAAAATAAGTCTAAATGAGCCTTCACAAGTCATCTATCGCTCAAAGGTAAGAAGTTTTTACTGGCGAACTAAGGAAACCGTAAACATTGAAATATTTTTAGAATGGAAAGACTCGGGTAAATTTAGTTCCCCTTGAATATGGTAGGTTTCAGAATACATCTGACCTCAGTTGTTTCAAAGGTGGATGGCGCTATCCGACCGGATTAATCTGTATTCACACTGGTGGATAATGCAATTGGTTTCCTTAAAACTTATCCACTGGGACATTGAATTATCCGGTGGATAGTGCTATCCATCTTTTTAACAACGTGGGCTAAGCTGGTGATACAGCATTGAATACGGCCTTGAACTCGAGTTCCTCTGCGTACAAAAATATGATTATTTTTGGTTACGTTTACTTGACGTCGATCTCCAGGTTGTACCTAATAGTGCTAAGTCGCCGATACCCACAGTGGTTACATATACTGTAAATAGAAGAGGAGCTCGAGGTTGTGGGGTGTAGAGGTAATAACAACGTATATTATGGTAGAATCCCCCAAAAAGGGTTCGGGATACATCAATAAGGGCATTGTCCCATAAACTGGCCGTGTAACCAGGGTGTGTAAGGTGGCGGAGCGTCTCCAGGAGCCGGAGCCGTAGCCGGAGCCGTAGCCGGAGCCGGAGCTACAGTCGAACTGTGAAAAACCAAACCAGAAACCGCTCCGCCTTGATCCAACGTGTTTGAACTCTGGGGCGCCGATGAGACTTCTTCATTGCCGTACCAGAAATTATATATTTCACGCATGTGAACAATGATCATTGCGATATTTTTGTTGATGAAAATCGACGCAGTTATCTCGTAGCCCAAACACAAGCTTAATCGAAGTCCCAGAAATACAGTTTCAAAAACCAGTTCTACGATATAATACGCTAACCAACAGAAATAGTCACGGCGTTCGCATTCACCGTGGAGTTCTACCTTCATGACAAATGGCAACCACAGGTTCTTTATACATGCAAAAGCAATAACGCTGTTCTTTAAATCCGCTGAAATTCTATATGCGCCGTATTCGCTTTCGCTTACAACACCTCCAAGTAGTTCAATTGCATCATACAAGTGAACCATACCCATGACTGAATACCGAGTTATGCCGAGCGGGGAGTCAAACCGAAGCGATAAAGGAATTTTTGCTGTCTGACATACAAGCAGCCAAAGAAATGGAGTGATGCAGAGTGTCATTCTTAAAGTACTAGGATTCCAGAATCCTTTAAATTCTATTTTGTTACCGATGAGGCCAAACTCAACCGCAGTCATGGGTACTATGCCGAGCCAGATGTATAAGGTCCAGAATATCAACATGAAGTAGAAGTCTTCGCCAGACAGGTTTTCCTCCGCGTTTGTCCACCAAAACAAACCCACTACAGAAGGAAGAAAAAGGATAAAGGTTGCGTACCAATCGGAGTTATCTTGGTACGTTGCTGGAAAGGCAGCCAAGAAAAAGCTCTGCATTATCATTAATGCGAACAATAAGAATCGTTTGAAGATGATACCGTAAGCCATTATTGTCGTGTGTAGTTATGTGACCTTTCAAGGAAGTACATAGACTGTGTGACGAAGTTGTCATAGAAACTGGAGGATATAGGAGGCGTTTGTTTGTCAATCCAATTTCGGGTTTCAGTCGGTTGTTATCGGAAAAACCCCGGATCATAGAATTTCGATGGCAGAAATGTTGTGGTAAACGTTACCAAGAGAAAGGAACCCCGCACTAGTATTAAACATGAATAATGGCCGGGGTCCTTTTTACCTTTCTCACGAAATGTTTGAGGTTATTTCGAAGAAATCGCGATGTGGCTTTATAACTCGCCCTTTGAACAATAATTTCTTAATACGTTGAAAGGTTTTCTTCTCTGTTTTACTTAATTACATGAGCCGAGGTTATTTTATATGATGAAGCAAGAGAGAACGAGGCAGGGATTTTCTCATGCAATGATACTTTACTTCAATGCTTTATTTCAAACTTTCCTACCTTGACTATTTCGCTTGGGGAAAAGGAAATGACAATGACCACGTGATGTGGTTAAGATGGACGGCCGCGTGTTTAAGTGCTCCGCGTAACATTTCGTAAATTTCTGATGTTTAAGTGTTCCTTCTGCTTTTTTCTATTTGTTTTGTTATCTTGTTTCGTGTGTCACATTATGCCTGAGTCTATTGCCAACCTAAAGAGAGAAAATAACGATCTCAAATCTAAAGTTTCAACGTTAACGGAGGAGATTTCAAGACTAAAAGATTTATTTCAACAACAAAGCAGCAGTGCCGCCCCTTCTGCTAAAGAAAAATCTCACAGCCTTGAATTCCTAAGCAAGTAAAAAAATAAAGGAATTATTACTAAATTTTTTGCGGTCAGAAGATGATTATGTCGAAGTCTCCCGTCTTATTAAGTTATTTAATACTTTAGGTTAGCCTCTCTTCGTAATCGTTATGTACATGCCTTGTTTTATGTTAGTTTAAATTCTATTTACTGTATTGTAGTGTCTTCACTGTTATTTAGTCCATCTATATATAAATCTTGTTTTGTAATATATCTTCAGCTCCCCCCGCCTCGATTAGTTCATAAGCTATTTGCGGGTGGGAAAGTAATGCAATTAGTTATTTTCCAATTTTCAATAAAATTTGTTTTGTTGTTTTGATGAGCTTCGTTCAACGTCGGGGGCGTAGCCAGCCCATTGACCTGAACACTCTGCCGCTTGTAACACTAGTAAACTAGTAGTTTCCAGTGGAAAGTGAAGTGCTGCGAGTAAGGGACCGATCGTTTATTAGGTCCCAGAGGGGGGCGGAGGTTTTCAGAAAAGTGATGTGTATCAAAATTTTACTCCCCCCCCCCAAAAAAATAATTACATATGAAAATTGTACCCCCCCCCCCGGGAATAACAATTTTTAAAATGCACCCCCTAACCCCCTCTAAACCAAGAAGCTATAAGATACCGGTAGTCAGCAGCGTAGCGTGAGATTTTGAAGGTGCACACAGGAAAAGAAAAGTTAGCGCGCCTAAAGGCGCCCTAAACCCGGCCAAGGAAATCTTTTTTAGGGTCTGGGAAATGTCATCTCCTGCGTTTTCTGCAGGACATTCTCAGTAAATAACGACGAAGGAGAATGCAGTAATTAGTTGTTTATTTTACCCATTTCTAGTGCCCGGGGGGCACTTGGGTATTTTTCGGGTGGGTATGTGCCGCCCGGGACTCCAAATTGGCACCCCGTTCTAAAAAAAATTTCTCCTGAAATTGATACCCCGTTCTAGAAATGGGCCAATTTTTTATACCCCGTTTTAGAATTCGCTTTAAAACTGATACCCCGTTCTAGAAATGGGCCAATTTTTTATACTCCGTTCCAGGGTGCAACAAGAGTATAACAGTTTGCTTGTTAACGCATTGAACCGTATTTTTAAAAGCAATCTGTCCTTGAATAATTTCAAATGGCTGCTTACAAAAGTGGAGCTTTCGTGCGTTCGAAATATTATACCCCTTTCTAGAAATCGCCTCTGAAATGGATACCCCGTTCTAAACCAGGAGCTTCAAAATCCCGACCCCGTTGGGCGGCACATACCCGTATAGGTAATGTATGGGAGTGCCCCCCCCCCCCGGGCTCTAGTGTTATCGGTAAGGTACAGTGTTCATGGCAAAAAAGGGTAAAACAGTGACGCCATCAAGGAGGTTACAAGCAAAGGGCGAGATGTGTACCCTACAGACAGGCAAACTCTGTTATAATGCCATCAATATCAGTTACGTCCGTAACTTGTGCTCATATGCAGAATTGCAAGAGAGCTCAATCTTTTTTCTGTCATGGTCCTTCGTAAAGGAGTTTGCAGTCTCTTCATACCGCTGAAGCTACGCTCAGCTGTGTATGTTGACACAGGATAAGTCAACAAAGTTATGAGAGACGTGACATATACCCGGGATAGAATTGGAGATGGCTTGGTCAAAAGTCTCAACCAAGGTCTGTGGCCCATTTCACTCCACTTAATCGGTAAAAGGATAGAGGAAATCCTAACACAAAACACCAATATAATGCGAATTATTTATCCTGATTTAATGATGAAAATGCTTTCAGGAAATACGCTTTCAGGCGTATGTGTGTACATGCACGTTACATTCCTGGTAGGAGAAATAGCTGATAGCTTCCTGGGCGAGCTTTATACGCGTAACGTTTTGTTGCTGACAAAGAACCGCCAAAGCGCATTTTTTTGTCTTCTTTTGAAGGAAACGTGGATTTGCTTCAATCCTAATATAGTTTGACAACTTTTACATAGAAGGCCAGTCCTGTGTCTTAATATTTCGACCCCACCTGACATTCTGTGCATTTTCAAAATCAAGCTTCTTAGAAAATCGTACCCCCACCCCTGCCTGGACGTAATAAATGATAATAATAATAGTAAGAATAACGCGAATATTTATACAGGATAATCTATCAGTTCTATTAAAAAGAACTGTTATCAAAAGGGTCCTGTAACTAAATAATAGATAACTAAAAAATAAAAAAAATGAAATCGAAAGTGGAAAATAAGAAAAAATAACACTAAGAAATCTAAGATTCAAAAATCAAAATGTGTAAAAATTATTGACTTATAAGATTGAAAGAGTTGTGAATTATGGAATACTGTTGAAAAAACTCTTTTAAATTACTCTTAAAAAGTAACCTAGAATTTAAATTTCTTAAATGCCGAGGTAAAGTATTGTAAACTAGAGGCCCTTGAAAGGCAAAACTTCTCCTTCCAAATTCTAATTTGTCTTTGGGAAGTTTTAGTGAACACCCATTGTTTCTAGTGTTAATGTTGTGTTCAATTTGTGTAAAATACCCTTTAAAAGGGGTACAGACGCTATCCTGAAGACAATCAAACACAAGCTGGCAGGACTGTCTCTTTATTAAACTCTCCACTGTCTGGACTTGATAATTTCCACCAATGACTTTCTGACTTCGACGTTCAATGCTTTCAATAGGCCATTTCCGAGTTCCAAAAAATCTCACTTTCAAAACGAGGATAAGTGCCAAACCTTTGTTGTGAAAATGAGTTTTATTTGCATCATAATTAAAACTCATTTTCATATCAATGGCTTCGCACTTAGCCTCGCTTTGAAAGTGAGATTTTTTGGAACTCGGAAATGGCCTATTCGATTTTTACGGGAACGAGACCAACAGAGACCCAAAGTTCCACAATACGTAAAAACAGGTCGAATCACTGCTTTGTAGATTTTCTGAGCACTGCTCTTGTCGATTAAAGGTCGGATTCTCTTGAGTAAGTTAAACCTTTTAGCTGCTCTTTTATACATTTGTCAAAATGTGATTCAAGATTTAAGGATGAATCCAAGTTTCGACAAGTTTACACGCAAGTACACCCAAGTATTTTTTTTTAAAATTTATTTCGGTCCCTAAGGCATGACATTTCAAATAATTTGAATCAGTTACAGTTTATTTCGATAGTGGATATTTGACATTAACCGTGTCAAAAATAACTGTGCATGTAACGCTACACGACACGAAGCCTGGTGGCTTCGCAGCAATTATACGTTGTTGGGTGAACTAAAAAGCTTTTAAAAGAGCTGAAAGTATTGGTGAGGTCAGTGCGTACTAGTCATGAGTGCAATTTTCAGGATATGTGGAAATGAAAGTCAACTAAGCCTACAACAAGCGTTTTATTTTATTTTTATCCATTTATATGTTTTAAGGGAAACGAATCTGCACAATTTTAATAAGCTTTTCGTAGTGGACTACACTCAGTGTTAATTATCCATATGGATCACCGTATTACTCTTTTCTACTTTCCACATTAATTATAGAGAGTTTCAGAAATTAATAGACCTTGTCATGGTTTTAACTTGGTTTTGGAACCCACCTTAACGAGTAGACAACCGCGTGAGAAATTACAGCGTTTGTATGAAAATCTAATGTCGAATAATTTTCGTGAAACGGCTGTGCTGAAAAAAAAAATGAATTGTACACTAAAGCTTCACTCCTAACGTGTACGATTCTACTGGAAAAATTTGAGGGCGTTACATGCAGTTACATGAGCTAGAACCACTTTTTAAAATTTTCTATACATTGTCTGTCAAAATGTCTCTTCCTGCCGACGAAAATTTCCCGGGAAAAATTGCAGACAAATATCAGTGAATATGTGGAAAATCTAAAGCAAGTGTGTGGACAAATGTAAGCCCAGGTACGGCCCCCAAAATTTTTTAGTAAGATCCTTTTCTGTTTAGTTTTTATTTATAATTCATATTTTTTTCAGAACAGCCGTTTTACGGAAATTATTCGACATTAGATTCTCATACAAACACTGTAATTTCTCATGTGGTTCTCTACCCGTCACGATGGCTTCCAAAACCGTGGCAAGGTCTATGCACAACGAGAACAGCAAAGCGAACGTTATAAAGAAGGGGTCTAATGAGTACAACAATAATTTTGCACGAATTTTGCACGTGCGTCACAATTTTTGGTTCGTTTTTTTGTCCTAAATATACGACGACGACGTCAGATTAGTTCCTGATACGACGTTTAATGGAAAACGTAAACCCAAGATATACTTTTTTTCTTTCTGAGTACTTTTTTTCCTTTGTGAGTATAATTCAATAGTCCATTTTCGAGTTCGCTATGACCGCTGCATTAAAGAAGTGAAGACGCATCTTTTACAGCCTTAGCCTCCATCTGAAGTAATATATTCACAAATTCCAACGAGAAAAAGACATGTTTATTACTCTGTCTATTGTGTATATTCAAATTTCAAACACTTGCTTGCCAGAATTTCTGAATATTTTACTTTACGTCGAGGCTAACCCTGTATGAATGTGTCGTTAATGTTTATATTCAGCGGTAATTTTGAATTCGAAACTGGGGCCCGTTTCTCGAAAGTCCCGATAATTAACGGGCCCGGTAAGCTGTCTCCGTTTACATTAAAGATCGAGGTTTCAATAGTTTTACATCTAACACGATATAACTGTCAGTTAATGAAACAAAATGGAGTAGTTCGCTAGCAAGGACCCGCGCTCTTAATCTTTATATTTCGATTTGAATATTTGATTTCGGGCCCGAAAAGTTACCGGGACTTTCGAGAAACGGGCCCCTGGACTATTCCAGGAGAATTCGGCAAAGTCAGAATAATGGTAATAAAGTTTAAAGGAACGTGAAATAACTTTATTGTCATGCAACAGTTTTGCTGCTATCTTTCAAAATATCAATTATAAAACTCTTTGTAAATTGGAAATAATATAATTTTTGTAAAAATACATTATCCTCTTTAACGAAATACTACCAAAAATTTCAAATCTTAAACAAACGGCGGATTCTAAGGCAATGTTTACAGCATACCGGATGGGTTTTCGTGACGACCCGAAAAGCTAGCTATCCAGTATGGAGTGTTTTCACATGACGTCACGGCGGCCATGTTGGTGTCCCAAAACAATGAAACGGCGGCCATGTTGGTGTCCCAAACCAATCCCGTGGGAGTTGTACTCTTTTCTTATGCAAACGATTTCTTTTGTTCCAATAAATTTGCATAGATGCTGGCCACGTGAGTGAAAACACTCTATAGTGTGAACAACTATCCGATATGTAGGCCTAGACACAAATATCAGGGGCACCCAACGAGAATATAGTTCAAAACCACTTAAACATGGCATTGTTGACCGTATTCTAGTATTCAATTGGTAGATATAGGCATATTTTTATCCCCTAACAATTTTCAATCTGTTCGGATTTCCTAGCTGAAAATCTAGTGATGCGAAAGTTATAGGGATCAAAACTTACCTTTTCGAAAATTTCAGCCAGTGACCTTTTTAGGGTAAAAATCCGTTAAAAATGGGCAATTATACCATTTTTTAACTGTTCGAAAATCCTAGGAGAGGCAGGCAAGCAAGAAATTTTACAACAAATGTTCCGAAAATTCTAGATCTCAAATAGTCTTCCGAACAGATATTTTCCAAAAATTGTCGTTGGGTGCCCCTGAAATATCACGTATTATACTACTACAGGAGAAATTTCGGCAATTTAATTGGCTTAGAGCAGTTGTATTTCAGCTTAATTTAAAAAACCTTGCGGGTAGTAGTGTAAACAGATAATAGCATGATTTGTTCGTGATATTTGGCCTGACGGCTCGTGAAATTACGTATGACAATTTTGAAATATCACTCGTGGTATTTATGCCAAATATCACTACAAATCATGCTATTACCTATACAAATCGCCCAAATATCTTTCCGGAAATTCTCAAAAAACGTCTAAATATCCCCCAAATTTTTCTAAATATCTCGAAAAATCCTCGAAATTTCTCGTATTTTTGTTTTAAAAATAAGCCGATTTTGAATCTCTTAGGCCAAAATTTTCCCCAGCGGAAGCTGAAAAGTATGTTCAGGCTCATATGTGTTTCCAACATCCGTCATTTTGACAAATGGCTCTTAGCGTCTAGTGATATGGAATACATTATTCAAGTGGAAAACCGCTGAACTGGATTATTTCTAGCATGGAATGATAACACTGAGTATTCTGTCAAGAAAATAGCGAGGAAAGCTGGAAAACAGCCAAAAAAAGCTATAAATTTGTCCAAATATCCTAAAAATTTCTAAATATCTCGGAAGCTACTAAATGTCTCAAAAAATATCCGGATATTTGTGTCTAGGCCTACCGATCTGTGACTATCCACTTTAGAGATCGGCGCGGCGCAGCGTCGCTCCGTCACAGAAATCGCGCCGCCACAACTGTTTTTTTGTGTGAAAAGAAGCCAAATCATTCTCATTCAAGATTTATAAACATAAGGTGCTCAAGAAGGACTAATATTCACAACCTCGTTCCCAGGGTTCTCTCTCTTTTTTCGGGAAAGAACCCTGCTTGCGGCTGGTCACGTGAAAATGTGTGTCAATAAATTGCGCTGCGGGGGTAGGTCCTCCACTAAATTTTGTCGACTGGACGACGAAATACTATCTGGGGTAGGGAGAAAATTCTTACTTCAAAATGGCGCTTGAGTTTCTGAGTTGCGTGCAAACTGCGTTGCTTTCGGCTAGTTACGATAACATTATTTTGAAGGCAAAACAGGTTTATTGTCTAGAAAGATTCTACTTGAAAAAAAGATTTGCTCGCCGTCCTGCCAACAGGTTACGGAAAATCTTTAGTCTACCAAGTTTTACCGTAATTAACGTGGTGATTTGTTAGCCGTCTCTCGCATGATCTGCATAAAAGTTTTGAAAAAGTTTCAAGTTCGGATAGCGGGCTGCTACAAATTTCTTCCCCCACGGAAAGAAAAAATAAATTTTAATCCTGGAAAATATTTCGGCAGTGTTTTCGGTCTACGATAGTTTAACATAGTCTACATGAGGAGCTTGCATTATGCAGTACTATTATTTCGGCTGTTGTTGACTTTTTCAAAGAATATCCATCAGCTGATAATAAACGAGGCGGCAAACTCCTCTCGGGCCCCGACAGAGTAACGTTTGTCATAGCGACAATTATTTACTCTTCTTCCTCTGCCTTATATTTGGCTTCCAGATTTTGGGAGCCACGTGACCAGACACAACCAGGGTTCTTTCTCGAAGCAGGAGAGAAAGCCCTGGGAACGAGGTTGTAATATTCAAACCATTGAGAGTCACCATTCTACAAAAGTGAACTTTGCAATTTTTCTAGGTTTCTCATGTTAAAGCTTTCATGTAAACGGAGTACGACTAAAGGCAAGTCTGTGAGTTAAGAGATCAAAGCAGCTCCAACGGTCTGAGATTCTGGAATATCGCGCACTTCGACAGATCAGTGGTAATCAACAACGATGGACTCTCTGGACTTCCAGCTGCAAAAACGAAAGAAAACCGGGTCAAACTCTGCGTCCCTTATCTGCCAAAACCACTATATGGAGTACTCAGTTACTCAAAAGAAATCAGTCTGAATTAAAGGAAGAGTTGTGTTTATATTTACTTTATTTGGTATTATTTTTTATTTGGTTGGGTCAGCTCTAAAAGAGTTTCTGGTTCCGTTGGGCGCATAACTCTCTCCTCCGCAGAGGCTCTTGCTGGGTATCCCAAATAACAATATCAATAATCGAAAATAGAAAGCGCGCGGGGGACGATAGGAAGACGGAAAAGGTGGGAGCCTTGCTTCGCCTCTTTCACCTTCCCATCGTCCCCCGCGCGCCTTCTTTCCCCTCTCTCCAGCCCTCCCTACGATACAAAGTGACCTCTGCGGAGGGGAGAGGGCGCATAAGGCGTTCGTCCTATGAATCAACTGACCCCCGCTATCGACAGACTGTCCAATTTTTAACGTTGCCAACCGTAAAAAGCCATTTTATTGAAATGAGGCTTTTCTGCCTTTACCTAACCACGTTAGTTAGGTTCAGCACATGGTTGCTGAGGTCAAAAGCAAAGTGCTTCAACTGAACAGAGAATACATTTTATTTTTTTCTTTTTCTTGTGTTATTCAAGATTCCACGGACTCTGCAAGAGTTGACCGTCTCAAAGTCGGTCATTTACCCTAAACCAGGGCAACTTGGTTTGTTGCGAGTACACCTACGGTGGAAGAAGTGGCTCGCGGCCAATCTTAAAATCCCTTAACTCAAAAAACAACTGCAAAACCTTTACATCTGAAAATGGCTTTCACTTGCACAAGAAAACATCAAGAAAAGGAGCTTTCGAAATCATGGCTGAAACAAAGCCAAGTTTTCCGGCCAAAGGTTAAAAGCTAGAGTGTTACTCACCTAAACAGCGGGGATAAACATATTCAACTTACTCATTATTATAAATTTGACGTTTCGTATGCTACTTAATTAACATATATTTTCAAATGTACCGTTACAATTTTGAAAACTATTCTTATATAATAGTTTTCAAAATTGTAACGGTACTTTTGAAAATGTATGTTGAGTAGCATACGAAACGTCAAGTTTATGTTAAAAACGAGTAAGCTGAATATGTTTATCACCGCTGTTTGTGTTCTATTTCTTATCAAGCTACGATGACCCAAGAACAAAAGTCTTTGCTCACCTAGATCAGACGAATCAGGTCCTTCATGTGAGTAATCTATGAAATTTTAAAGAAAACATATCCTTCAATTTCTTGCAATTTCCAAAACAAACCTTGTGCATGATGCTTTAATAAAAGACGAAATGTTGTGGTAAAATTCTCACCCTCATCGGAAAACAGACTTGGAGAGAAGTCAATTTGCTGCTGTTTGATCAATTCAGCGAAAGACTAAATCAAAAGACAATAGTAAAAACGTTTTTAAATAAATAAATGAACACATAAATAAATAAAGGGTAAATTTTGCCTGTGGAATCCCGAATCCGGGAAAGTTTTCTTGTGGAATCCAGAACCCTGGCCCCAGTCGTTCAAAAGGTGGATAACGCTATCCGTTGGATAAATCTCTACCCACTGGATAGTGTAATTGGCTTGAACCCTAATATTTATCCACTGGATAGTGCTATCCATCTCTTGAAAAAAAAGAGGCCTGAGCTTTGGAATTTGGAATACAGCTCAAGGAATTCGGAATCCCACAGATGATCGGAATCCCACTAACGATTGGAATCCGGAATCCCACTATTGATCGGAATCGGGAATCTCACTAACGAACGGAATCTGGAATCCCACTAAAGATCGGAATCCGGAATCCCACTAACGATCAGAATCTGGAATCCCACTAACGATCAGAATCTGGAATCCCACTAACGATCGGAATCCCGAATCCCACTAACGATTAAAATCCGGAATCCCACTAAAGATTGGAATCCGGAATCCCACTAACGATCGGAATCGAGAATCCCACTAACGAACGGAATCCGGAATCCCATTAACGCCTGGAATCCGGAATCCGGAATCCCACTAACGATCGGAATCCGGAATCCCATTAACGCCTGGAATCCGGAGTCCGGAATCCCACTAGCGATCGGAATCCGGAATTCCAATAACGATCGGAAACCGGAATCCCACAAACGATCGGAATCCAGAATCCAAGTTCCACTGACCAAGAATTCGGAACCCAGTACCTGGGATCCAGAATCCACAACGTGGAATCCTAAATTTCAAGACTTCTTGAATTCTTTACATGCGGGAAAACATAACCACTGCCGAGTGCGGGAAAAGAAACCAAATGCTATCCGTTTTAATCTTCTCAGTTTTGTTCACCTAAGCCAGTAGTAGGAGTTGTGTTTTTGTTTGTGTCTATAACCAGTTGTCAAGTGCTTTACATCGCCAAGATTACGTGAGCTTAGCTCTTTTGGTAAACTAATCTCATGCTTCAACAAACCTGAACGATTTTTGCATCGGAGAAGTGAACCCGGAGTCTGTTTAAAACATCAGAAGCATCCTGTGACAGGTTTTAAAAAGACGACAAAATGGTTAGTCATGTTCGCACGGGCGGGGAGCATTGCGTGACTCTGGCCCCAGCGACTGCGAAGGAGACTACAAAATGGTCCTCTTTAACATAAGATCTACCATGAAGAGTCTATTAGAAATTGCCACTTTCTAAAAGCGAAAAAAATTGACAGATATGTGATGGTGAAGTTTGAGCTTTTTGGGAGAACACGAATTTTTTCGTCTGAGGTGCCTGAGCCACTGACTGTGGGTGCATCTCTTAACATACACGGACTTTTTTTTATTGACAATTAGCTTTCTGCAGCAACTTTACGGGCAAGCACTCTGCTCCCACTCCCCCTACTTCGTCGCAGTATCAACGTTTGACGCAAAAACAACCCCTCAGGTCAATTTATAGATTCAAAGATTTTCTTATTTTCAACCAGCTTTCAATCAATTAATCAATCTTTTATCTGCCACTTCATTTTTCTATTTGTAAAGGTTTATAGCATAACCTAGTAGCAGGAGATCTCTACAAGGATCTATGTCCCCTCAGGTTCAATGGGCTTTTTCCGAGTTGCTCCATGCCTCTGTTTCAATGCGAGGCTAAGTGCAAAACTATTGATATGAAGTTATTCTTTTTATTCTTAAAAGAAACCTAATTTTCACATTCAAGAAAGGTTTCGCACTTACCGTCGTTATGTGAACTCGGAATGGCCTACTGATGGCCATAAAACGTTTTGGACTGTAGATAACAATCACTTAGCTTTGGTTTAAACATGAAACTACTTAAGATTATTTAACGGATTCTTCGTTTAAACTTAAGGTAAAAGAGAGGCAGTGCTATTTGTGTCGGACTTGTGAAAAGGAAAGCTGATATACAAATGCAGCAATAGATATTAAAAACAGTTTAAATTCATGTCACCTTAATCTCTGCTACTTGACCAGGAAATGATCTTTGGCTGTTGAAGAGAGAAAAATACAAAAAGGGCGTAAATAGAAACTCCTCGGTTAGCAAGCATTTTTTTTCAGTTATACAAAGATTTAAAATCTATTGGCACCGAATCAACAACGAGTCACAACAATAGCGAAAAACTTTTTAACAACTGCAACTTCTGAACACCTCGAACAAACCCTTTGACAGCGAATTCTGGATTTGAATGACAGCTTCGACCTAAACAACACTATTTATTTTACATTTGTGTGGTGATTCAAAAAGGAGTTGTCAAAAAGACCTTAAAAATAACTTCGTGTTTTTAGAACGCGACTTGAGATTTCTTTCTACCTTTCATCCCTGTCACTCCTGGGATATTGAACAAAGACTCAAATGTACCACAAACCTCTGAACTGGTAGCTAATTTTTCCGCAAAAAGTTCGAACTTGAGCGCTTTACGCTATGATAAGCTGCCTTCGTTGCAGAATGTACCGAGAGAGAGGGCGTGTGGGTATACAACGTGGGAGGGGGAGGGGGGGTGGAGCCCCTCTAGATGGGCCCCCTTGTGACTGATACCAGTCAGCTATTTTCCCGTAAAATGATGTCGATTGAGTGGTTAACACTACAACGGGCTACCATCTTGTTTTCAAAAGTAGTGAGGGAGTGGGCATGTGTGTGCATAGTGTCGGGAAAGGGAGGCCCCAGGTAGACTCGGTTCTCTTTCGCAAATAGTTACACTAGGCACATTGGAAACCATGATCGCTACCCGTTTCAGTAACCATTTAACGGGGACCGTAAGTAGTCCACATGTATACCTCTTACAGTAGCACCAATGAAGGCCTCCGAGACAATAATTGTAATAATAAACATATGACTTGCTTGCCAACTCCAGAAATACACTTTGAAAAAGAATAAAAGCATTGGTGAAAAAGTATACATCTAGTTACAATAACCTTGTCATATAAAATGAAAAAAGAGATTTAAATTACTTAAAAATAGAAATAAAGTAGAAGCGCCACTGCCTTCAGGGATCCGGCCTAAAGAAGGGATGAAGCTCAAAAAGCTTCAAAACGTCTTTAGGGTTGCCAATTCACCTTCCCGCTGAAGTCCCTTAAGTATTATAGCTTACTGCAAAAGTGTTTTCAGGATTATCAAAATATCGAAATACATATAGCTGATTCAATAAAGGTTGCTTTGGGCATTGGGACACCAGAAAACTGGTTGTCATTCAGAAAAATCATGGCGTTGCTCGGTTTTCCCAAAATGCCAAATACCCAATTGCCAATTCTCGATGCCCAAAGGAACCTTTATTGAATCAGCTACATACACACATACAGATGAAAACTGTTTACAGGTAGCCATTATGACACCTGAAGGAGGATCATGACATTATCCCTATATTAAGATCTCTCCTTATAGATAACCCACCCAGCCCAGGAAAGGTTGGCCACACCACCGGGGTCTAAGTCCCCTACTGTTTTTGAACAGTGGTGTGGGTTCTTTTACGTCCAACAAGAAGGAGATAAGTGGAAGTACTGTGAGAAAGGACTTAAGGTTTTTCGTACTTATCCGAGAAGACTAGAAATTCTAACCGTTTGCAGCCAGCACTTTCTTCTAAGTTATTTAAAGACCCTGAGTGTTGGTCCGGACGGGGTTTGAACCCACCATTTCCCGTTCAGCAGACCGGCGCTCTCCCAACTGAACTTACCAGGCGCTTAATTTATTCCTATCAAGCTTCTTTTCTTCTTGTTTCTGCTTTTTATGACGTTATTGCATTTGGTTATACCATATTTTGTTAGTTATGTGTTATGATCTTTCATGTCTTGCTTTTGATAATTATATAGCTAATGCCGAATAAGAAGTTTCTTTACAGTGATGTGCAATGCAACCCTACAAAATTAGAGATAAAAGGATAAAAGAAAGAAATAACAAGTCACCTTTTAATAGGATAATTGCACGATGACGATATTTGACTACAACTGCCAGAATTCATTTCGGTTTGCTTTGTTATTTAAATTTGTCAATCCCGCTGAGGATTAAAGAACAATAGCCTTAATTTGCACAAGAAAACAACAAACTCAAGATTCTGGTAGTTGTAGTAAAATGACGTCATCGTGCAATTGTCCAATTAGAGTTACTTTATACTATTCAAAGCAATCAAAACTTGTTGAATTCATAAGATTGTCCGTAAGAGTCAAACTAAACCCTGGGTGACTTCGAAACGTCGCCTCATTTCGCTAATGTTCACAATAAATTGCTCGTCTAAATCTTCACCTATAAGTGCCGGATTTCCAAATTTATCACTTGTTATAATTTTTATCAGAGAAATCGATTACCTGTGAACAAACGCCACGAGTGCTGCATTGCTCTGCAAACACAACAAAAAGTCATTAACTAAATCCACATACACAGTTTAGTCGCAGCCAAAAAAAAGGAACAATGGCGGTATCGTCGGGTTCCAAAGGGTATAATTTTTAAAAAAATGAAGTAAAACAAAAGAACAAAAGATTTAAAAGATTCTGCAAAATATCCACACCACAAGACAATGATTAGGCTCAACTTCCGCTCGACTTGCGCCACCCTCTCGGGGAAGGAGCGCCAGCTCTTTTCCCGAGCGAGCCTAGACAATGATTAAATCACAATGGCTTCGGCAACCTCCAAAAATACACAAAACAGTCGTTTTGTTCTGTCGGCACATCGCCATTTTCAGGGCGTCAGGTGCGTGGATTCGTGTACACGAAGTAGACGAGGCTCACTTTCCCTCGTGCTTGTCTCCCTTTTACACTTTCTATTTTTGTTCGATGACTGCGCGCATTCCAGCCTAGTCCCTGGGCATTCTCACTTAACCATTGTCCGCGTGAAGCCCGAAAACGAAAGGGCGTGAGAACGAGTCTCTCGATAGCCCTCGATGACGCTCACAGAGGGTCCACTTTTCACCGAGCCAATAATGCTAGGGACTTAGCTGCGGGCTTTCACATCACAAGAGAAAATTCAAGAAATATATGGTGCAAGATGCTGGCTTGTTTTAGGGCTGGCTGCAAGACCTTGAAAACCAGGCCGTCGTAAAGAAGGTTTTTTTGTTTATTATTTTTTACAGGCTTCTTATGGCGTACATATCTTCATGGCTAAGCCACTAATACCCAATGCATGACCTTCATGCGAACGATCAAATTTAGGACCAAACAAGGAGACTGAATGAACATACCATTTTATTTCAGAATAAGCTATTTCCGAGTTTCAAAGGCTCATTTTCAAAATGAGACTAAGTGCAAATCAGTCCTTGTGAAAATGAGTTTCATTTACACGAGAATAAAAATCATATCGCATTTACCCTTGGTATTAAACAGAAGCTTGGGGCAACTCAGAAATGGCCTATTTAAACTAACGACGTAAATGTATTCACAACAGATACTTACTGGCCACTTACTGGCGTAGTTGCAAAAAGACCGAAGGTAGTGTCCCTGTAGAAAAATAAAGGCAAATAAGTAGAGATAGACTTAGCACAGAAGACTATACTGACTTTCATTTTGTAATAATAATAATAATAATAATAATAATAATAATTTTTATCAAAAAAACATAATTTATTAAACTCTTCTCAAATTGAAAATTACATACAAATTTAGTATAACTATAGTTAAAAAGGACTTCTTGGTGGTCTGGTGGTTTTCAACAGAGCAAATGTAAACAACTGTCTATAAACTAAAAAAAAAAATTTCTATGTACATCCCAATAATAATGATAATAATAATAATAATAATAACTATCATCCATATCATCATCGACATCATCATCAAAATCAATGTACGATTTACGTAGATTAAAAAGGATAAAAAGTAAAAACGATAACATATTGACAAAGGATAAGAACTAAGATAACGAAGTTACAAGTACGTTTAAACAGGCACATTGAGAAATGGGCGGTGTAAAGGCATTCGAATGCTTTTCTTCAAAGCGTGCAAAAGATTTTACCATCTGGAATGCTCATGATTAGGTTCCGCCTCTCGACCTTTTACTCAATAAATTCGCTACCTTCTCACACGTTTTACTCTAGCGTTGTGTAAATAGAACTTAAATCCACGAAAAAATACCTTACATCCAACACAAAACTCTTGTCCTCTAATAAAATACAGCGTTTAGAATACCACTGTATCTTTCTCAAATTAGTAACAGAATTTCATCCCTCCAAGTCTGTCAATAATCGTATTCGTAATTAAACACATCGGACTTCTGACAGAAACCTACACGTATACCTTGTATTGCGGTGTCACAATAAGATCCTTTTCATAATCCAGCAGAGACACATATCTCTATAAAATAAAAAATACCAGGGCATTTAACACCATTTTACGACCTTTAAATACAGTAAAAACCCACAACTAAGAACCCGCATTTTACCAAGTTAGCCAAAACAGGTTCTTACATAAATGATGATTTGCAAAAATTTAAGCTATTTAGGTTCCTAAATAGGTTCTTATTTTCTGAAGAAGAAATACATTGTAGCTAAGAGTATTTTAAAGTGGTATTCAGCTCATTCCTGCAGTTTATGTATTAAGGCACCTACCGAAGAGGATCCTGAATGTTGACTTACCTTATTAGCCAAAGTGTACAAAATTGTTTTTTTTTAAAAATAGGTTTTAGAAAATAATACCCTTTTCAAATTTTAGGCTAAACAAGTTGTTGTATAGAGGGGGTCTAAATGGCTAATTTTAGCCTATACTCCTTGTCTTAGTTTAAAAGCATACAAGGTGCAAGTTATCGTCACCTTTACAGATTTGGGGACCATGTTGAGGTGCCTACTCTTGGCAAGTCCAGCGAGTTTCAGCCTGTTAAGAAAACGTTGTAACATTAAAGAAGAAAAAGTTGCATGGCTTAACTAGGTGCCCGTATTACTAACAACAATAGTACTAGAAATGGGGGGAAATGTTTTTCAGCTATTTAAACCCATCACATCACGTGTATAATCAAGTCTCAAAACTCTCGTGCTTCGCTACTTCATAAACCACTGCAGCTGTTCGTGTTTTGAAGATTAATCCAAGTGCACTGAAACAAATTTAAATTGAATTAAACTTTCATTAATCATCGCTTTAAAAACAGCCACTTTCGTATCAACTCTTGCCGAAAACGTTTGAGCCACTTCTGCCCACTATGGAAGCAGGTGTTGTTTTATACGTACTTCATGTTTGGTCTACTATAAGGCCATCAAAGGTGCTTTGGAGCTCGTGTATTCGTGAGGAAAATTTGAGTTCAGATCTAATTTGAACGGGCTATTAGGCCTGAATCTCCCTTTAGTGTACTCACCATGAAAGATCAGCAATCTGGAGTGGCTTGGTCCTCCAGGGAGCTACTGCCCTACCATGACTGGAAGAAAAGCAACAGCATAAATCAACTACAAAATACCGAAAGTAAGAGAACAAGAAGCTCATAAGCCCTTGCTCTAGAAGGAAAATGCTGAGTTGCACACCGCTCATCTAAATCAGGAGATGGAATCCCACCCGATTAAAAGCAAAAGAAGGGTGCTTTTCTTCGTCAATGTACCGGCTCGTCATGCTGCACAGGTGGTTCTTATCTTCCAAAACAAAATTTTAATAAAATTAAAGCTTCCGACTAAAGAACCTTAACAATAGGAGAATTGTTATGCAAAAGAGATTATTTCTAGGTGTTCATCCATTAAAGCCAACCACACACGAAACGCAAAAAGACTAGTTCAGTCGGTACAGCGCTTGACTGCAGGGCGGGAGGTCAAGGATTTGAATTCCGGACCGGACCAGTACTCATGGTCTTAAATGAAGGTACTGCCGTCGCCCTGCAAATGGCCAGATCCTTCGATGGCTTGGATGACCACACAGGAATACTTTTATGCTAAATACATTGCCTCTCACAGAAAAAGGCGTTCACTGACCATCTCCCGCAAAGTGCAAGGAGAGTGCCACCTTGAAATGACACAAGAATCTTCACGCCTAGGGGGGGTGGGGTATCATGAAAGAAAAAGAACAGCATTCAACCCTTCTGTTTTTTAAAACAAATTGTTATTAACATAAGAGGACCAACGAACCTCATATTTTCTGGCACGAACATCCACAAAGCAGAAACAAGTACTCTCACTTCCCTTAAATAAAGCAATAAAGTAACATGAAAACCCAGTAAAAACTATTCACGGCCTCATGAAGAAAAGGTATTTTACGAATATGCACATCACTCCTGCATTCCTCACTAGGTTTTGATTTCCTGTTGTCACCTTAAACAATTTGCAAAATAATTTAGTGAGTCGAATGAATGCACTTGGGGTGTTGAAAAAGCCAAATGGCAGAACACAAAGAATTCCATGTAAGTCCTAGTTCAGGACTTGCGGTTGCACTTGCCTTCAAGAGATCGTAAAATAGTTAAAAAAAATTAGCTATTCTTTAGTATTCCTAAATGTTTCAACAAAGGCTCATACTTAAAACTTGCTGAATATAGGGAACACTGCCTTTAAGTTACAGTATAACAACATTTCTTACTACTTGGAACTATACTTCATCGAAATTTCCATGTTTGAACTTTGCTTCAAATTGACATAGTGTTAAACAGCGTCATTTGGATGTTGCTCAAAAGAAACAAACCTTTCATTTCGAGGCTCGCCCAGAACAACTACAGGTCTTCCACAAAGAAGAGCATAGAGAAGATGAACTCCACAACTCCAGTTATTCCGCAACAGCAACAAATTAGAACCTGGTAAAGTAATAAGAGCAAGTAGTATTTACATAAAAGGCCCATGGCTTGGACAGACAATAAGACTCTAGTTGCAGCCTTCCCAGAATAATGCAATAGGAAAAAGCACTTGGCAACAGCTGTTGTACTAGACTCAGGGAGCCATAACTTGTGTTACCTGTGTATGTTTCGAGTGGTTGAGAAACCTCTTCAGCAAAGCATCGAAGTCGAACCCTTTCTGGTCTAGGATAAATCACATATGGTATTATGCAATACAAATGATCACAGTTTTCGCTAAACCTTGCCAAACCATACACTGCCATATCGATTTTCGCAACAATCAAAAGCTTTAGTGAACTAATAAAATTATTAGTAATTTTTCAGCAGAATATATTCAACTTAATGAATAGCCAAAACTCTTGAAGCAATTATGTTAAGGTAAAGACTGCAAGTGTGAGCCCCTAAATCAATCCAAACACAAGAAATCTTAAGCGCGAGATTCATTTCATAAGAAGCAGTATAACCCTGGCATGAAGTCATAAGAAAGGATGGTATACTACGAAGCCTCTCTATGACTACCCGCGGTCATTGAGTTCATCTTGGGATTTCCATTTAATCCTCAGTTTTTCAAGGAAATCGTTGCGTGTTAATGCTTCTAGCGAGCTCAATCAAAAAACTCTGGATGTGCAGCACCCTTTTTGGCCAATGCGGTCTGTTTCAATCCTGTTAAGCATTAGATGGGTTAGATGGGTATCCCACATGCGACTTTCAAGTCCTATTTGATCCTTTCCCCATCAGGCAAGTCCGAAAGCGGTAAATCGATTTCATACCACGTATTGAAACAAGATCAGTTCAAACTGGGTTTGAGGGTCTGCTGTAACTTCAGATTAACTAAATAAGAGAACATGCGAAAAGTGTCTAGCAACTGTAACACGTCTTACCTAGCACTGTAAGGTAGACGTTTTGGAGACAGCTTCTCTTCTCTTGATGGTGACGAACTGCCGGAACTTCCGTCACTTTTGGATCGTATGAACGCATTTCTAACTGATAAATTGTTTCTACTATTCATACTCCTGGGGGAAGCTTCCACCCCGCTGGTACAGGGACTTTATCTCCCTTTGGTGAAGTCATTTTAATTGAAATGTTGTTCCGCACAATAGGAATGTGCGGAACAGTTTCATTATGTGTGCGCTGAAATCGCAAGCTTCCAGCGTCAGAGAAAGTTGTATTAATACTTCCTAAACTACGACTTAAGCCACTCGGTGGACTATGAGGCATTTCAGTTTTCTCTTCCGAGACTGTACTTCGTATTCTTCGTAAGCGCGGATGGGTTCCCTCGGACGGAGCATCTTCACCAACTAAGGTGTATTCCGTCGACAATAGCCTCTCTCTTGCAGTAGCAACCGACGAATCTGAATGAACCGACATGACATCGCTGTTTTCTGTTCTGGAATCATCAGAGCTGCCATAACTTGAGGATTCGAGTTTATCACCTCCTTGCAGGTCAGCATGGAATGACGATCTAACAAGAGACAGTTCAGTTAGCCATGGCACTTCGAAGAGAGCAATAAGATGTACAGAGAAACAAAATTTAACTATCAAGGACAAAGCCTTGCCAAGTCTAAACCTCAGTAACATATGAAACGTGGGCCAAGTGAAGTTACCTACCCTACGTAAGTGTTCCCCCTTTGCCAAACTAGCAAGTAAGAGCCACTTTTACTTTCCCTCACTTTCTTAATTGGCGAGAAGTCACAACGAAACCTTTTTTCTTACCTCACTTACACAGTTTTGGACTACTCCAGCATCAATATTACAGAAGTTTTTTCTTTGTTCATTTTTTTATTTCTCTATCTTCAAATGCCTGTAGTATTCTTTGTAAAGAAATGAGAATTTTTTCAAATCTCAGCAGAACTTATCTTAGTTGATGAGGACAACTTGGTTGATTAAAGCTCTTGGAAATCTCTCAAGTGTGCTTCACCAGACAGCGTTATTACTTTTTTCTTACGACGATAACAGACGTTTATATGTCTAAAAGGTATTTATTCTTGGAGCATTTGGGTTCGCAAATAAAAACAAATCTAAATAAATCCTCAAGCGGGTAAACTTTTGTGCACTTCACACACGATGCATGAAACCTCCAAGTTTGTTGGCTGAGCAACTTACGATGGAGAAAATGGTGAGATAATACCATCAGTTGATCTAAAAGATCCCACCATTTCTTCCTCCAAACAAGACTGGAACGATTCCAAACTGTACAAGCTGGTATTCTGAAATACACACAAACTTTAAATTTAGGAAAAACAGCAACCAACTCAAGGAGACAGCATTCTAACGCACGGCATTCCAAATATCGATTGGACGCTGTAACCTTCGATGCAGGAGAAACTTACGGTGAACTAAGTCCATATAGGCCTCAGAAGGGACATGGTTAAAAATAAGCGACGGGCATCACACGACTCCTGCATTAAGTCGTATTAGAAGCAGTATAACCTTCAGAACTTCGCTCTAACTAATAGGTCCTTAAGAGATTTTCCCTTGCGAGAAGATATGAGTGGAGGCTCCTTAAAGATTTCTCTTAGTCGTTGCTGGTTTTGTATAAGGTGCCATTTCCCCATAAGTATTCTCTTCAGGCTAGGTAAAGCCGGGTGGTATTGTGTAACAAAAGGTAGAAGTTTTTTGCTTGCGGATTTGTTTCTCTCTTGTAGGGCTGTTTTCCTGTCGCCAAATTTTACCTCAGAAAGGTACTTTCTTGAAATAACGGCAGAGTAGCCTCTTTCTAACAGGCGGTTGTGAAAATTTCTGATATTCCTCTCAAATGTGATCTGCGAGGAATTAGTCCTTAGAAGGCTGAGCGCTTACCCTTTGATGAAGCCTTTTTTCACGCCTGGTAGGTGACACGAGTAGAAGGTTTCGAGAACACTTACAAAATTTAAGGGGTGCCAAGGACATCTCGGAACGAGGGGGGTTTTGCTTATGAAACAATAGATGAATAACCAAAGAACACTCATAACCGGGAGCGAACGTGTATGTGTTTTTAAAGGCCAATGGAAACAGGGGTTTCTTAAAGATTCCAGGCTACTTTATTGAAAAGAACCCTGTTCATTTAACAAAAAATGAAACGCATTTGAACAAAAAACGTCTCAGCTACGGATGATTTCTGGTATCTTTAGTTCTTCATCGCTTTGGTTTTCATAAGCCGAATATCTTGTGCTACTTCCTTATAGTCCAATGGTCACTGAAGGTAAAAAAAAAAAAAAAAACAGTCGTTGCTTTCAAACGAGTGCTCCCACACTTGGGCGAGATTTCACGCCTTTTAGCTCGAGTTCTCACAGGCTAATTTAACTTTCTCCTACTGTTGTAACTAGCCAGGACAATTAACTTCGTTTTTATATAAAAAGCGCTACGCTAATAAACCTCTACATACAGATGATTTTCTTGTGAAACATCCGTCCGCTGGAGGATCTTGGCAAGACTTTTTTGGCCAATTTTTGCTGATGCATTTTCTGCTCACAAAAATGAAAAGCAAATCGACACAACATAATAAGCACATAGAGTGGTTATCAATTCTGTGTAGAAAGTAGAATGAGCAAAATAAGTAGGTACTTTTTGAATTACTCTTTCCTTGGAAGGGGTTTTTGCACGTATAACAACTGTGCTAATTTGGGGATTTCGAGATACAAATCCATCACGATAGTGCAACAGGTAACTGACATTCAACTAGACTTTGGAATTACATGTCCATCGCGCTGACCCCTCGGCCATGCGACCTCCTTCGGCGAGGGTTGTCCAATACTCACAAATAGACTCCATTGGTGTTAGTGGCGATAAGAAGGGTCTCCATTGGTACCAATGGTACGATTGGTGCCAATGGAAAAGTACCCTATTCAATTGGTTCTGTTGGTGAATATGCATCTCATTAAGGGGACTTAGAGTATTTTTTCATGTGGTCTGGCTGGGTACAGGGCAATTCCAATGGTCCATTGGTACCAATGGTACGATTGGTACCAAAAGAAAAGCACAGTATTCCAATGGTTCTATTGGTGAATATGCCTCTCATTAAGGGGACTTAGATTAGTTTCTCATGTAGTCTGGCTGGGTACAAGGCAATTCCAATGGTCCATTGGTACCAATGGTACGATTAGTACCAATAGAAAAGCACCCTATTCCAATGGTTCTATTGGTGAATATGCATCTCATTAAGGGGATTTAGATTATTTTTTCATGTGGTCTGGCTGGGTACAGGGCAATTCCAATGGTCCATTGGTACCAATGGTATGATTGGTACCAATGGAAAAGCACTCTATTCCAATGGTTCTATTCGTGAATATGCATCTCATTAAGGGGACTTTGATTATTTTCTCATGTGGTCTGGCTGGGTACAGGGCAATTCCAATGGTCCATTGGTACCAATGGTACGATTAGTACCAATAGAAAAGCACCCTATTCCAATGGTTCTATTGGTGAATATGCATCTCATTAAGGGGATTTAGATTATTTTTTCATGTGGTCTGGCTGGGTACAGGGCAATTCCAATGGTCCATTGGTACCAATGGTACGATTGGTACCAATGGAAAAGCACTCTATTCCAATGGTTCTATTCGTGAATATGCATCTCATTAAGGGGACTTTGATTATTTTCTCATGTGGTCTGGCTGGGTACAGGGCAATTCCAATGGTCCATTGGTACCAATGGTACGATTAGTACCAATAGAAAAGCACCCTATTCCAATGGTTCTATTGGTGAATATGCATCTCATTAAGGGGACTTAGATTATTTTCTTCAGTCACTTGAATATAAAACGGCTCTTTTAGGAGCCACCAAATACAATACAAAGTCATAACCAACAACATGATATAACCACCCTTCATTGAAAACTTGTTTTGGTTTAAACACTTCCATGTAGATAATGACATTGCGCTAAGTAATTTTAGAAGTTAATTTCACAGTGAGTTAAGTACACTTGTTAAAACCTGTTGCTTCAATACCACTTTGCTAGTTTCGCACCTTTCCGCGTTGTTTCGGGTTCTTTTAAACAAATAGGAATTACCAAAAAATAGTGCTTGCGTACAGGAAAGAAGACATTCATATGTCATGTTGTTGTTTGCTCGTGAATCACAATAAACAGAACGAACACGACAGTGACGCGTTACCTTTCAATTTTAAAGTTCGTACGATGTTTGTTATACTCGCAGCACCTTGAGATATTATTAGCGCTAGATATATAGGTCGCCCTCGCTTTGTATCTATTAGCGCGTTTCTCCTTTGTGTGAAAGCGAACTTGTTTTGGCGTGGTTGGCCTATAGAACGAGGAATATTCATAAGAATTATGGAACGTTTTTACTTGGTGTAACAGCGAACTTGTTTTGCGTGGTTAGCTTATAGAACGAGGAATATTCATAATGATTATTAGCGCGTTTTTACTTGGTGCAAAAGGCAACTTGTTTTGCGTGGTTGGCTTATAGAACGAGGAATATTCATAAGAATTATTAGCGCGTTTTTACTTGGTGTAAAAGCGAATTTGTTTTGCGCGATTGGCTTATAGAACGCGGAATATTCATAAGAATTATAGCGCGCTTTTACTTGGTGTAAAAGCAAACTTGTCATTGCTTGGTTGGCTTATAGAACGGGGAATATTCATAATAATTATTAGCGCGTTTTTACTTGGTGTAAAAGCGAACTTGTTTTGCACCAATAGAACCACTGGAATATTGGTACCAATGGACCATTGGAATTGCCCTGTACCCAGCTAGACCACATGAGAAAATAATCTAAGTCTTATTAATGAGATGCATATTCACCAATAGAACCATTGGAACAGGGTGCTTTTCCATTGGTACCAATGGACCATTGGAATTGCCCTGTACCCAGCCAGACCACATGAGGAAATAATCTAAGTCCCCTTAATGAGAGGCATATTCACCGATAGAACCATTGGAATAGGGTGCTTTTCCATTGGTACCAATCGTACCATTGGTACCAATGGACCATTGGAATTGCCCTGTACCCAGCCAGATCACATGAGGAAATAATCTAAGTCCCCTTAATGAGATGCATATTCACCAACAGAACCATTGGAATGACATCCTTTTCTATTGGTACCAACCGTACCATTGGACCATCGGTTTGACGAATCGTATCCGTTTGTGTATATTGGACATGTGTGGAGCGATTGCCTTGGTTTTTATTTGCTCAATTCGTAATTAGCTAAAATATTTCCGCCACTGTCTCAAGCAATCAGGAATAAAACAATTGGTGAGCTGATTGCACAAGTTTTCTATTCGCATCTCATTCTGATTGGCTCATTTGTTAAAAGGTTCATTGGTCTGTTGTGTTTGTCAGAGTAGCTGATTTTGGTGTTACCGCATTCGGAGCCATTGAAAACTGTTTTTTGACTGAAATTCTTTTTTTTAACTACTAGCTAAAAAGGGCTAAAGTTATGGCTGGCAAATCAAAGGGCACAACCGGCAAATTGTAGTTGCCGGAAGTGTCTAAAAGAAGAAACTACTCGTTAGTAGGATGCCTAAAAAGTGTGTAATTCCACAACTGGTTCCGGCTCCATTAAATGCTGTACTAATTGAAGCTAACTGACTAACATTTTAGGAGGAGCCGTTCACAATGTAAGCACGGTTACTACCAAGGCATATGAGTTAGGTTGTTGGGGCTGCGATAACAAAGGTAGGCTCATAAATCTATCTTTCAAAACAGACTATGACTGTATATGTATTAAATGAACTTACAAGTCGGTCTTGTGAAGGACATTACAAACTACACTCCGACCAATTGTCAGAAGCGAAGGAAAATGGTCTGAAATAAAGTACAAATATAGTTGAATGTCATTGTGTCCAGTTTTCAAATTGCGTTGACCTTAGAAATAATAACGGCCCAGTTATTGGACACGAGCTGGAGTATTCCCAATCACCATTTAGAAGAAACAAACTTTTGAAAGCGTTTAGCAATCACCAGAGAGTTAAGAAAAACTATAACCCGACTCACCAACCATTTAGCTGGGTTGAGCCACAGTTGAACAGTTTGACAAAAAGTTTAAATTTCCTAAAACTAGCAGCGTGTGTGAGAGCATAGTTAGGAGTGACTGCTAAATAGAAAGTTTAATCTCACCAAGATGACTTGTCTCTGTTTGCTCTATTAAAAGTGCTGCTGTTTCTCTGCTGTAGTACTTTCAGTTCACATATGAAAAAAAAAAGAAGAAGAAAACATGGTGAACAACCAAAATAACTGGTTTTGGAAATTATCGTTTTCAAAACAGAATATAGCCGCTGTTTCCAGGCTTTCGAATGAATCTCCCTGCAATATTTTCTTTTATACAAGTTACTTGAATACTATGCGCGCTGTGGTTGGACGTTTCCTGTGTCTGTTAAGACTTAAATAATGCACCAAATGCTATGCGCAATGTGATTGGTCGTTGCCTATGATCTATAAAAGTAGATACTCACGAATGAGGTCACGAGAATTTTTTCCGTTTTCTCAAACAAGGCGCGCAGTTTTAGAAACGCTCGGAGATTATTCCGAACATGTGACGGAATTGTTAATATGTAAGGAAAAGAAGGAACCACGATAAAAAATACGTTTCACGACTTGAATACCTTCAATATGGTGCGTAATCTATTGAGTCCTTCTTTAGCTCCCCACTCACACAGCTCGTGCAGATGTCTGAATACCAAAACTAAACAAAATCAGAGCTGCCCAATTTGCCATAAAAAGTAAATATTAAATAATTATCGTCTGTGTTATGATCTAGTAGGAACAGACATCAACAGGTCTTTTGCAATAGTTGGTCACATGATCAACTTTCAGTAAACATGAAAATAGTTCGCCTTTCGAAAATCATGTTAGCAGGAACTGAAAGAGCATATCAAAATTTAGCAACATGAAAATTTTAAGCCGTATATCTGGTAAGTAGCGATTACAACCGCCGCCGAAAATTAGGACTTTTATGAGAAAAAAAAACTCCTGCCACCCAGTCAAGCTTGGTGGTTTTTCATATCAATTCCTTGTAAATTTTGAAATTTTTTAACTTTTGTTAAATCTTTCCCTTACGCATTTAAAAGCTCAAATTGCCTGTTATGAATAAAAAGGAGACTTGAGCCCCATTATGCGGAAAGAAATATTTTACGACAGTTTGAAAATTTCGATATCTTCAAGGATTTGTATGGAAAACCACTCAAGCGTGACTGGGTGGCAAAAGTTGTTTTTCCCGCACAAATCGTTCTAATTTTCGGTGACCGTTGCATATCGCTACTTTTGAAATATAAGGCTGGAAATTTAACGGTTATCTAATTTTGATATGCTCTTTCAGTTCCTGCTCACAAAATTTTCAAAAGCAAACTGCTTTCTTCACGTGATCACGTGATCAACTAACGCAAAAGGCCTATTGAGAATAAAACTTTTGAAAGCACTCGAAATGTTGATATTTGCATCCAAAGTCATTACATCATGACAAAAACAACATCCGTAGCCTGAACAAAACAACTCATAAAATTGTCTTAAACTGAAGTCAATGTTGGAAGAATACTGTGTTTGCTTTGATTTGCTGGTTTTATTCATAAATAGTCCATTTCCGAGTTATTTTTCAGCCTCTTTATAAAAGCGAGGCTAGGTGCAAAACTATTCATGTGAGAAGGCCTTGTCCTCACGAATCCGGGACACCAGTTTTGATACTGCATATTCCGTTATCCGGATTCGGGTAGACAGGGCCTTAAACCACTCTGGAGAGGGGTCGTAGGGCCTGTTTACATGGATGTGGAGGGCCCCAGGTAGGTGGGGTAACCCGCCTGTCCATATAATCTCTCATCTTAATGGACCCAATGCAAAAATGGCTGCTGGATTAATAGTCTTTTGTTTAAACTAAAATTAGCCTGACTAGCCTCGCTTGAGATGATGTATTCTTTAAAATTTTGTCCTGAAGAACGAGGCTAGCAAGGCTAATTTTAATTTAAACCAAAGAATATTAATCCAGCAGCCATTTTTGCATTAGGTCTATTTGATCATGTTTACATGATAAGTGGGGTAACCCGCCTCATGTTACCACACCTATCTGGGGTCCCCAATCTCCATGTATACAGGCCCTTAGAAAGATGCTGTTTGGTGAGCGGATTCAGTGGTTTCATGCCACCGGAAGGACGATTCGTGTGAAAAAAATGTGCGGTTACAAAAATATCCGGATTCGTGTGTCAATTTGCCTGTCGCTAAAAACTGATTTTCAATGAAACCATGAGCACCCGGCCTCCTTTAGCCATTTTCGAGTACCTGTAGTCTCTGTTTCAAAGCGAGGCTAAGTGCAAAGCCATTGATATGAAAATAATTGTTTTTTCTCGTGAAAATGAAAGCCATTTTCACACTACAAAGGTTTTTGCACTTAGCCTTGTTTTAAAAGTGACAGTTTTTGAAACTCGGAAATGAAAGGCGTACACACTATTGGTCTACATCAACGATTTTCCTAGAAATGAGAAAGTACTTATAAATCCAATACGCTTGCTACGTTTTTTACAATTAGTGCATGTACTTTTTGTAATAATTCAGCATCGCGGACTTATAGCAACGAAACATTTCACTGATGATATGAGTTTTATTGCCTAAGTTACTGGATATAGGTTTTATTTCCTACCTTAGGTGTTTAATACTGTTAAGGTAAGAGGGCAAACAGGACTTGGGCGTCATCTGAAAAGCATACAAATATTTTCGTGTGATAATTAATCACGGTTTGATGCTGGACATTAATGGGAGAAGAGTATCATGTGAGCAGCCAATTTACAAAGTTAGAGAGGTCTATAATAGACAGTTTAAGCTTCACGTATACGGCAAACGTCAGATTCAAGTTGAAAATTTTTCAAAATAGAAAATGAGCAGATAAAAACGGTTTAAAACAATTCTTACGGGTAAAAAATTGCGGGAAACTACTAATTTACATGTAGAAATAATGAACAGTAAACGACAAGTAAAGAGGAAACTTGGTCACGTGGTACAAATTCGCGTTTGCTGTTTGTCGTAAACGTGAAGCTTAACCTCTCTAATGTTATGACACATCACAAATCCTTAAAGCAGGGCTTTAATTTTGATACGATATGGAGGTGTGATGTTGTGTAATAAATAGACCATTTCCAAGGGCCTGTTTACATGGAGGTGGGGGACCACAGGTAGGTGAGGTAACATTTGGCGGGTCACTCCACCTATCATGTAAACGTGATGGCCTGGCGGGTTACCCCACCTAAGCGGGTTACCTCACCTACCTGGGGTCCCCCACCTCCATGTAAACAGGCCCCAAGTTTCCTCAAGTTTTTTTCCAAGCGAGGTAAAGTGCGAAGCTATTGATCTGAAAATTAGTTTTTATTCTCACGCAAATGAAACTCATTTTCACAACAAAATGTTTGCACTTAGCCTCGTTTTGAAAGTGACAGTTTGTGGAACTCGGAAATGGCTTAATGATCTAATATCGCATCTAATGACGTACCGTAAAATTCCGAAAATAAGCCCCGGGGCTTATAGTTTTCAAAGGCCCTTTTTAAGGGGGAAATTTGCGTTTCAAAATCGATTGGGCTAGCCTTATAGTTGGAAGTGAATTTCCCGTTTTTGCTTTGTTCTACTTTGTGTTTGAGGGCAATTTTCCGAGTACAAGCCCATGGGGGGCATATATTCGGAAGGGCTATTTAACGGAAGGCTTTTTGCGTTACCGATTTGGGGGGCTTATATTTGGAGGGGCTTATTTTCGGAATTTTACGGTATTCTCGAAGACAATAATATTAACAATGAAAATTAGAGAAAACATAGGAAAATACTAATTCGAGGCTTTTTTCCTTTGAAAACCTGATACTAAGTCCCTGGAATTTTATTCTGAAGACTTTGTGAATTTAAAGACAGAAATTGTTCATTATCCTGGCGAAATCTTATCCAGAGAAATCGCATAATTGACCCCATGACCTTCCACAAATTCCCCATAATTACTATTATTTTTCATTCAAAATATTTCTCCGTTTCTGATTGGCTAAAATTCTAGGCATAATTTATCATAACCAGATACTGCCGACCATATTTGGAAGAATTTTGCGATATGTGAAAAATGACGTCAAGTGTGCAGCAAACTTGCTAGATTTTTGAACAGTTAATCGAGGAGACCTGGGGACGAGACTGAGTCGTTTCGGTAGTAAGTACAAAATGGCGGAACACTTCACTCGTTTCACGAGGAAGAAACAGGCGAACTATTGACTCAAAACATAACAAGAAAAGTAAGAGGGCAACTTGACGGACGACATCTGCTATTTGGAGAATATTTGCAGCACTGAACAACCCTTCATCTCCTAAACTTGCGGATAAAAAAACAATTCAAGATGAACTTAACATTCCGGGAAGTAAGCATGCTTTAGCTTGTTTTTAAACTAGGAATTATTTTGAATGAATAATAAAGCAATTATTGAATTCGGCTTTCGTATCATATGAAGAATTATGGAGATTTCGGAGGGTGTTATCCTCGTCGGCCTAATCGGCCTCGGCGGATAACACGCTCCTCGATCTCCATAATTTTTCAGACGATATTCAGCTTGATTAAATAATGGCTAAATATTTTACGAATCCTTTCTAAAGAACTGTTAAACGTTTCTAAAAATCATTTCCGAAGGTACTTACGTTAAACGTTGAATGCACTTGTCTGTTTGCACTCAGGTTTTTTAGATCAGGCAGTGAAACAGCTGCAAATTAAACGAATTTAAAATTACTAAGGAATGTTGCAACGTCAAACTTCACATGTACCGAACCTACTGCTAATAAGAAAGAACAACAGAATTTGCTACAAAGTATTTTGATGGACCAAAAATGCCACCATAGTTATTTGAGGAGATTGGTTTTGAAAAACAACAAACATCAAATATAAAAAAAACGGTGTGGCAGTTTGTTGGAAGCTCCGTGAAGGTGCACAATCCCTTGTTTTCTGTTGGCAAATTGTGGCGTTTTTATTGGTCAATAAGATCAAAATGCTAGGAACGCTATTGAACTTTGTGCACCTTCAAGTCCACAAAAACATATAGCAAAGGCGTCTGACGGGTTTCATAACCATTCCAATCTATTAACTATGATACCACATATGAATTGATTACCTCTGCGTAAAGGAGGTTGTAAAGGTGATTTGAGACAGCTTTTCCCGCGTTTTATAAGTGAGTAGACTGTTGTATCAGTGCAACTGCGACTCCTCCCTTCAGCCAGGTTTTCAAGTCTTTTAAACTCCTGCACAATCTTGGAGTCATGCTGGTAATCACAGAAAACAATTAATTGATTAAATAAATCGAATTAAATCAAATTATAATCAAATTCTTATCTTGTCCCTTCAGCCGGCCATAATAATACATTCTAACCTCCATTTGCGACCGCCTCCTACAGGCCACCACTTGGCCAAAAATGCCAAATTTTTTTCAGTCAATGACAAACAGTTGGAACTTCTCATAGGCAACCATCTCTCGTAAGCAACCGCGACCGCTTTATAAGATCGTTTTCGCATTACTTCACGGCGGCCATATTAGGGTGTAAAACAATGAAACGACGGCCATGCGGGTAAACCCAAAAAAATCCTGTGGTTATTGTAAGATTTTCTCACGTAGAAACTTTCTTTTGTTCCGCGGAATTTGCAAAGCCACCTGATCACGTGCGTGAAAAAGATCTATTGGGTTGATCGTTTTGCACCGCGATAAACAAAGCATAGGAAGAACTTTTAGTGACAATATGGAAATACACATACCATAACCCAGAAATTGAATACAATGAATTCTCATTCAGAAAGTAGATGTCTCTGGAACTCTTCTGCGAGGTCACTTCCTGTGGGTTGACTCTCGTACGCGACTACGTCCCGTAAGTAGCCTGTTCCAGGCTCAAAGATGGTGTAGTCGTGCAGTAAAAAAGATGCGAAAAACGGGAAAGAGAAAGAGAGGGCGTGGCCCTCTTCCCCAGATCGCCGCATCTTATTACATCTTACTATCTGAGAGCCTGTCTCAGGCTACATCCCGCGAGCGAAAACAGAGTCTTCGCATTTTGGGTGGTCGCTTAAGTCTTATGAAGAGTGGAATCGCGTTTATACAATACAAGCAAACAAAAATGACTTATCATGCTTGAACTAAAAGAAATAGTTATAACAACACAGTGGTTGAAAGGTGTGGTAGCACAGTCTGGACACTTAGAAGTTAACAAAAACTACATTCGACCAAGGGCAAAACCTGCAAAATCCCTCGCTTAGTCTGAAGTGTTTACCGCCCCCCCCTCCGCCAAGTTGTCATTTCGCAGAAGACACACTGTGTGGCCATGTTAAGTTGTTGTCCCTCTTCTTGGCTGTCCGTCCATGTATCATGCCTGGTATAATGGAGAGCGTGCTTTTCAGGTCCGAAATCAAATACTGCAATCACAATTTTTTTAGAAAAAGGGCGCGGATCCTAGCTAACAAACCAGTCCATTTTGTTTCCTTAACCCTTTCACTGCCAAATTTAATCAAAAGCAAATTTCAACCAAATGTCCACATTTCACCTTGTGAAATTTTTTAAAACAAATAGCATTGTGTGAAAGTACAGGCAGAGAGCTTTCAATTGAATGGTCACATCGTAGGATTTCATCCACAGACTCAAAAGTTAGAGTCACCATAGAATCTCCATCAAGCACTCTGGCAGTGAAAGGGTTAACTGATAGCTTGATCATGTTATAGACGACTGGTTGCCTCTAGGTGTGTCCTCTCGTCACTTCCATTCACCCTTACCACGTGGGGTTTGAGTACTTCTATCAACTTCCTTGTCTCCTTGACGATGTAGTCATAATCTTCACTTAAATTGCTCTTTTCCGTGTCCTAAGAAAATTAAACATAAATTATAGTTACTGCCTTACTGTCATAACTGTCCAAAAAGATCATTTTAAATATCATAATTTCATAAACTATTCATCGATTTTTCTTTCAGTCCGTCGTAAGGAGCCTGCATCAATTTGTCAAAAACGCAGCCATCGATGAATCCCTTTGCGACAATTTCCTCGACACAAAACCAAATAAACAATTCAGTTTTGAAAAACAGAAAAACAACCCTGACAACAGTTGTGTTTCATTTTGTGGCGGCAGTACAAGAACACGATAATTTTAAAACTTTAGTTAACTGAAATGATAAACGCTTTAGTTGCAGGCAAGTAGTCTGTGGGCAAACAAATTTCTAGGTGCTGCACGTACCCTCAGAGTCTGTACGGACGGTCGTTTGGGCGTACGCTCACGCCATAACCAAATTTTCTCGGATCAATAGGTTTCCATTTCCTATTAGCTATGGGGTTCCGCTGCCCCGAAGTGGACTTGTTGTGATATGGCAAAAATGTTATGGATGTTAATGATATGAATTTGAATATAGTATAATCCAGTGCTAATAATCGTGTACAAATATAATTTACATGTTGCAATTAAAAGTGTAAATACCTCGGATCTCTGGTCACAAGGCCTTTCACAATTGGAGCTTTCCACTGATTAAAAACATGAAAAAATTTGATCTGTCAAATTATGGACTCCTCAAAAAGAAGCTTAACTAAAGGTATCTGATTGCATTCCAACCCCACCTGCACGTACAAGAAAAAGGATAGGTAACGCCTGTATATGAATAAGTCAAGGGGCTAACATGAAGCATCTAGAGGTATTGTTACTCCCTCCGGGAGCTGTCTCGTACCCAGACGTCTCTCTTTCTCTCTCGATGAACATTTGCGTGCAAAAGAAGGCGGGAAGGAGAAAACGGGCTTCGCGCTTAGCTTCGCGCCTTTTCTTTCTCTTTCCCATGGTCCCTTGCGCTTCGTCACCAGTCACTCGCGTTTCGCGCTCGCCGATGTGAGAAAAACGAAGGGCATGAGAAAGAAGCAACTCGGGGATGGGATGCCAGTCTACCCTAACCTTCACATACAAGAAAAACGCCATACTCCAGACAGACATAGAAATAAGCTGCAATACAACCAAGACTAGGGGAAGGGGGTTTTGAGGTTCATTTTTTCTAACAAACATTTAAAGCCGAAGGATTATTTAAATTGTCCAATTACTTTTAATAGGAGTGAACATCAAAAATGCATGTACACTGTACACAAGCACAAACCTTTCATAGCCAATACTTCAGCCAAACGCAGCTCAAGATCTCTTATAAATGTTATTCTGTTTCCATGTCGAAATAGCCTTGACACCTAAAGAAAAAAAATTTCATGGTGAAACACATCAGATCTGCAAAGCAGTTAGCTACAGTGCAGCCCAGCTTCCAACCCTGGGGGTGATGTCACATGGTTGAGTTTGATGTTGGTTTTAGCTGTGGAAGGTTTTCTCAGGGTACTTCTGTCAGTTTTCCCCTCTCCTCAAAAACAAGCATCTACAAGTTCCAGTAAGGATAAAGTATAAGGTATATGAAGAACCAATAGCTGGATAAGCTATCACAGAATCATTATTTATTTGAAACACAGCTGTGTTATATCCAAACCAAAATCCCAGCTCTTCTTAAGATATGGCCTCTAATTTGGCACACCTTTCACCCAGCTTGAGGAATATTTGTGACTTCTTATTTCCTGGGAGATAATTAACAAATGCCAATTCTGTGTTGATTTACTGTGTGCTTTCAAGCTTTACCTTTACAAAAAGCCGTTTTTATGGAACTCGGTCCATTTTACTACATGTTAGGGCCTTGCAATATTACAAGTGTATACTGATGAGCTCAATGCCAGGCGACCACCAGACACCAAAACTATTTTGCACAAGCACAGGAAAAGGATAGCCACCAGAGGAAAGAACTGTGAGACATGAGGAAAGTGAGGAAAGGAAGGCATTTATCAGATTATCAGTCAGGAGGGAGGAAAAGGGTATCCTTGACAGTCCAGTAAGTTGCAACAGAGCAGTTTCCCTTGAGGACTAGAGGCCAAGAGGTAAGCACAGTGTGTTAGTAGCAGAAGTTATTGACCCTGTCAGAATCAAGAGTATGCCTCATGGATCATAGAAATGAAAGACCTGTATTAAAGAGCAACAAGCCACACCTCTCCAGGAGAAGGACTTCTTGAATCATTGTTAGACAGTCAAATAGTCTGTGGTCTTCTACCCTTGAACTAGTGAGTCACCAGAGAATGGCTCTCAAAGGTACCATTAGATAAGTTTAGGGACGGTTCATTATTTATGAGGATGACCGGGTCGGGAAAAAAATAATAGCTTTCCTCTTTCTTTCTAAAGCCCGCCCAAATGGCATTTTGTTTTTTCGTAGCCCGTTCAGTATTTGGGGTCAAATTTTTCAAAGCCTGTTCAAATTGAACTGAATACCTTGTGAAAATCATTCATTAGGGCCATTTATACGAGGAAAAATAAGACGCGTCTTACATAAGACGCGTCTTAAATAAGACTCGAACTTTCCGTATAAACGGCACATTTCGTCTAAAATAAGACGCGGCTTAGCTAAGACACGTCTTATTAGATAAGACATGCTCGTATAAATGGTACAGTTCGCGTCTTATTTAAGAGGCATCTTATGTAAGACGCGTCTTATTTTTCCTCGTATAAATGGCCCTAATGTTTATTTACGACTAGAGCAACTAGTGCATGTTCGGATCAAATACACAACTGTTCGCCGTTCGAGTCAGCAAACGGCTATCAAACGAGTTCAGCGATTACAAACAATAATTTATTAACATCTGTGAAAAGTGCAAGTTAACAAATGCCATCCCGCTTGAGGCATTTCATCGTTTGCCAAATAAGTGAAAAAGTCCTAAATATATCTTTGAACATAGCCTGCGTAGCATGGCAGTTAGTTTTGTCGAGCCGGGTGTAAGAGCGGCGAAGCCGCGAAATTTGCACGAAGCGCGCGAGAACGAGCGGCGAGGCCACGAGAAAAATAAAAGTTGCTAAAAATAAAAGTTCAAGTTACTCCCGCCCCAGTCTCCTCGCTGCTTCTCTGCCCTCGCCCGCCTTTATTGCTTAGTGCGCCCAAGCATAACCGCCATGCTACACAGGCTATTGCCTGCTTGCAGACATCTCCTATTTCCTTTGTAGACGTCTGCACGCAGGCAACGCAAGCTACTTTGAACACGGTTATATAACCGTTCGTATTAAATGACTTGCAAGAAGCGTTTGGAGTTTTCCAACCTCTCCAGATAGCACTTCTTGTGGAGGAGTAACATTTTCCTTGAAAGTTTTCGACATTTTGTTAAAGGAATAAGTTTCCACAAACATGTTTTTAAACACGTTCGCGAGACAGGCACAGGTACTAATAAGAACCAAGCACAGAGTAGAAAGTTCAACAATGCTCACCTAACAAGGAACGTATCCAGTCCAGTTTTTAGAGGGAGTGTACGGAAACTCTGTGCGCACCTATTTACAAGAGTCCTTGAACTCTTCCATAAAAGAAAGTGCTTAAATTTTCACGAAATGCTATCCAAGAAAACACACCTCTAGCTTGAAGCACAAGAGGATCGAAATACACACTCCGTAAATGGTTACGTTCAGAAGCCAATAGGAAAACAAGAACTTCGATCCACCACGTGGGTATTTATGTTCAAGTTCAAAGCTCAATAGATAGAACGGCTGTACCGTTCTCGCCACAACAAAGTACAACTAAAGTTGCTCTTGCAAAAGCAACTAAGCACAAAGCCAACCCGGCAACTGATGAGGTTCGTGTGGAGAACCGAAACCATGGTCTTGCCTGATTACAAACTGTGGCAACAACAAAACAGTTTAAAGACTGTTAAGCTTATTCAAAGCTATTACCAAGGGAGGAACTACGCGCTCCAGTCAAAAGACTCACACTATCTTTAGAAAAACACTAAGCTGGAGTTTACTGAGTCACAATTCAATTTTCCATAGTAAGTTTATGTAGCTTCAGTTTAAGCTGCAGTTCACTCTTATAATTTTGGATCTGTAAGTCACTATCCGTGAGAATTTAACATTCTGCAAAGAAAACGGACGAGCGGGGCCCAGCGTCATACAGCATTGCAGAAAAATATTACACTCACGTACTAAAGAAAATCGCTTAGTTATTCAGATCCAGAAGGCACTTTGGAGAAAATTTCAACCCTTATTCAGCCGTAATAAAAAAGCTTTACGCTTCAAAAGAGGTCAAAGAAAATACGCTTGCATCAGAGGGCAAATCCTGCCGACCAGAAAACAATAACTACAGTCAATCGATATGTATATCATGACCTCTCAGTGTGAAACATGTGGCTAAAATCACATTTGCTCAGTAAAAATGCAGAACCTTCCAGAGCATAATCTATCCAGCAGATAAAAACAATTTTATTGGAATAAACAGCATTTTGGCATGAGGTAAAAGTTGTGTAGGCTTACCACCCCCTTTTATTGCTATGAATATAAGCAACTATAAAAGAGCAGCTCACAAAGTACATTTGTGTCATTCCGTGGCCTGTCAAAATTCTCGAGTGTTCAATCGCAAAGCGCGAGCTTTTTCTTGCGGGTATATCCCTGCATTACCAAAAATATTGTAGCAATATTTATTTGATATGAAAGTACGACAATTTACCGGGCGAATTTTCAACGACGAATACAGTTTCCATGTGTTGTTCTCATCAAACGACTGCCGCGTTTCTACCACAGTTTTAGTTTATGTTGATTTTTTTTAAAGCCCGGTCTCTTTGTTCAAGAAAACAACAAAAAGCCCGTCGCCACGGCAAGAAAAATTTTCAAAGCCCGTTCGGTTTTTTCCCGACCCGGTCATTCCCATAAATAATGAACCGTCCCTTAAATGCAGTAACTCTGAAAGATATTTTTTTGTGTGTCACACACTGACTGTGTGCGTGTGTTTTCAGGGACAAAGTGGTCCAGCACATTAGACCTGGCTTCAGGTTACTGGCACGTTGCAGTGAATCCAGCTAAAAGTGGAAAAGATCCTTAAGTGAACACTTCTGGCCCCTAACGTTCAAACGATGGATAGCGTCATCCACCGGATAAATCACTATCGAGTGGATAAATATTAGGAAAACCAATAGCACTATCAAGTTGATGGATATTTATCTGATACCTTTTGAACAACTGGGGCCAGGATTGAGTATTCTGTTATGCCAATAATTGGTCTTTTGCTAACTCCAAGTATTCCGGGAGATTCATGGAACATTGCGTACCTTGTTGTGGTGTGTTTTGTTTTTTTCAATAAGTTTCTTTTTCTATTGCCTTTCATATCTTTCTGAACAAAGTATTTCAAAATAAATAAAAAAAGACACTTGGGGAAAACTTAAGAGAACCTTGACGTGGTCTTACTTACTAACTTACTTACAGACGCACCCACGTCATGACATAATGATTTACCAGCTAATAGCCAGTAAGCTTAAAAGTCTGAATGCAGTTTTTCATACCTTGGTAAACTCATCCATGAGACGATCAAGAAAAGAATACATTTTTCTGTTTAAAGAAAAAACATGTTGACAAAACAAAGTTAGGACAGAATCTCATTGGTTCTTAGCATCAACTCAGTACCTCCAACCTTATTGGCCCCTGCACCACACATACAAACACACAAAGCCAGAAAGCCACAAAGATACATACATACCACTGACATGTGAGCTATTTTGAAAAAATAGCTCGCAATTATAAATGGTTCTCTTTCTTGCTTTATATGGCCTCTGATTCTTCAATAGCAATATATTTTTGGTCTCTTTTCTTGTTTTTTCCCCCACCCCCCACATGTTTGGGGGATGGGCACTTGTGAAAAGATTCTAACCATATGGTACCTTTCACTACTTGACCAAATTTTCTCCTGGGGTGAGACTAGATACCTCTCCTTTTGTCAAAACTTAAATAATTATTGTTACCGGTATTCCACATTGTAATGCTGTTACATTTACCTTTTGCACTTAGAAATATAGCACATGCAATATGGCCTCACAAAACCACGGGCATGGATGTCATACAGTGTGAAGTGATGAACCTGTTAGTTACAGTAAAAAGGCAAAGTTGTAAGAATTGAATTACACATAGTTGTGTTCGACATTAGGAGAACACAACACATAATCTTGGGATTCCTGTGGTAAAAAGTTGGGATTCCTGTGGTACTCAAGGGTGACCTTTTGTGGTACTTACTTCATCATACGTCTGCATTTTCTGTGCCATCTTGAATACTTTATCTTGTGGGTACAAAATTGTTAAATACAATTAATTTGATATGCAGTCTCAGCAATGGATGAGTGGCGCAATGGATAATTCATTGTCTTTACACATCGAAGGCCTCGGGTTCGACTCCTGTTGGGTGAGACTTTTTTTTTCTCATAGTCGTTTTGTTTTGTTGTGTTTCTTTTTTTTTAAAATATAGGAAGTGTTTTGCAGCATCAATTTATTAGGAAATATTTAAACGTCACATTTGACAGCAAACCTAAACGTACTTCCTAATCGTACTTCCTAATCTGAGATTACTACTAGTATATATCAATGATTTGAATATTAGTTGCACAAATGTTAACTTACAATGGGGTTTTTCCCTACTGAATTCACTTCCGCATGAACAAAGATTAGCGACTGAATCAATAAAGCTAACCTTAATCAATTTGAATCAGCCTAAATTTGAACTTGATTCCCTCAGGTGAAGTACCATGTCTAAACTGGGCCTTAGTGCAAACAACATTTTACAAGTTCCATTTCATTACCGCTCAAAACTTTCTCAGGCTTTTGCAAGTAATCAAGCATAGTCACATTAGAACCCAATTGCAACTTTGAAGCCAGCCAGATAAGGAGATTTGGCAATTCTGGTTCCCTAATTTGTACTTAAAAAGAAGCAACGTTTTAAAACATTTAGCTTTAAAAAAGTGCAAAACAACTCTTCTTAGAAAGTTTTAAAGAGAATTATTTTGCAAGTTTTTTTGCCAATTTGTGCTCTACTCAAAATACCAACCTATGCAACTGATATTAATATTATAAAGGAAATAAAGGGAGATGTAAAGAATCAACCATAAGAGGACACAGAAAAAATATGAACCCCAGATGGGATTCAAACCCACGACCCTCCGTGTTCTAGATTGGATGCTCTTACCTCTGAGCTACTGAGGACTCGTTGGTGAGCAAGGGTCATTTTTTGTGGGTTGGACTTGCGAACCACGTCTCGCAGTCACACAGTCCATCACAAGCAACACATTAAGGCTTAACTGTATCACAAAATCACATTAATAGCAAGAAATGTCTCACCCATGAAGGAGCCTCCAACCAACCAACAAGTCCTCAGTAGCGCAGAGGTTAGAGCATCCGATCTAGAACACGGAGGGTGGTGGGTTCGAATCCCATCTGGGGCTCAGATTTTTTCTGTGTCCTCTTATGGTTGATTCTTTACATCTCCTTTTATTTCCTTTATAATACTACTCAAAATAGTGGTATAAAAACTACAAATACCACGTACTGACTTACATAAGCATAAACGCCCTCCTTCTTCTCTGATAAAAGCAACTGTGTATCTTCTACAATGGAGAAGGTAGTACCCCTGAAAGAAAGACTAGTGTAACTCAGACATCTATGCAAAACTCCGGAGATTTGGTAAAAATCCTGTGGAGACCCTTTCTTTTGCATTAAACCCCCCCAATATAATTGGAAGCATCCCCCTCCACCCGATAAGCACAAATTGACAGTCCCCAAATTAACCTGTGACCAGGTGATCCTTTTTCCCTTTTGTTTTGGATACGAGGGGAAAAGGATGCCTGATACATTTACTTTACACATCATCTGCCCATAGTACAGAAACTGGACTTTTGTCTGATTAGTCGAAAAACAAAAGAGCCTTTGGAACCCTGCACCAATTGGTTACAAGCAAGATATCTGACTTTCAGTGCAAATTAGACAGGTTTTGTCACCTTCGTCTCTTCATGACTGAGAACCCATGAGTATACCTGCCAACTTTTTCTGAGATGTAGGCGTGAGATTTTTATCCTGGGAGTGCTGGGATTTTTGAAAACGACACGATCATTTCCGAAGATTCCCGAAGAAGTCCGAAGTCTTCCAAAGACGTCCAAAGTCTGCTGAAGGCGAAGTTATCGAGAAAACGCTTATCCACAAAATCAGAGATCGCGAGGAAGGTATTGTCATTTATTCATTTTACACATGGTTTTCGTTCCTTACATGGGTCTGAGTTAACATATTTTTAGAAATTGTGTCCAGCAAGACGGCAACAACTCACATTTTTCAATCAGGCGTAAGAAATTGGTCCGCAGGCGTGAGCGGGCGTGAGATCGAAGTTTTCAACCCGCAGGCGTGAGACTCACGCCTAGGGCGTGAGAGTTGGCAGGTATACATGAGGTGATCGAGGAATAATTTTCATTTACAAGTCAAGTACAAATTGCACAAAACCTTGACGGCTGATGAGGATGAGTTATAATTTATTATTTGTCACTGGTAAGGACATATCAGCTATTTCTTCCTCAACGCTTTCTTGCTCAGACCAGGCAGAATTTAAATTCTAGGAGAGTTGTCTTTGATTTTCCTGCTCGTTCATGATTGAGTTCAAACGTGTGAAACAATAATTTTTGACGATGTTACACCCACACTTTTGCAGACTGATGAAAGACCATAAAAGACTTGTTGCCACAGAATCAATTCCTATACTTTCAACCACTTCCAGTAAAACACAGAATTCTGTTGTTCCAATATTGTTTTCAATGAATATAATTATTACTTTGTTTGACTTGACGGTGTGAACAAAGGTTACCACACAGGAACTATAAGGCAATATTCACAAATACAGCAGTGCTAAATTATTGGCCTTTATAATTAAAATCTGTGATTTTTTTGCTTTAATGACTACTGTATCAACTTATGCATCAGCCAATTCCATGCAATTTTGATTTTCTTTTCTTCTCTTTTTTGGGGGGAATAATTCAATCTCAAGCAGCATTTGTAAATTGCCTATATGTAGCAAGATTTACAATTGCACGTTCAAAAACACAGATAAAGTTTCCATTATTGTTATTTAAGTGTCATAGAAAAGTAGAAATCACAATGGCAACTATATCATGAATTTGCTGCATCATTTTAATACCTTGCTAGAGCATAATCCACAGACATCACGTGAACAGCAAAAGCATTGAGGTCAAAATGTCCCCCACCATTCTTTGGAATTGTCATCTAGGAATATTAACAGACAAAAAAAAAGAATGACATACAGTAGATTAACCCCGGTAACTTAAACTCTGAAGGGAAATGAAAAGCAGTTCTAGTTAGAGGAGGAATTTGAGTTATTGGGGTGGAAGATCAAGTATATTCTGCAACAGGAAAATAGCTAAATTAAAGTCTGAAAAACACAACGTGAATACACAAGCATACTGTTTGACGCATCAACAACATACTGATCTATGAAGAACATAGGGAACAGGCATATGTTTTGGAAAAGGGAATTATCCATGAAGACGTACTATGTACGGACCATCAAGCCTGAATATCAGACGACTACTTCGAGTCAGTAGTTACTGTGGGAGTAAAAGTGACTCAGAGTTAGTAATCATCTGATATTCATGCTATGCATGGACTGCTATGAACTCAGAAATATTATGCATGAAAAAATATATAATAATATTTTTTTATTATTGAATCAGGATTTCTAAAGACATGAAGAATTCTACAGACCTTTAGGGGTGTTATCTGCAACACTTCCTCGATCAGCATAACTCTTCATAATAATTAATTGTTTGCTTAACAGAATTAATTTATAAGTTTAAGTGAAGTATCCGGGGGCGGGGAGGGGGCTACTTCCTTATAAGAGGCTAATGGGGATGTGCGGCTGGATGGGGTCACATTTTCACAACTGGATTGACTAGTAAAATTACTCCCCAAAGTGACTAAGATGGGGTCTATAATGTCCCCCCCCCCCCCCGAGGGTGACAAACGCGGATTGCACGGCAGACTGGCAGGTAAACAAAGTAAACATTGTTGTAGAATGCTCTGACAGATTCCCTATTCCTAAGCTAGACTTTTCAATGACTTAAACTTTACAGGTAGGGACTCTGTTAAAGCATTCCACAACCAGGTTTTCCTCGTTTACTTGCCAGACTTTAGTCTGCGATTGTCGCACAACGCCCCCCTCCCCCGCGGGTGAATATGTTATTATTGAACAAACAAAACAATCTACTGTTCTTATTTACAACATCAACAACACTTACGATTGTAAATAAATACCCTACTAGATAACAGTCACGCGATCTAATCGTAAAATTAACCATTAATACACAAGAAATAATTTCTTGTTTTCAAAGGAAGGAGGTTTGAAGCGAATTAGTTGTATTTCTGGGAGACTTACCACGGGTTTGGGCCCCTCATTCTCAGAGAATTCTGCGATCAGAATAAAATCTCCCCCAAAGGATGTTCGTGCCCAGAGGCTTGGGCCAGCAACGCTGTCACTTGAGAATCGCAAATTGGCTCCTAGCCTCTTCAAGTTTACTTCTCCGGCCTTCAAATCACGGTTTTCGCTACTCGTTGAGCGTAGAAGCTCGTAATGTCCGTGCATATCCGGTAGTCTATAAAAATTTCAAAGCCAAGGTTCATAAATAACCACAGAACAGGGAGGATTCTGCAAGATTTTTTGTCGTGACGCGATGATGTTCAGTGTTGAGAAGCTGAATGGAGAGAGAGGAAGGAATCGAAACTGAAATTGGAAGTGGCATGAACCATACCCCGGTTGGAAGGCAACTCGAGAAGAGCCCCCTTCCTTTTCATCTCGGCAAGCTCAGTCTTCCTTGATGATTGAGGATCTGATTTTTAAATGACATTGAATCCCTGACCAAAGTGCAGCAGAATCCAGGCGGCGCCGGGAGAAGTAATCTGGGTAGGAGTTTTGGTGCCCAAGCTTACTCGATCGTCCTTTCTGCAACGCCTGCCGTTTTCTGTTCGCCGTTGAATGGAAAATGGCCGCGAATGATGACGGTCGCGAAGGAACAGACACCACGGACAGTAAAGGCAATTCAGCTTTTCTTCCTAAAGACGAAGGTAGTATACATTGTAGTCAAACGAAACATGAAAATCTATTTTTCTACCCGTTTGGCATCCAAAGTCGAATATCGAACTTCTCATCTTCTTCTCCTTCCTATAAAGGAGGGCGGATAGATTGACAGCTCAGAGAGCTTCATTCCTGGTACCATAGAGATACGAAACAGACTTAAGTAGTCTACTTGCGCTGCATACTCCATTTCTGTATTCCTCTATTCTTGTCTATACCTCTTGCACTTGCAAGACAACTTTATAGAGCAAAATGACCGAGGAAAACCCCCGGGGAGTTACTTGGGTTAATTTTTGCTGGGTATGTGCCGTTGGCATCTCAGAACCCCTACCCATTATAGTCTATTCTCTGACTAAAGATAGACCCCATCTCAGTTACTTTTAGGAAAATGTAATTTTTGGCGATCCCAACTTGGTAACTTTTTCTGTTTATGCATCCACCTTATAAAGCCTTTTAACTAGGTCATCCTGAAAGTGAATTGACACATTGTTTAAACTTAATGAAGTAAAAATCTTCCCATTTTTAAATCTTTACCTACCTGAATTTTCATGTGCGATCCCATTCTAGTAACTCTAATGAAAATGCATCCCCATTATAGTCAATCTAGCTGTGAAAATGCGACCGCATCAGGCTCCACAGTCCCATTAGCTTATTACTAGGAAACCCCGCCCCCCTCGGGGGAAAGCCATTTGATCTTCATTTCATTCCATTTAACATCCATCTCCCCCATAGATGAGATTTTCTGAGACGGCTATGAAAGCCATTTCTGAGTAGGGTGGCTGTGTCGGAACCTTTGATCACTGGAATTTCTAAGGTGTATGAGAAAGAATTGGCTATTTCTTAGGGGGCTATTGTGTCTGTACCTTTGTTCTTGTTTTCTTGGGGTATAGTCAACTATACTTAGGGGGCGTAAGGGTTTGAGGTGATGCAGCTTCGCTCAATTTTTGGAGTGGTTTTGTGGGAATTTTTATTTTAAGTTGTGGTATTGTCGTTTTACAAAACCAAGTGATTTGCGGTCTTCAGAAACTTTCAGGTAATTTCAATGTGGTTTTCCTATGTTATACTGTGCAGTGTTTATACATAATTCTGTACTCTTTTGAGGTATTTGTACCCCCCTTATGCCCCCCTCCTACATGGTTCAACCTCTCTTCAAAAGCCACCTTGGGGTCCAAAGAAAGTGGCAGTTGTAGAGAGGTTCAAACAAGAGTCAATGTATCTATTTTTTATCTGCCAGGATGAAAACAAGTAGCCATTGTAGAGAGGTGGCCATAAGCAGAGGTTCAAATGTATTACCTCGTCCGTATGGGGGGTGTAGCTATTAATAATACTAGCAGAAAAAGTTTAGATTAAAATCCCTAGTAAGTGCAGTTTTACTGCCAATGCAGGTGTTATGCATCCAGAATACTTCAGTTTTATCTCAGATTTGAGAAAGGTTTGTATTCATTTGTGAATATCAGGCTCATTAGATGGGTGGTCATTGTATCCTCCTACCACCCCCTGTGTACTCAAATAAGGAAGACACCTTAAAAGGGCTGTCACTAAAGGCTGGAAGCTGGGGATTTTAGTCTGCAGCCAGTAACTTGGAGTATGACCGCCAGCTACTTTCATAGGAAACAAAAGAATATCGTAGCTGTTCATTTCCCTACCAAATAATTGCATATAAAATTATATACATGGCAACTTGAAATCTTAGTGACAGCCCTTGTATAATTGTTCTGACATAATAGGGCCAATTATACGACGAAAAATAATACACTTGTTACATAAGATGCAAGCTATCGCGTATAAACAGCACATTTCATCTGAAATTTAGTAAGACATGTTTTATCTAAGAACAGACCTTCTTACACCTGTTCTTCGTTAAGACACGTCTTAGCTAAGTCGCATCTTAATGTGCCTTTTACACAGGATAGTTTACGTCTTATTTTGGGCGTGTCTTGTGAAAGCCGTGTCTTATTTTTGCTTGTAAAAAATGGCCCTATAGTGTTACTGATCAAAAAAAAAAATACAATGCCTCTGAATAATCAGAGTTGAATTAATGAATGTTTTCTTTTCTTAGACTCTTTCGATTTTGATCTATATGGGGACCTGTCTGTTGACCTCAATCAAGAAATGACTTACCCTGAGGTAACAGTTATTTTTGGTACATTAATATTATTATTGTGACTGTAAGGTCTGGTGTCAAACTACCGACACTTTGAGATTTTGTTGTTGTTCTAATTCAATGAATTACTTTATTCTTAGTTGAAAAAGCTCTATGAAGAAAGTCAGCAGAAAATTAAAGAACTAAAAGCTGAGGTTAGGTCTACAAGATGTTGCATTCGCAGGACTTTTCTCAGTACCTTGCCTTAAGAGACATGTGTCTTGCAACATTAGACTGTGTGAATGGTTCTATGATGACAATAAAATATCATTGTGTCCTATATCTTTCAGAGTCAGAAATTAAGAGATGAAAACCTAATACTGAAGAAGAACATCTCAAGCTTATACCTTACTGCACGAGAGGAAATTAAAAGAAAAGATGCCCAGATCAAAACACTTCAGGACAGGGAAGTCAGAAGCAGAAGAAAATATGTAGCATCTCAGCAATGAGTCATTGGTTTTACAGTATTGTTATAATTGCAGTGAATGCCGAGATACAGGGTTCCCTCGCACCTTGAGAGTCCTTGAAAATTGCAGTTGGTGCTGGAAAGTCCTTTAATTTCTGTGCTAAATTTATCCAACCCACATTCTCAAGTGCCTGATATGAGCAGACACTGAAAGACCTTCAGATGATAAAATTGCTCATGTTGTGGAAGAACTAAAAAAGGCTCTTTTTTGCACTGAATGGAGTCCTTGAAAATGGGAAATGTGTCCTTGAATTCTTTGATTTTTTCAAAAAAGGGTTTCAGCACTGGTCAGATAAAACTGGAAAAATTCCGTGCTTTTTAGGTCAATAAATCAGCTTGTGCTGTGAAAGCAAGGCATTAAGACAAGTCCCGCAAATGCACCAGTCAGCGGGCACCCTTCCGTGCAGCTCTCAAAGACCTCATGGGTTGGATTAGTTGGGAAAACTTTGAAAACACCCAAAAATAAAAGAGCTGCGACATATAGGGGTCCGATTAAAATTTAATTTGAGGTTCTGAACAGCTGCAAGACTAATGCAGTCATCTATTTATTTGGTTTATGATTGCCAAAAGGATAGGTTAAACATTTACAGACTGTATAAACTGCAGTGCTTACCATAGGCCAGATAAAAAGAAAGAGAAGAAAAAAAGAAAATAGGTGTCAAACCCTGATAAATAAACCTTTCACTCCTGGAAGTTATGGTGCAAACATTTTTGTTAATACTATAGCACTATGCAAGTTATTAAATTATTAATATTAATATTACTCTTTACCTGACAAACTTTTTGTTCTGTGCTTGAAATCCTATAGTGTTATCATACAAATGATTAACTCTTGTATTGAACTTTTACATTTTACAGAAAGAAATTATTTGGATAATTTTATATTTTTGTTACATTCATTTGGCATCTATTAGGAGTACAAGGGTTAAAGTAGAAACTGACTATTCGTTATAACAATGAATGGTATTAGCCAGTCTGACAGTGCTTCACTTTCTTGTTCATTTTGCTAAATTTTAATAAGCCGAATGCCTCTTATTAGGGATTTGCTGTATCACTAAAGCCAAAAACATTGGGAGTTTTTCCAGCTTACACCTTAAGAAAGGTGCAAAGAGAGATCCTTATCCCTTGATGACATTCTTGGCAGTGCTTGGTATTGGCTGCAAGAACACGAAATTTGACACTCTTTGAAATTGTAGAATAAAAATGCTACAACAAAAATGTTTTCACACTTATAATCATATTTTCCATTTGCACATCTCCCATACATCTTGCCTCCCCCCCCAAAAGTTTGCATCTCGCCTTTGTTGTCATTTCTCCCGAGTATTACAGTGGTCACAAGAGAAACTGAAGACAATGCTTAAATGCAAAATTTTGGGGGGCAACCGAGGTGTATTATGGGAGATGTGCAAATAACAAATAAGGAGTTTTTATCTAGCAAAAAAAATTGTCATTGTTAGTTGCACTTTGAGCATGATTATTTAGTTATAAACAGTACTGTTTAATGTAGTATGTGGCCTAAATCTGTGTTTTATCGTAATCACTTTATTCCACTGGTGTATATTTACAATGCAAACTGTACATTCTTCCCAAATATATCACAAACTTATGAAAAATACAATATTTTACAGGGTGGTTATTTCCATGAACAACTGAAACACAAACATTCATTAAGAAAGACTCAGAAGAATAGTCAACCATGTTAATGCGAGTTTCTGGTTTGTTTGTTCAAAAGCATTATTTTTCTAGTGTAATTTTCTGTATTCTTTTTAGAGCATCCAATCATCAATTTGTAGACAAAAGGAATTAAAAACTAAATTTGCTTTTTAAGCTTTCTTCATTCGAATTTTGCACTAACCTCGAGTAATCTTAAGTCAGGTTTGAACAACCCAGCCCAAAGCTTGTTGTAAAGGAATCTATCTTAAAGAGAGTTGACTGTATTTAAGGCCTTACTCTCTTATCTAACTGGCTAAACTCATTGACCATTACAGGGATGTCACTAAGATTTCAAGTTGCTGGGTAAATACAACAAGAAAGTATAGGCATGCAATAAAACAACTAGTGATTTCTTTTGGTTCTATTTTCCAATGAAAGTAGCCAGGGGGAATCTCTGGCCCCTGCCTCTTAATAGACCTATTCCGCTAACTCAATGATGTACCCAATTCAAATCTCCCGGGGTTAAGATTCTTTGTGTATTGTATTTGCATTATAATGTGGCATTCCCATTTAAATGATATGGAAATTCCTGAAACAAAACGTTTTAACCCCAAAGGGTTTGAATTGGGTACAAAACTGAGTTAGCCGAATTGGTCTATGACCGCCCCGCAACATTAGTCCTTTAAAAATTTAACAACAAACAATGTTCCATTGATAGTAAATAAATAAGACAATCAATAAAACAGCTTAACCAATATCCACTAAAGGCAAATGTACACTGCAATATACAGTCAAGCCCCATGTTACTGGCATCCGCTTTATATGGACACCCCGTTAATATGGCCACTTTCTATGGCCCCCTCAGTGTCCGTATTAATGGGAATTGACTATACTGTAATTTAAACAAATGACTGACCTGCACACAACATAATGCAAGAATTATGTCATAAATTATAATATTATTTTTTCCCAAAACAAAGTTAGAGGTTTAATTATTTGAATTTCAGTGGTTACAAAAATAATATTAATATTGAATAAAATAAGGCCAAATAAAAAAAGTACTATTTATAATAATCATTGCAATAAAATACACAATTTAATAGTCAACCGCTGAGTTGGTTTACTTCACTGAGAAGAATTACCAAAAGTTTTCTGGAAACATAATAATAATAATAATAATATTGATGACACCACTGTTAGTTGCATAAATGGTGTGAAGGAGGAAGCCAAGACTATCTCCTACCATGGAAATGTGGAATGTTACATTGCAGTGAGGTTGACAATTGGTTTAATAAGCAAAACAAAAACTTGCCAAATGCAAGGCACTTTTGGATACATTTCTGAGCCATCTTCTACTCACTGTACGCCAAGAAAAGTGGTTAAAAAAATGCAATGTTTTACAATGGGGAAGTGAAAAACAAAAAGTTTTCCTTTTTTCCATTCAACTCCAGTAAAATGCTTCTAATCTTGGCATGGAGCAAGTTGGGAAAATGGTGATGAAGTTTCAAAGGATGGAGACTGATTTAACCAGCCTGGTTACTCAGTTCAGCTCCCTACTATCTTGAGAGTGATCCACCACATTCAAAATTTAATAAATTAATAGCATTAACAGGCTAAAAATACCTAAACATTTACTGAACAGATTGATATAATTATGAAACATGGATTCCTAAAAGTAATTGCTTGTACGATACTTATTCACAAACTATAAAGATGTAAGAATTACCCACAACATCGTTGAGTAAAAAATTTTAAAATAACTAATTAGAGGAAGTAAAAACTTTTCTAAAAGTACACAGTTGAGCACTAATCATGACTTATAACCAGCAATTAGCCAGAGCTTGCAGGAGCTTTCTCTTTCCCTGTTTTTGAAAGTGATGCAACTTGCCGTTTGAGATTTCTGTTCTCCACCTGAAGGAAATGATGACATGAATTGATTATTACACCAGCTCACAATTGGCTTCCTAGTTCAATAGACCAAATTCCAAAATATTAAAACTTATCCTTGGCTTTGAGGCTTGGGGGGAAAAAACAAAAGAAAATGTATTATTCATTGCTGCGCCTCAAGATCATTTCTTTTGTTTTATTCCTCCAAGCTTCTGAGCCAAGTATGAATGTTAATATATCATAATTGGTCTATTGGTTAGGTCCGAGTGCTGCACTGGTATCGCAAAAATCAAGGATTAAATCCTGGTAAGCATGATTTTTTTATTCAGGCTTTCCTTTAGCACCTGCATAAGTTGCATATTTAACCGCAATGATCATCTTTGCATTCATTCTTCATTCCACAGTTCAAATATATGAAATTCAGGATCAATTAAGGTTTTGGGGAAACTGCCCATCCCACCTACCCCTCCCCTAACTCAACGTTAACATTAATTTTGTGTCTCACTTGGGGCAAAATGTTGGGTTAGGGGAGGGGTAGGTGGGCAGTTTCCCAGAAACCTAAAATTGATCCGAAACTCGTATATTCATCATTTCATACATGTAATAATTAAAGTAAACACGCAGAAAAGACTTTTCAAAGAACAGGGAGGGGAATCTATTAGATACAAAAAATTTCAGAGGTTTAGACATGATGCCCCTACAAATCTTTGTTTAAGGTGCAAACAAAATAAAATGGGGAGCCAATGAGAGGATTTGTGATTGTCATAGCTGAATCCCTTGTTTGAGTTAGTTTCAAGTACAATGTAGGTCCCGCAACTTACTACTAAATTTCATACCTGAAGACTTTCTAACCGCTCAGAATGATCCTTCTGCATCTGTGTTATCTTTTGTCGGAATTCCTTTTCTTTTTCCCAGTGCTCTGCTTTAAGTTCTGTTATCTTTATTTTGTTTTCAAAAAGCAACGGAAAATGATGTCAAATGATTATATTATTATTACTTATGCACAAGTTTGTGCCAAAACAAGATCATGGTTTTACTGTATCTATTGTACAATGTAGCTATTGAGTTGAACTATGTGAATGTACTGACTGAAGAAATGTCATTCATTTTTTTATGATGGCCAGAAAGAAGAATCAATTATTATAGAATGTAGGATATTAAAATGCAGTCATTGTTGAGAGCTTCTCCCTGCTACATGTGATACAGTCATATTTGTCACAAACTTAAACATGCCCACACACTGACAAAAGCGCGCTTTCAAACTAGTTAACGATTTTGCGTTAATGCAGAAAACGTGCGTGTGTTTTGTGTATGATCCGTTGGTTGCTTATCTCTGAGCTGTACTGTAAAGCACTTGTGAAACAAATCCAAGAAGACTTTCCTAATGTACAAATGGCATTAATGACATTTGAATAAAGTGGTTTATAGTATTTACAGGAACTGTGTTGCTGTTTCCATCACAACATGAAGCACATGTATCGCAACTGGGTTGATAAAGCAAGTTGTCCACTGTTGAAAGATTCAAACTTAAGGCTGATGTTTCGAATGCTTCATCATAGCAAATTATAACTTTTGAAAACCTACAGAATCAATCAACAAAGTCTAAGTTCATTCAAATATACAATGCATAGTACTAGTTACCTACAATCATGTACAAGCATCGATGCATGTACTATTTGCATAAAAAGAGTGTACAGTAAGTACCTTTTTCTCCTTTTCAATCAGTGCTTGTTCTTTCTGCTGCAACTGTTTCTTTAGATTCAAAACCTGATGACAAAAAAAATTACAGTCATTGTCAAACTAGCATGCATGCTAAAGGTTATTAACCAGAAAGAACTCTGTACTCATGTACATGCAAAGTAGAACCCCGGTAATTTGAACTCTGAAGGGTAACGAAAAACAGTTTGAGTTAGCGCGTGTTCAGGTTATCGGGATCAATTGCATATTCAATATCAGAGTGGAGCCACAAGAACCAGAATTCGAGTTTTCAGGGCAAATTTTTCATCAAGATTAAGGCAATTTTTAGTTTAAGTTAATTATAATGGGAAGTTCGAAGTTATCCAAGTTAGAGTTATCGAGGTTCTAGTCTGTACATCAACCCTAAACAATGACAGTTGGTTGTGGATGAATACTGCACACTTCTTCATGAATATGGCATCTCAGATTATTGTAACCAAGTACGCATATCTTTGATATGTCATCTGATAAATTTGGATTCTCCCGCCTTGATAATTAGAATAAGTATTTCTCCCTTTTAACAACAGCTGAAAATGATCACCTCAGGAATGTATCAGTGGTCAAACATTGGGTATTCAACAAACAAAAAAATGATTGATTTAATTTTATGAGACAGTACCATTAATTTCGCCTCTAGTCAGTGGATGAAGTCACTCGAACTAAAAAACAGTTTCTCGAACCTTTGCAACTCTTTGTTTCACCCTAAAAATATTGTAAATTGCCTTCTCTTTTCCCACAACCTTCTTTTCTATAAAACTTTAATCAATAGCAAAGACCTTTTGTTAACCAGTACTGACATCCCTCAAATTAAGCACCAGCACTTAATTTCAGATTTATCTACAACTTTACTTTCCTGTAGTTTTTACCATTTCAATGCTACTTGATCATGATGTCAACATGACAAGCATTATGAAGCATAGTAACAAACTTTAGGTTTTGGGGCTAGATTAAGATATATCTGTCACACTTACGGTTTAAAGGAAGAAGCTTAAAGACAAGCTAAATTCATTGTTACTGTTCTTTCAAAATATGCAAAACCACACACA